GCTAGTGATGCATTTGGTCATCTTAATGGGGATTCCAGGGGACTTTCTCTCTGCCTGCCTGCCTCTCTCTCTCTCTGTCTGTCTGTCTCTGAGATCATTAGCAAATACTGAGCCAACAACAACAACTTGGCTAAAACGAGTAAAAACCAAAAAGGAGAGGAAATAAATGACAAAAACTTCATAGAGGAGGATGTTTTGGGATCCAGAGTGGATTGCGAAAAAAAAATACCCAACCAAGCCACAAAAAGGAATTTAAAAGCAAATAAAGAATGAACTGCTGACTAAGTGGTTTGTGTGTTTTTTTAAAAAAATTCCTGTATTTTCTGTAAGTAAAGTAGCCCATGTGCCTTTTATGGAGGACAAACCTGTTCGAAGCGCTGTCTGGTTCAAGCTTAGTTTTAAAATAAAGAACCATAAGAAGGGGGAGCAAGAGTTTGCTTGAAGTTGCCCATCTACAGGTAGCGGCATCTGGGCAGCAAACTGAGCAGGTGAGAAGACTGAGCAGCGTCTTCCCCGCTACAATGAGATGTATTTAAATTGGAGCCAGTCTGTCCAAAATCGCATCTGCACAGACATGCAAATCAGTGTCATCCTGTTTTGGGGTTAGGCATTTGGTTGTTTTGCGGGGTTAGCTGAGACTGCAAAAGAGGCTTTTCAGTAAAAGAAAGGCTGTCTCTGTGTTTTTAAAAAAGCTCTTTTGAGCTGAACAGGTACATCTTCACTCAAAGGCTTAAGCCAGAGGTGCCCAAACTTTTTTCAAAGACCAAAGTTCTTGACCTTTTTTGGGGGATTGAAGTTATTGCGCTTTTAATGCTTTTTAATGCTTTATTGTATTTTAATCTTGTTTTTAAGTTGTATTCATTCAATTTGATTTTATTATTGCGTGTTAGCCGCCCTGAGCCTGGCCTTGGCTGGGGAGGGCGGGGTATAAATAAATAATAATAATAATAATCATCATTATCATTATTATTTTAGGGTTAAACCCCTGGAAATAAACTGCCCTGGGGGCTGGATTAAACTAACTGGCGGGCCGGATTAGGCCCCCAAAACAGACTTTGGACATGCCTGGCTTAAGCAGACAATGAAATAAATTAAACACTTCTGTTACAGTTCTATCACTGATCTGTGATTTTGGCTTTTATATGGTTTTTAATTGTGCGCGTATTTGTTGCATACATATATATTCATTTGTGGCATGCAAGTATTTTGTATAACTAAATGATAAAAGAAAGGGAGTTCCATAAGCAGAGCTGACAGATCTAGAAGGTGGTAAGAATTATTCACTTCTCTCCCTTTGCATGTGCAACTTGCAGTGGGATCCCCTACTCAGAAGTCCAACCAGTAGAACTTACCCCCTTGGTGAGTATAGCAGGTATGAGGAACCTTTGACCCTGCAAATGCTCTTAAACTACAACTCCCATAATCCTAAGCCATTGGCCATGCTTGCTGGGGTTGATGGGATTTGTAGTTCAGTAACATCTGGAGAGTCAAAGGTTCCCAACTTCAGGGTGTAGGATTGCGGCCCAAACGGCACATTCCTTTTGGAACAGGGCATTCTAAATGAGGTTCTAGCATTCCCACCTGTATTCTGAAAAATATTCTAAAATTGTTCTGCAGCATAAACACGACTGCATGTAATGAGAGTTCCCACCCCAGCAAAGAATGATTAAATATTATTTTGGAAGTGAGAGAGATGACATTCACAGAACCATGTCCCAGAACTTTTTTTTTGTGGGGGGGCATTCTAAAACATTATTATTTTTTAAAAACAGACTTCAAAGAAGTTTGGGGGGGGGAAAGCATTTTTAGATTACAGTGGTATGCACACTTAAGCAATTAAGCAAGGGCATTTGATTAGCAACCCCGTCTGCTACTTAGCCTTTTTATTCCTATGGAAGCAGTAAGGGTGTACTTCGTTTTTCCACCCATAATTTCTCCATTTTGGCTTTATTTCTGTTAAATAAATCATGACACGATGTAGTATGTCATGTGTTGTTCATCTGAGGTTGTGTTTACCATATTGGTTCGAATATAAGCCACACTACCCCCACCCCCCAATTCTGAGAGTGGAAAGTTAAAGTGCGGCTTAAATTTGCAACCTTACAAAAATTGGCTTTTACGATATCGCTGCTGAAACAGACATACCGTATTCGCCCTATAGGACGCACTTTTTCCCCTCCAAAAATGAAGGGGAAATGTGGGTGCGTCCTATGGGGCGAATACAGGCTTTCGCTGAAGCCTGGAGAGCGAGAGACTCTCGCTCTCCAGGCTTCAGGAAGCTCTGCGCAACCCTCCAGAGCCTGGCGCGAAGCCGCAGGTGTCCGCTGTCCGCAAGCCTGGGGAGACCGGCGCGGCTCCCTAGGCTTGCGGATAGCAGGCTGTTCTGGGGGCTGGGGTCGGGGGAAGCTCGGGCTTCCCCCGCGCCAGCCCCGTGCCTGGGGGGGGGAATAATTTTTTTTCTTTATTTCCCCCCCAAAAAAACTAGGTGAGTCCTATAGGGCGGTGCGTCCTATGGGGCGAAAAATATGGTACAGTAAAACGGAACGGGGGTGAGTGCCTGCAGAATTTTAAGGGAGCGGCTTATATTCGGGTATTGTCTCCCCCCCCCATGAATTTTAAAGGTGTGGCTTATATTCGGGCCAATACAGTACCTACCATATTTTTCCGTGTATAAGACTAGGTTTTTTAAATTAAAAAGCTATGCTAAAAATTTGGGCTCGTCTTATACACGGGGCAATCTCCCCCCATTTTCTCAATTTTTAGTTCCAAAAAAAGAGGGAGCGTCTTATACACGGGGGCGTGTTATTCCCGGAAAAATATGGTAATGTTAAGACCTGCTAAGGAACATATGATTGTTATTATGTCTTCATATGTAAAGCCACATAATTCAAAGAGGGTGCACTTCCTTGTTCCTATGACTGTATCTTTCTATACATGAGAGAGAAAATGAGATAAAATATACAAAGACACCTATCACTGGAGTTTAATAAAACATATTTCTACGATTAGATTCTCCACTCCGGCACTTTGCTTCCGTCAGTGTCTGCAAAGAAGCTCAACACTCTTGGAGCCTCGGAAGCGAAATCAGAAGACCTGCATGGTTGCGTGTTTCCTAAAGACTTACAACTGTCTTCCTTTTTCCTGCTGAGGTCAGTCCAGCTTCCTAAGCACAAGAATTGCTTGGAGCATTGAGAGGGAGATTTAAGCATTATCCTACAGCTGGAAGAAAAAGATTCTCTCCCTTTTCACAAACATCCTTCGTGCAGAAAAGTGAAGTCATTTCAGATTGATTTAATTTACTTTTAAAAAATTTCTTTTAGCAATGGCATTCCTGCTTGTGGTTCTTTGCTCTTCTGTAAGCAAGCAACACGGCTAAGTTTGAAAGTTCAGAACGAACAGGACGGTATTTCATTCGGAGCTTAATCTTTTGATGCAAAAATAGGCTGCAATAAATTAAACTTGACTTGGATTAGTAACTGGAAAATTGAGAGCATTTCCCTTCAACAGTTTCTATACACTTCATGCTAACATATCTAAACCAGCTTGATACTAGTTTAGCAGTCACATAAAGAATCTTGTTGGTTAATGTTAGAAATTGCAGATTTTTTTGGAGGGAAGTGGAATCTCTTCTGTAATTTCTTATCTTGAAAAATCAGAAATGTTTGTTCTTATTAAATGTGATCGTTATTGTTGAAAATAACAACTCTGTTGTGCTCCATCCCTTACGCTGAACAACTGACATTGAGCCGTGGTATCGAAACACCAAATGCTTCGCTTTAGAAACATAAGCAGCTAATTTGACCAGATTCAAAACCAGCGTCCAGAGATAAATTCTTCTGGTCTGAAACGGTTGTTTATCAGTTTTGTATTGGTGAAATCCTTGATATTTGCAAATATTCATGTACTTGTAAATCATATTCCTGTAGTATAAGGATGAACTGCAGGCAGCAAAAGTGGATTTTGTGAGCCTTTATAGTCTCCAAGAGACTTGGAAGAATTAACACCTGCTGTTTGTCTGAGCACCTCACAGTCCAGGCTGCATTTCAACATATTTCCTATAAATGCCAATTTTGTGGAAATACATGTTTGGACATCTGAAGGATAGATACATGTACTGATGGCAATTATATCCTTAGTGTGACTTGATGCTGTTTTTTGTATCAATATATATTATGTATTTCCTTTTTTTACCTTTTCTGTTAACTTGCAAAAAAGCTAAACTCAAAATCACCAGTCTGCCTAGCTTAGTATTTGTCTACACCAGGGATAGCCAATGTGTTGCCCTCCAGAGATTGTTGCCCTACAATTCCCATCAGCATTGACAACAGGGATGATGGGAATTGGAGTCCAACTGCTGGAGGACAGCTTTCCAGGGTCTCACTGTTTCCCAGTCCTAACTGGAGATGCCAGACTTTTTTTCATGCAAACGATAGGTTCCACCACCAAGTTCCTTCCCTTAAAATATTTATTTCTTTATTGGAATTATGAGTCTTCTTCTTCTTCTTCTTCTTCTTTACAGACAGTAAACTCAAAGTGACATACAATTTAAAACAAAATAAAATAAAAATCATGTAAGGACGACAACGCAGACATCAGGCATAAAGATTGCTCTTAAGGTCTGATGTCCTGGGAGAAGGGATTGCATCATGTAATCAAGATTCTCTGGCTTCAAGTAGCTACTACACTTTTCTTCTTGTGCAGAGCTTATTTCTGGAAATGTTATTTTGAGCAGAGGCACACATTTGGGCTCATTTCACTCTGGAGAAGTATCTTTTCTTAAGCCAGAATCGTGCCAAAGCTCTCCCGCACTGGGAAATGCCAGCAAGCAATTAGCAAGGGACCGATTAGAGCAAATCCACATGAAGGTTATTTCCCGCAATAACACCATTTTCACGTGAAAAACCTGCACATGCAATATTGCTGTTATCAGGCATTCAAAAAGCTATCCCCACAGGGTTTGCTAGCCAATTAAAATATTGGACTCAGTCCTTCCCTTCATTAAAAATCCATTTTATTTCCATAAACAGGAGAGGCTGCAGACGGAGCAATTTAGCAAGGAATGGTGAGACAGATGACATCATTTCTTGGCAGAGACATGGGAGGCTGGGGTATCCCCTCTCTCTCTTTCAGTCTTTTAAATACATTTTTTGGGCTACTCCAACCAGGCAAGAAAAAGCATGCTATTGAGAAAGAAAACGGGCAAGTGAGGCCATTTAATAAAATGCAAGGGAGAATAATTAGCAGGAGGAGGTAATAATCACAGGAGAATTCCAGTCCGCAGGTGTTTCTCAGAACCTTTGGAGATCTCAAACTATTTCCCAAGCTTCTGGTAGCTGAATCAGTTTCTCCACCTGCCCTGAATTAAAACGGAAGTCTTATTTACTATCACAACCAAAAAGTGTACAGAGTACAAAAAGGAAGAGTCAAGCCACTGTTCTCAAGTGGTATTAAACATGTTTGACATTATGTATATTTTCTTTTTACACACACACACACACACACACACACACACACACACACTGCTATAAAACACCAGGCGCTGAACAACCCCTGCCCCCAATCAAGACTGGAACCAAAGCATGCACACTCTCATGACACTGCCAAGCTGCATTCCCTTACGTCCCTGCAGAACGCGGCTGGAGCTGTGGTCTAAACCACCGAACCTCTTGGGCTTGCCGATCGGAAGGTCAGCGGTTTGAATCCCCACAATGGGGTGAGCTCCCGTTGCTCTGTCTCAGCTCCTGCCAGCCTAGCAGTTCGAAAGCACACCAGTGCAAGTAGATAAATAGGTACCGCTGCAGCCGGAAGGTAAATGGCACGTTTCCATGCGCTCTGGTTTCCGCCATGGTGTTCCGTTGCGCCAGAAGCGGTTTAGTCCTGCTGGCCGCATGACCCGGAAAGCTGTCTGTGGACAAACATCGGCTCCCTCGGCCTGAAAGTGAGATGAGCGCCACAACCCCATAGTCGCCTTTGACTGGACTCAACCATCCAGGGGTCCCTTACCTGCAGCATACCTGTAGCAATGTCTTTTATTTTATTTTCATCCATTGAATGTTGATGGGTTTCTAAACAGGACGATTGTTGAGCGTGGGAAGAACATGCCTTTACTTACCAGAGCACATACACCCAGGACTTGGATTATAAATATTAACTGAGGCAGGAGGGAAAGAATAATTGCACTGAATGCAGTCCATCTTTTAAAAACAACAACAACACAAGAGAATGATTGAACAGTAGTCTTCATGCTTTCTTTTTAAATATATTCAGACAGTGGGTGGGTGGGGGCCGAAAACACTTTCCCTCAACACATTTATAAATAATCTGGAACTAAAATAGCATCTCTGGCATGAGTGTCCAACAAGCCTTACCCTTGTTTTCCTAAGTGTTCCTTTTCTTCCCTTGTTGCTTACTAGAGAGGGCAGATTAATTTATTTAAGTCATCTCTCTCCTGAATCTACTGCTGCCCATCAATTTCACTGCGGGATCCCTAGTTCCCAGCATATTAAAAGAGGGAGAAAAACATCCATCAACTTAATTTGTATCTATACCTGTAGATTTCAGGGCAGTTCACAAAGTAAGATGTCCTATGGAAGCTTCCTAAAGCAGAGTATTAATTGTCCTGACCCTTTTATCTGAGCACTAATAATTTTGCTCAATTTAGCCTCAACAGGATCTAAATCACAAGTGTATCAAATCTGCAGAAAAAAAGTTGCTGCAAGTACCTAAATTTTTCAATGACAGCACAAGGTGTTAATTGAGAGAGTAATAATGACTCATTTATGTAAAGCAACTGTTTTCAAGAAAGGGTTTTTGGGTTTTTTTGGAATCCTGACATGCCTGAAAAGCTATTGAAAAGCTTTTTCATTACTGAAAAAGATCAGTAATGAAAATTTCCAACTGAAGACAGACAGTAGGTTCATATTTCACTTCAGAGAGGGTAACACTGAGGCCAAGATAGCACCCCACATGAAATAAGCGGGCAGTTGCCTAGTTAAAAGAAATCTTAAGCTGCACTTGGCAAGGTATACTTACTAGCAAGGAAACCCTATTTAAATCAGTGGTACTTCCAGGAAGACACACAAAGAATTGTAAAATTAGTTGATATTATTAGGCAAGCTTCAGCTGATTAAATCTAAATAAATTTGAACAGGAGATGAAACCAGAGTTTAGAAGCAAAACCATGCCCAGTTCTTGGTGGTGCAGACATGTATCACAGAAGACACCGTCTTAGAAGAGGCCTTCCCTTTTCCACTCCCACACAGGACAGAAAACCTTTTGAGGTGGCACTTATTAAAATCTGCAGATGGTTAAGTACTCACGGTGAAAACCCATAGAGCTCTCAAGATCCATATCTGTTTCCACTGAGGTATGATTCTTGGGACTGATGGTTTTAGACATTGACTTCTTACTGCTTTTTATCGTTTTAGGGGACAACTGTTTTATTGATTATTGCCGGTTTTATTTGTCAGGTGTGTTTTGCTCTATTCCATTTTATTTTGCAAGCCGCCTTGAGGGAGGTTTTGCCATTGGAGAAGGCGCAAAACTATTTCAATTAATAAACAGTGAATTATTCATTCATTCATTCAAAAAATGCTGGCTGATTCATCAGGAGTAGTATTCTAATAAATGAAAATGTTCTACATTGATCCAGCTATAGCTGGTTAAAATTAAGACCAAATGCTGATGCCTATTTGACTCAAGGTATGCGGGGATCCTGGATCAGCCCTGCAGGTGTCCCTTGGCAGATGAGGAGATGTGAAAACGGTTCCCAGGAGGTAGGACATTTGCAAGCCGCTAATATAACAAGGAAGCTGTAGTGTATAATCACAAGAAAAGAAGTTGGAAAGGCTTAGGTTTATTAAAACTCAAGCCACAGACAACTCGCAGTAAGAAAACCCACACAGAATTGTACATCCAAGGTGACTTTTTTTGAATCTCCGGTACAGAAGATAATCCACCTGCACTTAAGAGAGAAAGAGAATTGAAGGCAGCTATTTGTTTCTGCTGAGAGTCCTTTGCTTCTCAGCATGCTCCACGATTTTCTCATCTACATAAAGTCCCTTCCGCTTCCTTACAGCATTCATGTACTTGCGGGCCTGGTTCTCGGAGTCTGCCTTCTCCCCGAAGTGCAGATACTCTTCCTCTGTGGTTGGTACCCAATACGGATCATCTGAAATTACCTAGGGGGGAAAAAAGAGAGGAATTGTGCAAAGAGCTGAATTAATGGAAGGGGGCGGCAGCAATGAACAGTGATTTTTGACCGTCGGCTAAAAGCAGACATATTTGAAATTAGGAAAGATGCACTCAAATCTTGAAAAGGTGCCGCCAGTCACCTAAAAATGAATGAAAAATAATTTCTGCTCTGTATGTCCCTGACAATTATTGAAGTACAGTTATTTGGCTGATATCTCTCTTCCTCTATTCCATCCCTCTTTTTTTTTTTTTTAAAGTTTTCAGTTCCTTCTTTTCTTTTGTTGATTTTCTCCCTTTTTTTCTGTGGGGGTATGCTGATTTCCCAGAGGAATCAACAAAGCAGCCTGTAAGAAGTGTAGCTGTATAAATATATATTTGCATTTGCATTTTCAGTTTCACAGGGAATCCTGGTTTATTCTTGCAACAACCCTGAGAGGTAAGACGAGACAAAGAGATAAGTTTCCCGGTCAACTTTGGGTTCAGCGCTGTGCATGTGTGCACGATCATGCACATATCAGTCGGGTATTTACAAGGAGGCGAGAATTATCCCATTTTTAAGCCTTACAATAGCCTTGTGCGGTGGGTTAGGCTAAGTTGGAGATCATTAATGGTGAAATGATTACTCTGGCCTACTGCAACGGCTGCAGGCAAGGATGTGCTGAGGTATGGCAGTTATCTAAAGATAACAAATAAAATCAGCAACGGTACAGCCAGGATCATTAACACACCAACTTTATGGATTACTATGAAGGTATCAGAAGTTAGCGGAATCTGTATAGCATAGAATCAGAACTGGATTCCTGACCGTCTAACTGTACTAGTAGAAGCCACTCAATGAAAGCTCCAAGAATAAGCAGATGGAGCTGAAGTGGATTTAATTTTTTATGCTCAGAGAGCTTTTTTCTGTTGATCTTGGAACCACAGGAGGAAAAAATGGTCATCTCACAGCCTTGCACTGTGTGTCATTTTTCCACTTAAAATTCCTTTTACTAGCTTCCAATGTTTATTGCAGTGAAACCTGATTAGTCAAAAGTACTGTACGTCCACAACAAACTGCATTGTACCTCTCATTCGTTTACTTTGGAAACAAAAACGTCCTCGATAGATGTCTGCTGTCAAAAAGAGATGGCTGAGAAGATCATGAATTTAAAATAGCTAAAATACATTCATTTACTGCAGGATATTAAGAAGATCTTCAGTAAACATTGCAAGCCCAGGCCCCTCCAAATTAGGGTCTGGTTCCTAATGCATTTGCTGCCACTGCCGGCCAACCCTCCTTGCTGGCTGAACTGGACCTGTAGATGCCATCCTTAACTGGGCTAAAGATTCATCACTTCCAGCTGAGCTGCATAAAATGCATTAGGTAAAGGTAAAGGGACCCCTGACCATTAGGTCCAGTCGTGACCGACTCTGGGGTTGCGGCACTCATCTTGCTTTATTGGCCGAGGGAGCCAGCGTACAGCTTCTGGGTCATGTGGCCAGCATGACTAAGCCGCTTCTGGTGAACCAGAGCAGTGCACGGAAACGCCGTTTACCTTCCCGCGGGAGTGGTACCTATTTATCTACTTGCACTTTGACGTGCTTTCGAACTGCTAGGTTGGCAGGAGCAGGGACTGAGCAACTGGAGCTTCCCCCGTCGCGGGGATTCGAACCGCCGACCTTCTGATCGGCAAGCCCTAGGCTCTGTGGTTTAGCCCACAGCGCCACCTGCGTCCCTAAAATGCATTACTTCAATGAATTATTTGGGAGACATACACAACTACAACTCCCATACAAATCAGGAAATGTTGCTCCCCAACATCTCAGAAGCTTCCCAGCCAGTTTAGGATGAGGTCTACAAAGCCAATCATGTCTATAGAAAATGCTCCCAGCTGCTGGTTCCTCTGGTGCGTGGGAAGTAGTGAAGTCTAACAGTGAGATATCAATATCCCAACAAGGAAGAGGAAAGGGAAGAGGCTGGCCAGGTGCGGGTCACGTGGTGGCACTCCAGACTCCTGATGATGTCAAGAGCGACAAGAGCCTGAATTTTAGAACTGGATTCAAGAGAAACAAGCTACTTCCTTGCACAAGCAACTTGGAAGGGGATAAAGCAGCAGTTTTGTTTGTTTGGTAGGCGACAGATCTGTTCACACATCCAGAGCTTAGAAGAATTACACAGCGCGTTTTGAACTCAAGTCTGTATTTTCCTCTCGCAGGTCTCTGAAAACAGGGAGCAGATTTCAGACTTTAAAACTAAAAATGCTCTTAGAAAAGGGATGCAATTCTACTCTTCTTTCTATTCCCTTAAAGAATCTTCTCCTCAAAAGCTCTTGATTGTAAATTACATGGTTGGAGAAAAACACAGTTGAAGAAGAAAGGACAGGAGGCAGAAAACTAAGTGTACAGGTCACTTATTTTATTGCCGCTATCAACCCGCAAAGAGCCTCTGAAGATCCAAATAATATTTGATCCATGGTATCTATTTCAGCATTTCAAAAGATTTCACCTTCCAGAAAGAACACTTTAAAGAAAGGTTCTTTTCTACAAGCACAAAAACACCCCCCTACTGTTTTCCCTGTGTGCTGGTTACCTTGTTAGGAGGCTACATAAAAGAAAAACTGCTCTGTTGGGTGAAACCAAAAGTCGATCTAATCTAGCATCCTCTCTCTCTTTCAGTGGCCAGCCTGAAGCTTATGGGAAGCCCACAAAACAGGGCATAAATGCCTGCCCCCACTGTTGCTCCCCACCCCAGAAACTGGGGCATTCAGTGGGATACTCCTTCTAAAAATGGATGCTTCTCCATTTACTGTCTCCCTCTATGCTAGGAGTTCCCAAATTGTGGACCAGGGGTCTGCAAGCTTCATTCCGGTGGTTGTGTCTGCATTAAATATCCATGCTGATTTTAAACCGTCGTTTTATTGCTTCTTTTATTTCTTGTATTTTATTCCGTTGCACAATTTGAATTCCATGAAATGCAAATTATAACATAATAAAATACGATGTGAGAAATAAAAGGAGCAATAGAAACACAATTAATAACCATACAGCATCTACTTAGCGCTGCGCATTACAACCGCTGCAACAGGCAAAACAATCATTAAGTGGTCCGCGAAGACCCCAAGCAATTTGTCAAGTGGTCCATGGGGGGAAAAGTTTGGGAAGGAGTGCTTTACACCAAATATATGTCTATTGTATTCCACCACATATGTCTCTATTGTGTGCAGAAACACATGTATCAAACATAGGCCACTTTATAGAGAATGAAGAGAATTATTTTAAAATTGTCCTTCCCTAGTGTCTTATTTCTACTCTTTTTTTGTGGCAGAAGAGGAGCAACCAGGAGTAGAAGATGAAGACAGCTATTGCCTTCATACCCTGCTCACCAGTTTCCCAGAAACATCTGGCTGCTGCTGGACACATAATGCTGGACTTAATGGACTTTAAATTCAATCCAGCAGAGGATGGAACACCCTAACCCTAACCCAAAACCTACTGAAGCAGAACAGAATATTGTGAAGCGTGCATTGGAAAAAGCAAATATACAGTGGTACCTCTACTTACGTTCACCTCTGGTTACGTATCCTTCAGGATACGTACGCAGCAAACCTGGAAGTATTTTTCCAGATTTCTCCGCGTGCACAGAAGTGCTCTACACGTTGCACGCATGCGCAGAAGTGGCACCTCCGTTGCGAATTCCTCGGGATCCGACCGGAGCTCCGGAACGGATCCTGTTCACAACCGGAGGTACCACTGTAAAGGCAGATAAAAATCTGCTTGTATGGCTTGGCTTAGGAAAGAATGGAGCAAATTTAAGTCTTGACCACCATTTAACCTCTCCCCTCCTTCATCTTGATTTCTTTTCCTGCATCTACAAGAAATTGTACACCAAGGCAGATGGGAGTGAATAGAATTTTTACCTCCCAGTGACTGAAGACCAGCTGTGGACTGGCTAGGCCGCTTGTCCTCTTCCTGATTTCATCAGCGAAACCAAAGCTCTCTGCTACTGGCAACACTGCTTTGATAATAAACACGTCTGTCCCTTCTTTCATCTCTTCCTGCAACACCCGGCCGACTCTTTTGGAGAGGACAGCGTAAACGCGACCTGAAAAAGGGAAAAGACCTACTGAGCTTGTTGCATCCTTTTCATCAATTCAGATGCACAATTACTGAACTGGGAGGACTAATTAACGCCTGGGGCAAGAGAGGGTCTCGACAAACAGTCATATAGAGTAACCAGCTACGATTAAATGATGGTGTGAAAAACTTCAGATCTCAGAATATTAAGAAGAGATTGTAGGGACTTCACTCAAGGGTTGGAGTGAGTTTTACTGACCACAAAACTGCTGCAAAATCTCAGCAGGAGCACTGGGATAACAGAGATCCCACTCCAACAGGAACGTATGGAGTTAATTATCATATGAGGTATTTCATTTTCTTTACCCCTAAAAATGGTGGGCAATGAGGAAACAGAACATCTAAGTGCAAGCCTTAGTCAACAGGATGTTGATCTTAAGCCCCAGGAAGAGGGGCTGCTTAAGTAACTTAATAAATGTAATACGAAGTCAATATACCAAGATGAAAAAAATTATAAAGACATTTTATTTTTTAAAAAAAATAATATTTAAAAAATAGTAATAAAGAAGAGCCTGCTGGATCAGGCCAAAGGAGGTCCATCTAGTCCAGCAGCCTCTTTTGTGGGAAATCTGTAAACAGGAGCAGAGCACAAGAGAACTCTCCTCTCCTGTGGTTTATTTTTATTGAATCTTTCAAATTATTACGTAACTCCAATCATACATATAATTTTTTTTGTTACACGTTTTTTCTTGACTTCCCATCTCTCCTTCCCTGATTTTCTTTTATTTCCCCTTAACAGCTGCATTAAAACACATCTACATTTATTTTCTAAGCCCCACAAATCCATTCTCTACATTCCTCTGTTGCTCATATCTCAAATCCTGCACATGATTTCATACAGGAATGATAATTTGATAGGTCTCCTTCTATAAAAATATCATCATTTTGTCCTCTTATTTTAGCAGTTTCTCCTGTGGTTTCCAGCAACTGGCATACAGAAGTATTGACTGTGTAGGCAATGCATCGACATCATGGCCAGTTGCCATTGGCAGCATTACCCTCCGTGAATTTGTTCAGCTCTCTTTCAAAGCCATCCAAGTTGGTGGCCGTCACTAACTCCTACAGAAACAAGTTCCATAGTTTAACTATATTGCAAGTACATTATATTGTAAACCGCCCTGTAATCTTGGATGAAGGGCAGTTCAGAAATTTAATCAACAACAACTACTTGCTGAGTTAACCAGATAATTCCATCTATACCTGGAGAATCACAGGAAATATAATTATTTTTCTTTGTCGGCCTTTGCCAACCTAGCGCCCTCCAAATGTTTGGGACCACAACTTCCATCAACCCCAGCCTGCATGCTGGATGGGGCTGATGGGAACTGTAGCCAAAAACATCTGGAGGGCATCAGGTTGGCAAAAGCTGGCATGGCCAAGGAAGTCATTCGCAGTCAGCTTTCTGACAATGCTTTCCCCCTACAGATGCAACATCTACCATGTGGTCTGCTTGTGCATGTTGCTGGTTTCATGCTTACCAAGGACCTCAGCTGTTGTCATAATCTCACAGGTGTACATGGCAGCCATAAGCCTCTGTGGCTTTGCTTGCATAGCATAACGGCATGCTTCCTTCATGGTTGCTATCAGTTGTCCAGAGAAAGGGCCATAACAGTCTGCAGGCAAAGCCTCTCCTTTGGGTTTACTGGATGATTTGAGGCTACACTGATCACCATCTTGCAGCTCAGTTTCAGAAGCCGATTCAGTGTCTCCAGTCCTCGACACAAGGGCAGTTTCCTCCCCTGCCGATGTCTCCTCTGTAGACTTCCTTTCATCCGAATCCTGCCGGTTAACTGACATTTGCTCGACAAATCTGCCCATGTCCCATTTCTCCACCGAAAAACAGACACCCATAAGTGGTTCTTCACACATTGGTCCTGAAAGTGTGGCCAACTGGAACCCGCTGACAAGACTGTTGTCAAAATCCCGATACACGCTCGCTTCCTTGGGTGGCTTGCTTGCTTCCAGGCACTGCCACACAGACCTCTTGTAGCCTTCACATCTGTTCAGTAAAATGTTAGGCCCACATTTTCGGGGGCCAAAGGACCAGATCCCATCAACGGCATTTCTCCATTTCCTTCCTGGTAGGTTTTCCTCTAGTCTTTTTTTGAACTCCTGTATCTGGTCAAAGGTCTTCGGATTCATCTCTTCTGTTTTCTTACCTTCATTCAGGTAAGAGGAGAATTGTTCTATGGTCCGAATTAAGCCGCTGTTCTTCTCCAGTAGTCGAGTCACCTCCTCAGGAAGAGGCGTTGCTCTGATGCTGAGTGTGGCATATTTGTTTGGCGTCGATATCGTTATCAGCCCATCTGAATCAACCTGCACACCTTCAGGGATTTTGTTCTGCTCTTCCTTACTCTGGTGTATGATGGCAACTTTCTGCTGCTTTCCTATTTCTTCGTTCACCATGTCAACTTTGGGGGGTCTTGTTATGGTTTCCCGGAATGGAATAATTGGTTTCGATACGCTAATTTCTATCTTGGCAAACCTACAGAAAGCCAAAAGGCTACAGTTAGGCCTCACAGCAAATGAAACTTAAGTCTTCAAGGGTTTCAGTGGCGGGTTAATGCCAGTAATCACATGATGCCAACTTCACATTATGATTAACCATTGCAGCCCGCTGCCTCCTAAGACATTAAGCAATTACTCAATAATGGGAGCCAAGGAGGGAGGCAGCATTCATTCTAGCATACTTAAAGCAACAGGCATCCCGCCCCCTCCACTGCAACCCGTTATGTCAGAGTACAGTTATGAGCCTGTTTTGGATCCTGGTACATTCCTGATGAGGATATTAGGAAGGACTATACTTCAGTGGCATGGGACGCGGGTGGCGCTGTGGGTTAAACCACAGAGCCTAGGACATGCCGATCAGAAGGTCGGCGGTTCGAATCCCCGCGACGGGGTGAGCTCCTGTTGCTCGGTCCCTGCTCCTGCCAACCTAGCAGTTCGAAAGCACGCCAAAGTGCAAGTAGATAAATAGGTACCACTCTGGCGGGAAGGTAAACGGCGTTTCTGTGTGCTGCTCTGGTTCGCCAGAAGTGGCTTAGTCATGCTGGCCACATGACCTGGAAGCTGTACGCCGGCTTCCTCGGCCAATAAAGCGAGATGAGCGCAGCAACCCCAGAGTCGGTCACGACTGGACCTAATGGTCAGGAGTCCCTTTACCTTACCTATACTTCAGTGGCAGGACAGCTGTTTTGCATGCATAGGGCACCAGGTTCAAGCCCTGGCATCTCCAGATATGGCTGGGAGAGAACCTTGCTTGAAACCCTAAAGAGTTGCTTGCCAGCCAGTGTAGACCAGGGTTTCTCAAACTTGGGTTCCCAGCTGTTTCTGGACTATAACTCCCATCATCCCAAGCTAGTAGGACCAGTGGTCAGGGATGATGGGAACGGTAGTCCAAAAACAGCTGGAGATCCAAGTTTGGGAAACTCTGATGTAGACAATACTGAGCTTGATGGACCAATGGTTTGACTATACAGCAGATTCCTATCTTGAGGAACAGAACAGGCTCCAAATTCTCTCAACTGCCTCTTACAGTTGTTGTTGTTGCAGCAGCAGCAGCAGCAGCAGCAGCAGCAGCAGCAGCAGCAGCAGGTCTCCCATCCTCTGAGCTGCAACCCAGTGAGTTAGTGTGGAGTGAAGTTAAGTCCTAAAATATTATCTGAGAAGGGCAATGGGCCCCAGCACTTTCCTCGGACAGGAGATGTGTGAGTCACTTAGGTTCATATTCCAGAAGATTCCCGATCTTTGAGACTCTGCTGCTTGAAACCCATCCTGCCTCCAAGGAATTAAGAGTGGTATCAGGATGGAATGAAAACTCAGTCCACAACTCAATGAGTTAGACTAGAGACCCACTCAAGGATCAGGCTCCTGATTTCTATTACTTGAGCTGAACACGTCAAGTCGTGTCTATACGAAAAAGACTGCTGTGAAAAAGATGGCAACAAACATAGCCGTTGCAGAGCAATCTACTGTTGCACACAGTGTGAAAGCTTTACAACTGTGTCCACCAAACATTCTGAGTGATAAAAATGGGCTTTTCTACAAAGAGGATTTCTAGATGGGCAATGGTTGCAAACAAATGATTTGGGAAAACATACAAAAGCAGTTTACAGTTAATATGCAGGGACAACCTAACTCCCAATTCCTTATGGATCTTATGCTTTATGTGGAAATTGTTCAATTTATGTGGGTACTTTTTGATGTTTTGTTCATTGTTTATGACGACTTTTGTTATGTTTTGCAGTTATGTAATTTTATAAATGTTGTCAGCTGTCCTTGAGCATGGCTTTAATTTTGGAAAGGCAGTATACAAATAAATGATTGACTGATGGATAGAAATCTACATACGAGGAATGCCAGTATGAAAAATCTTCCATTGTGCACCGGCAACAGTGAGGAAGAATTGGGAAAGGATGCTTTGACCTTTCCATAGGTTAAACCACAATTACACGTTTAACTGTCTTGTAAATGCTGGATTTAATCACTGAGCCTTGAGCAATTCTTCCTTTTCCTCTCGCGCCACCTATCCCTGCCACCAACCTCTCTTTCAAGTCATCCAAACAGCGCTGAAGATGGACTTCTCCTGCTGTAATTAACACGTGCTCCCCTGTCTCCTGGATTAAAACTTGTACACAAGGATCAGCTTGGTTTAAAAGCTTCATGCCTTTAACCAACTGCGGCATCTCACCTGGGAAGACAAAAGCACTTTTAAATGAAGTACCTCTGAAGCACTTGGGTTTCAAAGTAACATACGAGCGAAGCTCAGTACGAAAAGGGAGCACAGGCTGCTGTGAAATACTGAGTACAAAGAATAGGATAGAATAATGTTTTGTTTAGCTTTTAGATTTTACATATTATAACAGCACTAAAAATCTTAAGAGGGATTAAAAGGAAAAAAAGAGACTGTGGGTGGATCTGTATGTTCTAAGAGACACAGGGCTGCCACTCAAAACAACAGCCCCATATCAAATCCACTCTTCTCCTTCCAGAATGTGTTTCATGTCCTGATGAAATTACTGTTTCCTTGCCCTAACAGTGACATAAAGTGGGAGCAGGCAAATGCAGAGCTCAAGAAAGCCACCATGCAATATAACATATGTACCAGGGAAGGGGAATCTGTGGTCTTCCAGATGTCACTGGACTCCAACTCCCATCAGCACCAACCAGTATGGCCCACAGTGAGGGCTGATGGGAGTTGTAGTCCAACATGTTCCCCATTCCTGTTGTACACATTACAGACCAAGAACAAGACAGAACGAGGCTGTCATTGCCCCATGTTTCTTGTAACATGCCGACATCCATCCTAGTATGAGTATGAGTGGTTCTAAATATTTCCTTATTAAGTTTCCCAAACTTGGGTCTCCAGCTGATTTTGGACTACAATTCCCATCATCCCTGACTACTGGCCCTGGTTGATAGGGATAATGGCAGCTGTAGTCCAACAATAGCTGGAGACCCAAGTTAGGGAAACCCTGCCTTATTGCGAGGCAACCACCATACTATCATTTGCTCAAACTCATTTACGACCACTCCTTTCCACCCTTGTGGCTTTTCGAAAGTATACCTAATGATTCTGATTGGATACTCAAGGAATGGAGGGAAGACACTTACTTGGGTGTTTTGGCTCCACAGCAACTCGCACAATCGGTGTTGCTTCGAAGCTGAGGGGGTTAAACGGTGGGCAAGCTGGCGACGATGAGAGCGTTGCCGACTTCAGTACGAATTCTTGCAACCCTCCTATCCCTACAAGGCATTGAAGCATGAAGTCAAGACACACACCCTGAAGTCAACAAAAATATTCAGCTACATGGCCTTCATATAAAAGTAACAGAAACCTGCCAACCATTATGATGGGCACAGCGGATATGGAGGAGGGTTTGCATATTGTTGAGAGCACAGGGGAGAGTGAGGAACTGCAAAGAATCGCTGAGTTGCAAACTACTGCTGCATATACTCTCTCGCAGAATACTGCTCCTTCTCCCAATACAACTACCGTAAGCTTCCCAAAGTAACTTGTCCACCTGCCCATGTTTTAGATGTTTATGGGATTTGTAAAAAGAAAAAAAAAGAGACATGTTTCAGAAACAATTCTTACCTGCCATGGGCAATCAGGATAGTGGCTAGTCAGAAGCTTATACTGACCATATTTATCAGATTAGGATAGTGATCTCTTTACTCAAAAGGCATAACGTTTTTGTACAGGACCACTCTTTTACAACCATGAGGTCTTCGCTTCATTCACATCATTGGTAATAACTAAGGTAGAATGAGTTAAACCCCCGATATCCTCAAATAACAAGCACATGTTTTAAGCCACAAACTTCCAGACTGTTGTTCCAGTTTTGATTTGCAGCTGAAGGGGATGAATTGCTGCCAAATCTCCAAAGGAAAAACAGATATATAACTTGTGTGGAGGCCAGTTTTAATCATGGTTTTGAGAAAATGTCTCTGAGCTTGCATCACGTTTGTTTTTACTTGTGGTTACCACTAGCGCTGCAAGGCCAAAATTTAAAAAAGACTTGGTGCTTTGTTGCGTTATTAAAAAGTTATTTTGGTGCTGACCATATTGAAGGCTTTGTTCTTCATTCTTGACAGCATTGAAAAAAGAAGATAATGAATGTGCAGAATGAGCAGTGTCCCAGCACTGTGCATTCTGTTTTCTCCTGTTTTCTCTCATCTTCCTTCTTAAAAATAACCTCTCCTTCCTTTTTTCTACTGTTTTAACACTGGTGATGCAGCCAATATGTCCCGGCCCCACACAGAGGGAAGGGTGCAAGTTTCTTGCAAATTGCAACCCACTAATCAATGTCCAGGGCAGGGACAGCAGGAAGGTAGACTGGCACACACTGGTAGATTTCTAGCTGATTTGCAGTACGTTTTCAAACTGCAAGTTAAGGGAAGGGACATTCTGTGCCTTGGCTGACCTTGAACTTTTCACTTCTCTGAGACTCATTGCTTACTTCCTGTAAAATATGGTTGCTTGCCTTTGATCATGTCTCTGTACAGTTTTACAAATCTAGTTTTAAGAGTTTTAGTGTTGAATCTCTAATCCATAGTAGATATAGATTTGCACTTGCGTATACAGTGGTACCTTGGGTTACAGACGCTTCAGGTTACAGATGCTTCAGGTTACAGACTCCGCTAACCCAGAAATAGTACCTCGGGTTAAGAACTTTGCTTCAGGATGAGAACAGAAATTGTGCTCCGGCGACGCGGCGGCAGCAGGAGGCCCCATTAGCTAAAGTGGTGCTTCAGGTTAAGAACAGTTTCAGGTTAAGAACAGACCTCTGGAATGAATTAAGTACGTAACAAGAGGTACCACTGTATAGAGGCTCGTGGTGGTGGTGGAGCAGTAAGCAATTGGCTTTGTGACCCGAGCCACTGGTATGTATCTCACTCCACCTTTATCAGCCTGTATTGTACATTTCTAGTTGGCTAGTGGTCCACTGGGTCCTGGGGAAACTTCCCCTTACCTGAAGCCTCGCCCATCCCTGGCCCTAGAATCAGTTCATCCAACCATTGTTAGCTGTGTGGCTGCTACATAAAATTCTGCATTCCTCTCCTTCCTTGGGCAGCTGATCATACACAGGAAATTTTATGGTCTCATAGTGCCAAAGATACTGGAGCTCAATTCAAACACCTAGTGGCCAGGAACTTAGTAACCTACATTTAAGAGTTGCCAGAGATTGTTTGAACGTGGAACTCAGAGTCCTCTGTACATACAGAAGGGATTATGATTATGCCACACTGGCAATGCAAAAGGAAGTGCCTTTATTCCTGCATTGCAGGCAGCTGGACCCTCTCGGGGTCCCTTTCCAAGTCTACAATTCTATGATGCTATGGAGTGGCTCTGCCTGATAGCAGGATCCCAGTTGCAGGATCCAGTTCTCACTTTTAAAAAAGCAAACAAGGGAGATTTCTGCCAGACATCTATTGGCAAGGAGTTCCACAGGGCAGAGCCTGCCACACTAAAGGCCTGGTTCCTGTTAAATGCCAACAAAATCTCTGGGGTGTGGGGGACCCTCAAAATTGCCCCGTCAGAGCTCTGTGTTCGAGCTGGAGCATAAGGAATCAGGAGGTCCTATGTAGCTTTCTCGGCAAAGGAGTAACATGATCCCTGTAACCTGATCTGGTGAACAGACTGGCTTCTGTATTCTGTACCAGTTGGGGAAAAGGGGCTATGTGCATTATGGAGTTGGAGAGAAGGGCTGCTGGGGGCGGATAGGGAGTGGAAAAATTTTCCCCAAGACCTTCATGTGAATTTGGAAGAATAATCTGATTTTCTCCAATTACAGTTGGGGAGAAAAATCAGACAATTAATGAATCTGAGAGGAATCTCATCTCAGAGAGCTCACCTATCCTTGCTACACTCTTTATCTGATTCAGAAATTTGCTGGAAGTAAAAGCAGTTTTCTAAATATTTCCTTGTACTACAGATTAAAAATCATATTTAATTTGTTCAGATAGACACACGTTATTAGGAGCGTCATCTGACAGCAAAACATACAGAATCCGGAACAGGGTTTCTCAGGTAACATTAATTCACTTTAGTGGTTCTGCCAATCAAGTACAGATGGCACAGATAAATTAGGCATTTGAGTTCAGCCTGCCTGCTGTGGATACAAGAAGTGTTCCCCACTGTGGAATTTATAGGTTGTGGTTATTGCAAGAGGAATGTAGAATGAAAAACAAACAAGTATTATGCACATTTGAAATCCTAGCTGCGTCACTGAGCAAGGCAGAAGCTAAGCATTGCCAGATCTTCCTCTGTCCCGTCATTCACCTATTTGTAATATGCTACGTGTCTGACAGTATCCTGGGATCAAGAGCCTACTTCTTTTAAATGCTGTTTTGCAGTGCTCTTTGATTGCTTTGAAGATTAACAGTCGGATGTGTATGTGTGTAATCCCTATATATAGCTCATATATGTGCATTATTTATTTATAGCCCACTGTTTATTCAAAAAGGTTCTTACAGCAGTATATGAAAACCAGTATTAAGATGATCCCTACTCACAATTTACAAGGACATGACACACAAGGAAAAAGGAACGGGAGTGATAGAGGAAGGAAGGCAAAGCAAGCTCAAGGACAAGTTATTAAGGTTATATACATATTATATGTGTGTGTTCTCGAAGCTACGAACATGAGTTTGACCAAACTGCGGGAGGCAGTGGAAGACAGGAGTGCCTGGCGTGCTCTGGTCCATGGGGTCACGAAGAATCGGACACGACTAAACAACACACACAAAATCTACACTGCCCACTAGTAATATAGTCAACTTTTCTGTTTAAGAGTGATAGACAGAGAAAGGATTCCAGTGGCTTTGAAGGCAGGGGGGGAATAATTCATTGGGCTTGCTCAACTCACACTGGGTCCCAAATGTGGACAAACTGATTTAAATTCACACCTGTTCCCTTCCATGGTAGGTAAGACACTACATCCCACCTCTTGGGCAGCTGTCAATTTAACTGGTGCTAAAAATTAAGGCAGCCTTTAAGGCAGACAATTTGCACATAATGGTATTTAAAAAATGTTGTCTTGGAGACTTTGTAATAGAAAGGTTAACCTGCTGTCCTCTAGCTGTTTTGAACTAAAGCTCATCACCCCCAGCCAGCATTAATACTTCTGAATTAGGAAAACAATCTGGTTTGCAGATTTAGAAATGAACAGGATCATGCTAAAATCTACATAAATAAAAATAACATTTCATTGGCTATCACACTATGTTAGCTACACTCTAGGATTGGCATACGTCCCAGACATACTGCAGTCGGAAGCATTGTCCGGGTGGAAATAGCTCCCATAGGACATAGGAAACAAGACTGATGATTGACAGCTTTGTTGCAAAAAGGGGAACATCATCTTCTCCCCGCGATCTGTCAGGAGCAAGTTGAGCCGTGGGCTCCAGTAATATCTATGTCTGCAAACACCCCTCAACTTTCTCCCACATGGCTTCCATTCACTCCAATGGGGAAAGAACAATGATACTGGCAAAATTTGGGGGCAGACTCCACTGAGAGGATCCCTATGTGGGTTCTTGCAATAAAGAGAGACTCACTCTCCTCCCTACATCATATTGACCCTTATTTTGGTAGTAAAAAATAAATAGCAAAAACCTCTCTTCTGCTAGCTCTCACATCAAAGGTGCAACTAAATCAAGTACTCTCAGTTTCCATTATTGTAGCAATTGATTTAATTCTCAATATATAATGGAACACAAATGATCTATAGGCAAATGTCTGCCATTTAAATGGAACACATCGCAGGAACGTTAAGTTTTAGGATAACACCCAGTGAAAATGCCTTACGTGCGTTCTTCACCCATTCATTATTCTTACTTGCAAAATTATGCAGTTAACCAATTAAAACTGAATTTACTAGGACTTGACTTTATTATTCCCAAAGCCTAGGGCCTTCTTTTTATAAACAGTTTCCACCAGTATACATTTTCTTCCAAATGAGTTTATAACAGTTATTGTCTTGCGCCGAAATCTCTATCAAATCTAAAATACCAGCAATAATTAGAAGGTACCAAGCTATTACCTACAAAAATGACATTTTTACCTGGAACTAAGCTGTTTTAAAACGCTGCGGAAATTAACCAAAGTGGAAATTGGAAAGGAACACACACTTCCAGGCCATCAAGCAATAGAATGAGCAGATACTAAAATGCCCTTTCCCAATGTTTAGATTAAAAAAATCTTTGCCACCGTGGGTGTGCGAACAGATGGCATGAAACAGAACAATAGGAATGGCTCAAATATGCTTTGCCGTTATCATTCCAAGATGTTATTAATAAAGGCTTGTGTGTCATGCTTTCTAATTTTAACAGCAAGAGTTACTTCCAAAACAAGGTTTATTGACATGATTATCCTAGCCATAATTATTTTCAGCAATGACTTTTTGTATCCTATTTAGGCTGAATCAGAGGCCTATTCACATTTTAAATGTAAGAATGTAAGAAGAGTCTGCTCATCCAGTCCAGCATTCTGTCTCACACTGGCCAAATGGATGCCTGGGCAAAACCGGCAGGCAGGATTCGAACACAAGAGCCCTCTCCTCTCCTGTGGTTTTCAGTTACTGATATTCAGAAGCATTCCTGCCTCCAACCGCAGAGGAAGAACGAAGCCATCGTGGCTACAAGCCCTTTCATGGTGAGAGAAGAAGGCCTCACAGCTTCTTCTTTTGAAATAGTTTATTTGCCACAGCATATATTTCAAACATTCTCATAATCTTAAAAACCATAAAATAACACATCATGTGCTCCAATCTCATTAAAAGGAAGGAATACATTATATCTGTAACAATTTGAAGGGTTAAAATGTGTACTTCAAAGTACAGTCGCACCTTGGTTCTCAAACGCCTTGCGACTCAAATGTTTTGGCTCCTGAACGTCGTAAACCCGGAAGTGAGTGTTCCGGTTTGCGAACATTTTTGGAAGCCGAATGTCCAACGCGGCTTCCAATCGAATGCAGGAAGCTCCTGCAGCCAATTGGAAGCCGCGCCTTGGTTTTTGAATGTTTTCGGAAGTTGAACGGACTTCTGGAACGGATTACGTTCAAGAACCAAGGTACGACTGTATTCCAAACTGTGTTACCCACCCCAAACACTACTCCCCCATGTGCCTCATTACCTGTGTGTTCAATAAAGTCGCCCCCTACTGCGTATAAGTTATTGTTTTTCTTTTGGCCTCTTGCTATCCGCAGTTTCCATGTTAGCTTTTCCAACAAAGCCGTCTGCCAGACTGCTTCATACCACATATCCATGGTCAACAGTTGCAATGTTTTCTATTGGTATGGTTGTTCTTGCCACGGTTAATAAATGGGTTATAAGATCTTTATTTCTAATTCTTGGTGAGTCCCGACTGTACAAATTAAGCAGTGCCAGTCCTGGGGACATAGATACTGTCTGCCTTTTAACCAAAGATATCTCTGCAAAGACATTTTCCCAGAATTTTTCCATTTTTGAACACTCCCACCACGTATGTCTATATGTTCCAATAGTGAGACACCCCCTCCAACACATAGGAGACCTGTTGAGTTTTATATAAGCTAGACGTCTAGGTGTTAAATAGCAGCTATGTGCGATTTTGAGGGCTCTTTCTCTTGTCATTGCCAAAATAGATTTATACGGGACCTACAAGTTCTAGGAAGACAGCAAGGTGCCTTATATCAAGACCAATGGCCCATGTAGTGTTCCTATAAGCATGCTGGTCTAAGGCCATAAAGCACTTTATAGCTCAAAGTCAGTACTTTAAATTGGGTCCAGAGATGGACTTTGAATAGGCACAACTGATGTAATGAGATCACAATTCTTTCTGTTGTTTTATTTTATGATTTCAACACACTGTGTACTTATTTCCATTGAGAAGTTTTTGTAACCTTCCATGTGACAATTAGGTGAAGGGTAGGCTATAAAGAAAATTACAAAATAAATAAATAAATAAATAGACCACTGTTGTCAACACCTGCTCTGCCACCAGGTCTTGCCATAGTCTTTTGATTGGTCCAATGCCAGCACCAGCAAGTCCTTGCAGGATGAATAAAGGTAGCTGGGAGACAGAAGTTCAGAGGGAGAGGAAAGAAGGAATGTCTTCCTCCTTTGAGGGTAAAGGGACAGGGGATATGTTGAAGGAAGTTAGAAAGTGAGAAAAGGTTAACGTTTATTTATATATATTATTATTATTGATGATGAACAACTCTGAATAGAAAGGAAAGGGATAAGAGAGGAAAGACGGTATAGGGGGGGAAATGTGAATGTAAAAGGACCAGGGAATGAAGATGAAAGAAACCAGCCATTTTGGGGTGAAGGAAATAAGGAACAAGTTGAGTGTGAAATAAGATTAAGATAACAAGTCACAAGAGATGAGTAAAAATACTTTGAGAGGCATGTGAGTGGGAAAGAGATAATATATTTTAAAAAGTCTTCTCCATGCAGAGCCTCTGGACGAGCAAAAGTAGAGAACAAAACCAGCAAGTATCAAGTGAATAGGCCTTTCTTTTTTTCCTTAAGTCTAAAAAATGTGAAAGTCCAATGCGCTCTGCACAAGTTGAGATTTACTGACGTTCTTAGAGGTGTCGGCCTTTAACATTCCCTTAGACAAAGTGCAGCGATAGGAGCTGATCCAGAGATTAGGTAGCTTTGTCTTCTTAAATCAAGAGGAAAACCTGCTCGAGTCTTCAAAAGGATAACTCATGTCATCAGCAGGCTAGCAAGGAGTCCCTGCTGATACAGAACACACACAGACAGACGCACGCGCAATGTCGTTATGTGAAATAGCCCCAAGGTAAACCATGACCTCTTGTCCATTTAAGGGTAGAAAGATCAAAACGGAGAGCCACTTGGGTGTAGTCTGAGGCCTCTCAAAAGAGGAGCTGAATTTCCAAGGCTGCCAAATGTTTTTTATTAGAGGTTTCCATGACAGAGTAAGGTACAGGTATTGGGACAGAGTGAACCATTCCCATGTAACTAAACAAAGTAAAAAAAGACGCCCCAAACAAACCAGTAGTATTCACATTGACAGTCACAGCTAGTGCAACCAGTAAAACGATAGGACCCAAAGCATGCTGTCCAGAGATGGAAAGAAGATAAAGTCCCTACCAGAGAAGAATGGCAGATTAAGTTGGATTATGCCGAAATGATAAAAATGCCTGGAAGGATCAGAAATTGGGAAGAACAAAATTTTAATAAGGAACGGGGGAAATTTATAATTTATCTTAAAAACCATTGTAAACAGCTAAAATTGTTAGTAGGATTGGAATAACACTTGTAATTTAATGGTGAATCTTGGACGTAATGGAGATGTAAAAAGATGTAAAAGATCTGGACGTAATGGAGATGTAAAAAGATGTAAAAGATCTGGATTATTATAAAAGATGCAGGAGGACTAACAATAGGACCCACAAAGGGGAGGAGGGAAGTCCAAGAGATTAATTGGAATCTTGTTTTTATTCTGTATGTTGGATATGTGATAGTAAAACTTTAACCTGAAAAACCAAATAAATAAATTTACATGGAAAAAAGAACGGCGTCTGTGAAAGAGGAGAGATTTCCTCTAGAAACTGCTTGATGCATTCTTAAAGGAAGCCCATTTCACGTCAAGGAAACCAGGTTTGAGGCAACATCTGACACTAACTGTGACCCCTACAGGCTCTTACCAACTTTTTTGTGAACATGGAACTGAATCCCCCCAGGAGGTTGTGGACTCTCCTTCCCTGGAGGTTTTTAAGCAGAGGCCGGATGGCCATCTGTCATGGATGGTTTCGCTGAGATTCCTGCATTGGTCCCTTCCAACTCTACCATTCTATGATGATTACAAACACATATAAAAATAAGAAAGGGAAAAGAGTAAGGTGAAGCGGAGAGCTATCTTGGGTGAGGAACTCGCTGCAAAGATCAAGAGAAGGGGTATGTTGTGGTTGTTAAGACTGAATATTAGACTATTATGATGGAAGAGAACTGGGTTGAGGTCCCCAGTCAGCCATGAGGCCTGTCAAAGTGACTTTGGGCCTCTCAGCCTCACAGGGTTGTTGTGAAGAATTGCTGGGGTACAGTGGGAAGAACCACATTCTCGATCCTGAATTTGGGGGGGGGGAGGGGAGGGCAGGATACCAATGAAATAAATAATTGAAGACTGGGTCTTAAAATAAATTCAAGATGCAGTTGCCAAGAGGCACTGTGCGTTTTTGAGAATATCGTTGCGATTTTCTTTTACATCTCCCTTAAATCGCTACGGCAATGTTATGAACACAAGTCAAATATTGCTATTAATTTTTCATAAAGGACCTAAAACCGTTCGAGCCATGCATAATTAAAACTAAAACGGATCCTTTCCACAAGCTTACAATTTAGATGAGACCCAAGACATCTTAAGGAGAAAAAGGAAAGAAAGGTCAGTTAGGGAATAGTACACTGCATTCTGTGTCCGCCCCCCCCCCCCAGCAGCCCTCTTTAAGCAAACAGATTACTATCTTTGGCATGTATATCTAGTTATACACACCCCATTTACTGTTTATAATGAAGATATAGGAATCGCTGCATGAGATCAACCTCCCTATCACCTTGGAAGCCCCACCAAGGAGGCCAATATTGATTCAGGAAAGAGTAGGAGGAAGCCTCTGGATGAGACCCTCTGCTAGAGGTTAGCTGAACTTTCTCAGAAGACCATTTCTGAGAAAAGGGGAGGTTTTCCTCTCACTTCCCCTGAGAAAAGGGTCAACAGGATGAATGTTCTCCAAGCACTCCTCACCTCCGGGTTAAAGTTACCAGCCCTGGCCTGGCCACATCCCAGAACGTCACTCTACATCGTTGGCAGCAAAGTGGTTGCCAGCACAGCTGCTGGCTGCTGACACCACTTGCAGTGGAAGGAAAGAGATGACAAAAAAACAAAACAAAAACAAAAAACCTTAGGAGAAAGGAAAATAACCCCACCCCAAAAAGTTGCTGGATAATCACCATCACTATCATTATCATTTTATTATTTGTCCTCTGCCCATCTGACTGGGTTGCCCCAGCCACTCTGGGTGGCTTCCAACATACACAAAAGCATAATAAAGCATTAAACATTTAAAAATTCCCTTTACAGGGCTGCCTTTAAATGTCTTCTAAATGTTGCATAGTTTCTTATCTCCTTGACATCTGAGGGAGGTGGTGTTCCACAGGATGGGCACCACTACCGAGAAGGCATTCTCCCTTCTCCCTGGTTCCCTGTAGCTTCACTTCTCACAGGAGGGAACAGCCAGAAGGCCCTTGGAGCTGGACCTCAATGTCTGGGCTTAATAATGGGGGTGGCGAAGCTCCTTCAGGTATGCATTTTTACTCCAGAATCTCTCTGCCACCTGGAGAAATTGGCTGAAAATGTGAACTGCCCTGTGATCTTTGGATGAAGGTAAAGGTAAGGGGACCCCTGACCCTGCGGTTTAACCCACAGCGCCACCCGCGTCCCTTGGATGAAGGGTGGCATACAAATTTAAAAAATAAGAATAATGTTCTCTGCCAATTCCTCAGCCCGCAATTAAGGTGGGGAATCCTGAGAGGCCCATTGCCCTCTTCTGCCCTTCTTAATCGTGGCCTCATTTGCTAGGGTAAATTTGCTGCGGGCGATGGGAGATGTAGTCTAAAACAGCTGGAGATGAGCCAGGCTGGCAAAGGCTGTGCGAGGGGCACCCCCGCCTTCCCCTTGCCCACGCAGCATGTGGCCCAAACACCTCCTAGTGCTCACACAACCTTAATTTGTTTCACTGCCTCGCTGTCACCAAAGGCTCCTCTGAAGCCAGACGAGTCTGGCTAGTATTTCTGCTGACTCAACAGCGAGCTTTGCAAAAGGGGTGTCATGTGTCAGCCACAAGGAAACAGCAGCCAGGCACCATCTCCTCCAAGACGGAGCAAAACACTGGAAGCCAGATGTCAGCTTCTTTCCCCCAAAACAACAGAAAATTCTGTCCTTTTACTCCTCCATCTTTAAAGACTGCAAAAAGCTCGGACTGCCCATCTGTCACTCGCCTTAAAAGTTATCACCGCGACAGAGCCATTTAAAAACACAACTTCAGGTCGCGCTGTAACGCTGCTAACCTAGCAGACACCACAGCCTTTTAAATGAATACAAAGAACTAAAGACAAAGAACAGTGGAACGCATATGTAAAGATAATGCATCAACCCACTTATCTCCCCAGTTCCCTTCCAGGAATGCTCTAGAGGAGAACATGTTTAATAAAAAATTAACCATGAGATGCAACCTACAGAAGGCCCAGCTGTAAAAGTCGCTTACGGTGGGTTCATTTTTACTCCAGAACCAGAGCTGCCGGCAACTGTTTGCACTCACTAAGAGATGACAGCATTCAGTAGCACCCCACTCTGAGTTATTTTCATAGCATCATAGAATTGTAGAGTTGGAAGGGACACCAAGGGTAATCTAGTCCAACCCCCTGCAATACAGGAATATTAGCTAAAGCATCCATGACAGATGGCCATCCAACCTCTGCTTAAAAACCTCAAAGGAAGGAGAGTCCACAACCTCCTGAGGGAGTCGGTTCCACTGTCAAACAGCTCTTACTGTCAACGTTCTTCCTGATATTTACCGTATTCGGAATCTCCTTTCTTGTAACTTGAAGCCATAGGTACGAGTCCTACCCTCCAGAGCAGGAGAAAACAAGCTTGTTACCTCTTCCAAGTGACAGCCCTTGAGATATTTGAAGATGGCTATCTTATCTTATGAGGAATCGGGTGGTGCTGTGGGTTAAACCACAGAGCCTAGGCCTTGCCAATCAGGAGGTTGGCGGTTCAAATCCCTGCGACGGGGTGAGCTCCCATTGCTCAGTCCCTGCTCCTGCCAACCTAGCAGTTCGAAAGCATGAAGTGCAAGTAGATAAATAGGTACCACTCCGGCGGGAAGGTAAACGGCGTTTCCGTGCGCTGCTCTGGTTCGCCAGAAGCAGCTTAGTCATGCTAGCCACATGACCCTGGAAGCTGTACGCCGGCTCCCTCAGCCAATAAAGTGACATGAGCGCCGCAACCCCAGAGTCAGCCACGACTGGATCTAATGGTCAGGGGTCCCTTTACCTTTACCTATCGTATCTTATAACCAGCTCCTTCAACCTTTCCTCATAAGGTTTGGTTTCCAGAACCTTGATCATCTTAGTTGCCATCTTCTGCACATGTTCCAGCTTGTCAACATCCTTCTTAAACTGTCATGCTCAGAATCGGACACAGTATTCCAAGTGTGGTGTCACCAAGGCAGAATAGAGTGGTACTATTACTTCCCTTGATCTGGACACTATACTTCTGTTGATGCAGCCTAGAACAGCATTAGCTTTTTTCTCAGGCTTACTTTGAACAAATTCCTGTCCCCTGCAGATATCGTTAGACTGCAAACCCTATCACCCCTAACCACTGGCCAGGGTTGATGGGAGCTGGGCATCCAACAACTAATGATGAATCACAGGTTCCCTACCACTGGTGTAAAGGCAAGAGTCCATCAACTTCTGCACAGGGCATTTTGCAGGCATGAATTGTGTGGTCACTGGAAGGAACTGAATGACTACATAGCTTAGGCCAACATGCACTGAACTTTATCATGTTGGCCCTGTGCAAACATTAGATCCATGAGCATGTAACTTCTGCACTGAAATCCCTTCGTCTGATCAACCATTAAATCTAGAAAGATACTGAGGGGGTTTTTTTTGTACATGCAGTTCTTTTTTATTTGTTGTTATATATTTGAAAATGAAAATATTTTTTAGAAATACCAATGGGTTAATATATTAAAAAACAAACTTCACTGCTGCAGCAGGTGCCAGGGTGTAATCAATATGTACAGATAAGCTGATACACTTCCTTGCTTTATAGCAGCTGGGTTTCCACAATATTTGGAGTGTATAGGGGAGGCTTACAGTTTAAAACATGAAAATGCTGGCCCAGCTCTTATCACCAGATCTGCCAATACATAAATATGCCAGAACAGATCAATATTTTTAAATGAATATGGGGGAGAAGTGATCACACAAGCCATTATTGGACTTACAAATGTCACAGGGTTCCAGAATTCTGATTCCAAAGCTCTAAATAGACACTATATACAAACAAACTGTCCCTCTTAAGAGCTTAACTGCCTGAGATGAGCCAAACCCAAACAACCTGATTGGTGACATCAGAGCAGCTCAACCAATGAGAAGCTAGGCAAGGAGAAAACCAAGCCATCCATCAGAAGTGAGTTTAAATGACAAGGGCCCACTACTAGCACAGAATTAAGTTCTATAACACAATGGGATTTGCTTGCAAGTAAAAGTGCATGCCATGGGTGGGTGGCTAACCCATGGGCCTCCAGATGTTGTTAGACTCCAACTCCCACCATCCCCAGGCAGTATAGCCAGTGTTCAGGGACGATGGGAGCTGTAATCCAACATCTGGAGGGCTACAGGTTGGCCACCCCTAGTGTACAGAATTTGCTTTATACATCTCTGAACCTAGCAGTGCCCCTTTCAACCTCGTGAAACCCAGCAAAGCATCCAAGTTGCCTGGATGGACTCTGTTGACACCAAGCACAGCAACCATTCCTAACAACAGAAACACACTTCTTCTTTCATTTGCTCAATTCAAAGTTCACAGAATCAAACAAAGCCAGCTTTCTGACTCACACCCAGTCTAAAGTGATAATAAAAAACACTTTTGCCATTTCACAACCATGAAGCAAGCAAAACGGAAATACCTTGTTTTAATAGTTTTATTGCAGTTTATATTAAAAGGGATACCACACAAAATTTTATCAGTTAAGAAAGAATAAATACTAAATGCAAATTGGCTGGAAATGATGGTTTGGAAGAAAACGATGGGCGGAAGTAACCATAGTTTACCTGATTCATACACTGATGTAAACTTTGGTTGTAGTGAACCAGTGAGTGAGTGAATCAGGAAAGCGAGGCAGGCCAAAGAAGGGCATGGGTGAGAGAAGGGCTTGTGAGCAGGTCAAAACTGTTGGGCACCTGCCAAGGTTCAAACCTGAGGAGGGTGCCAATTTTTTCCTAACAGCCGCAGCACAGACCTGACACTGCCAATGACGAAGCCATGGTACCAGCTAGGAAACAAACAAATGTTCTTGCTTTTATTGTAAATGCTGAATTTAATCAGAAAGTGCAGTTAAGAAGCAAAATGAGGATTGAGAGTTCAGAAAAGGAGCATTACGTTTTCAGTCTTAAAAGCCACAATTCACCAGAGTCCCAAAATATACAAAACTGATTTACCTAATATATTGAAAGAGGCTGTAGAAAACACTTGCAGCATCACTACATCAGTAGTTTGTTTCTGTGCATTATTGTGGCAGATACTTTGTGAAGGATGGTGTGTCTTAGCTTGAACCAATCCATTTTTTTATATAAAAAAGTTATATTGGTGGTTGTTTTCTAACACTTTTGCCCCATTTTCTTCCTTCTTCTTTTTTTTAAAGAAAGGAAGTGTGGATGAGAAGAAGAAAAAACCTAAAATGTGGTGCTTGAAGCCTATGTTCTGCACTCTTATTGCCTCCTACTTTTGATGTATCTGCCTGGCTTGCTCTCCAACCGTATGATCAAAGTCAGACCATGCCCTGGGGAGGCAGTATCCAGCTACATCATGCCACTGAAATGCTTGTGGCAAGCGCACTCACGCCAAAGAGGACGACAGCTTTTCAAAACACTGCCTGCTGCCAGCAGCTTCCTCTAAACGGTGTGATGAGGCCAAAACCACATAATCTCTGAGGTCACTCCAGCCTTTGGGACTTAGGTTAACGAGGAAAACCAAGTGCCATACAGTCTGCGGGCTTCTAGATTAGGCTTCTGCAGGCTTATTTTAAAGCTGACATGGTTAAAAATGAAGCATGTGCATGAATGGTGGACACAAATGCACGTGTGCAGATGTTTCCAAATTGCAGATCCAGGGGATGAGCTGTATGGGCAGAGAAAGTCCTTGATGCCATTTGGACCCTCCTGTTGCAGTCAGGACATTTCCTGAGCATTTCACTAAGGGTTTAAACCACTGGGAATGTCCCAGAAGGCTGATGGGCTCCCACACAGTTTACCCTTTGCAGAGCCACACTTCTCAGCTCCCTTAAACTACAGTTCCCAGGATTCTCTGGGGCAAGCCATATGCACTGAATGTGCTTTAAAAGTATGGTCTGGATGTGACCATCCTATCTTCCTTTTGTCAATGTCAACCAGGAGGAACGTTACATCTGCATCAAGTTTAATGCTAATCATGGTTGATTTTAAACCAGAGCTTGAATCTAACCCAGAAACCCTGAATCAGCTGGTTTACAAATTCTGAATACCTTGGTGCAGGCATGAGCAATATGCTGAAAAGGAAATAGTGGAGGGGGTCTGTGCTGAGGGGGCAGGGAATGGACAGTGTGAGCATGCAAGGAATCCCTTCTCTCCTAACAATGGTTAAATTATCAGGAAAATGTTACACCTGCGCTAGGCCTTAGTGATTTTATACAGCTGCTCACATGGAATTTTGTTATGAAAGTCAGCAGCCCAAAGCCTGTGTAGATCGTTTTCTGCACAAAAGGATTTTTGCACATGTTATAAAGCCAGAATTTATCCCCCTTTCAATATTTGTTGGGATTAGTTATCCTTCCTGACAAATATGGAGCAAGTGCTCAAGACACATAGACATATGTTCACGGGAAGACTAAAATTACTTACAGCAATCCTGAAAGCTAGGCTAGTTTTAACAGCTCTACATTACAAACAGGGATGGGGGCAAGACCCACAAGTCTGAGATCTGAAAGAGGGAATTCCAGTTCTCAAGCACTGGCCTGTACCTGCTTTCTTAAGCCGTTATTCGTATGTTTTGTCTTATAATTACCTTTGTAAACCGCTTTAATATATTGTTGTGAAAGTGGTATATAAATATTTTGAAATACATAAACTAAGGCATGGAAGCGCACCAACTTTTGTCAGGACTGCAGCCTGTAGAAAGGTGAGGTTTAGCCCTCTCCCACCTTGCTATGGAAGGGATACTCTCTTCTCATGGGCAGCAATGTGTGACCGACATGTACAGTGGCATGTACCACAAGTAGGGTACCCGTTTCTGGCGGCCTCTCTACATAAAAGCCTCCTTACAAGTTAAAAAACTGCACATCTGGGAGAGCTGTCCCACTCTGAGTCACTTCCTGCTGTACTACTTGTATGTATAGAGAGTTTTGTGGGGTTCCCCGCCCCCATCTATGTGCTCTCCCCACCTGCAGCCTAAAGTGTTACCATTCATTCTAGCAGGTGATAACAGGAATGGTGGAAGTGACTCAGCTTTCTGTCCCCTGCCCACTGCAATTGGTAGCACACTCAAAACCACTCGGAGAAATGAACACAACTATGATTTATTCAGGATGATTTACCCAGTGTTTTTATTTTGCTTTATATATTGTGATATTTTTGGCGAACTGCCCTGAGACCTCCAGGTGTGGGGCGGTATATCAATTCAATAATTTTTTTAAAAAATAAAAAAAACCTAATTCTCTCTACCAAATCACAGAAAGGTGCAAAACGCACTAAAATAGAACTGCCATCACAGTAACTGAATGTAACAGAGAACTTTACATGGCAAATCTAGTTATCACAGCAGTTTCAAATCCCAGCCTTCTAATGAGAAACTTGCACATACCTACTACAGATGCCAGCAGGAGGTGGGGTGTGTAGGGATGAGAGCCAGGTACAATTTTCTGGTCCTCAGAGGGCTAAACTGGCTAGGGGTCCCTGCCAGGGACCAACTGGTTTTTTGTTTGAGTTTATAACTTTCTTCTAACAAACTCCTAGCTTGGGTCTCAGACGAGCTCCAGTACTGTAAGTGCTGGCACTAAACTGGTGACAATTAGGGCTGGACGACATCTGGTTTTCAACACTGTGATATATAACCAGCTAAACATTGTGATGGGGACGCAGGTGGCGCTGTGGTCTAAACCACAGAGCCTAGGGCTTGCCGACCAGAAGGTTGGCCATTCGAATCCCCACGACGGGGTGAGCTCCCGTTGCTCGGTCCCTGCTCCTGCCAACCTAGCAGTTTGAAAGCACGACAAAGTGCAAGTAGATAAATAGGTACCGCTCCAGCGGGAAGGTAAACGGCGTTTCTGTGCGCTGCTCTGGTTTTACCAGAAGCGGCTTAGTCCTGCTGGCCACATGACCCGGAAGCTGTCTGCGAACAAACGCCGGCTCCCTCGGCCTGCAAAGCGAGATGAGCGCCACAACCCCAAAGTCGTCAGCAACTGGACTTAACGGTCAGGGGTCCCTTTACCTTTACAACACCATGATATACCAAAATATAACCATGTCTGAAATAAGGATGGAGCTATGTGAAGGCATTGGCTGGCTTCACTGTTTTTCCTGTATCATGATTCTTGAATAGCACACACAGGTTTAGATGCACATAGGGAAACATGTCTGTTGAAATTAACATACATCTCACCATAGTGAAGAAAACTGTAGCCAAGTGAGCTATGCTCCTGCTCAGTCTCCTGTCTCGGAGCTAAGCTGACCTCCTCTTCCTTCTTATGGTTCTTATCTTTAAAAGAAACTTTGACTGGGCAACCCATTCAAAATAGAGGACGTCTTCAAACAGAAAGGCTGCCCTACCTCAAATACACTTTGCATAATTTACTCTGGTTCTGAAAGCCATTTGGATGTCTCAGCAACACACAGGATATTCATCCTCCCGAAGAAGCAAGAGGAGAGTCATATTTGGGAACCATCAGTGGAGGTTTTGAAAGAATTCATCACTGACGAAAGCACTTCAGAGGCACAATAATGTAAATTCTTCAATCAAATCCCAAATTGGTCATTGTTGTTACAGTACCTGATTGGGACATTTTTTTCTTTTTCTGTTGGTACTCTCATTGAGTATTCCTGCAGGTAGGATATGTGTTTAAAAAGTGTTAAGAGCTCATTTAGTATTTTTGGAAATTTTTAAATTAGAAGTGAACAGGCCCAGTTTTATCCAGGAAGAAAATACAAAGGTCACCAGCACATACGATTTACCAGCTGAGGGTAACAATTCTGAACCTTCTCTCTCACCCCTATCTTCTGCAGGGCTGGCTACTCCCTGGCACCCTAAGAATGACCAATAAATGCAAATTTGTATTTGGCTGTAGTTGCCAAATGTTGGTTGAAGGACAGGGTCCTGGTATTCACAAAGGGCATATTCCTGATATCACACTATCTTTGAAACACAGCACAAGGTCAAGGACAATCCACCAATCTCAACTTTGAAGTTGGACAGAATTGAACTATGGGCACCCGGTGGTGATACGAACACCATGTAAATCTGGGGCAAAGGGAGCAAAAATTTATAGCCATTATGGTTATGAAAATATGGTTGAAAGCATATGGGCAACTGCCTAACGAGATTTCTGAAACGAGAATAAAGGTTTATGGAGAGCAGAAAGGGTTTTTTTTAGTGACCTGTATAGCTCCTTTCCCCTCTCCCATGACTAACAAAATCTGAATTAAGCAAAACTAATAAAAAGGCAGAACCATGCAAATAAATTATGCATTTATTGAATTTGCATAGCTTATACAGGTGGCAGAACTGAGGGTTTGCTTAAGTGCAGAATTTGAATTGCTTTGGCAGGGAACTTCTCTTACACATCCAAAGAACAAAATATGCTTTGCTGTAGTTTTGGAATGGCAGCTGTTGCTATTTTGAGAACACACACAAACACACTCCTAGGTTGGATTTCAATTAGCAAATGAGACCTAGGATGGCAGAAAACATCCCATCAACTTTCTTGTTTGTTTTTTTTGTTTTATATAAAAAAAATACAATGCACTTGCTTCCTTTTAAGATAGCATTCAGTATAACTGATTTCCATCTCTTCCATTTCCCCCCAACTGAACTGATTCACAAATATGCAGCTAAGTTATTCCAACAATATGGGCTGCTGTGACAGAGTTACAGAATGAGAAGCTTCTGTTGGGGATGGGAAATGTACAGCTCTACTGATTTTCAAGGGCTCTCAAATTTCATGTCCACTGATATTAAGCAGTAAGGTTATACACAGAAATTAGGTACTACCCGAATATAATAAAATACTTGCTACTCCATTTATACGATGAAATTGCTAGGATAGGACTACTGTGAAACGTGATCAGCACCACTTTGGACATTTGCCTGAAACTATACAGTGGTACCTCTGGTTACATACGCTTCAGGTTACATACGCTTCAGGTTACAGACTCCGCTAACCCAGAAATATTACCTCAGGTTAAGAACTTTGCTTCAGGATGAGAACAGAAATCGTGCTCCTGCGGCACAGTGGCAGCAGGAGGCCCCCTTAGCTAAAGTGGTGCTTCAGGTTAAGAACAGTTTCAGATTAAGAACAGACCCCCAGAACGAATTAAGTACTTAACCCGAGGTACCACTGTAGTTTAAGAGGCACAACCATTCTTTTTTTCATAACGCAGTGTGAAAAAGTTTTCTCTCCACATACCACTGCAGAAAATGTGGAGCACGTAACAAATTGTTATATCATTTGTATGCAATTTATTATTGCTTTTAAAATGTACGATCCTATGCAGCTTAGCACGACACACATGGTTAACTTAATAGAATTCGCAGCCACAAACACGTGGCAAAAGGGCTACAGCCATGCTTGCAAAATGAGGATTAGACAAATTCAGAATAATAATCCTAACAGTAGCCATGATGCTGAATGCAATCTTGTTCAAAAGTACTATTCCCGGTTCTGGCTCCGGGAATTTGGGGGTCCTTGGGCACGGCACCTTCCGTGGGCCCCTCTAACCTGGAAGCGGTGGGACATGCAAACTAAAGAGTTTCCTTAGGCTGTCCCTGCTTTATGGATGCTAAGTGGAAATGGCAGGACCCTCTGCTGCTCTTGCTCTGCCCTGGCAAATGCCCAACTTGGACACCCACTAGAGGTGGTCTCAAGGATACCTCGGAATACCAGTTGCTGGGGACAAACAATGGGTAGGGCTGGGGTCTTCATGGTCTCCTTGTGGGGCTCCCAGCTACATGTGGCCCAGCTACTTCAAAAGAAGGAAGGGGGAAATTATGCTGGACTAGGCGCACCTTTCATCTGACCCAGCAAGGCTCTTAAAAAATACAAAATGCAAATATGGTGCATTGCAGGAGGTTTGACTAGATGAGCCTTGTGGTCCCTTCCAACTCTACAATTCTACGATTCTATGAAAGCAATATTGTTGAAGCTGTATGGGTCTGGTCAGTGCCTGGGAAGACCATCTGGGAACTCTATCTATTCTCTCTCTCTCTCTCTCTCTCTCTCTCCCCCCCCAAGCATGCTCACTCACTCACTTGCATTTTGTTGAGGAAAGGCAGGATATAAATGCAATAAAAAGGCAGAGCCATCATGCATTTCCAGATTCACTAGATACAGTGGTGCCTCGCAAGACTTAATTAATTCGTTCCGCGAGTTTTTTCGTCTTGCGGTTTTTTCGTCTTGCGAAGCACGGTGTCGGAAAAGTTTTGGAAAAGCTTCAAAAATCACCAAAGTCTTCAAAAACCTCAAAAAAGGCTACCACACCGCGTGCTATGAGTTGCTCCTCGAAGTCAAGTCGCAACTGTATTAGCGGTTTTAAGAAAAAGGAAACAAACTTGCAAGACGTTTCCGTCTTGCGAAGCAAGCCCATAGGGAAAATCGTCTTGCAAAGCAACTCAAAAAACCAAAAACCCTTTCGTTTTGCGAGTTTTCCATCTTGCGAGGCATTCGTCTTGCGAGGTACCACTGTATAAGTGTTTTGGAATGTAAATACTAAACAAGCAATGCAGCGGAGAACAGCCCACTTGTTGGCCATACAAGCAAATCTAAGTGAAGAGTCAGCAGCCTAAACACTCACACTCACAAAGTGTCAGCTACCAAAGATGAAAGGTGAAACTGACACCTACGTGATAATTTTTTATATTTTTATGAACAGATTACAGCCAGGTACAGATTATGAATTGGAAGAGCAAAGCAAAACGAGACAAAGGATGGATAGCGCTGGCAGTGAACTGACGGAGGATGTTCACACCACCAGCAAGGCAATTATGAAGCTTAAAGTCTGTGATACTGACAGCACAACAAAAGCAGTGTTTATCTCTCTCCATTCTGTAACCAATTGCCAACACACACACACACACACACACACACACACACACCCCTCTCCTTTTACAGAATCGCAGACCAACATTTGAGCCTCCTTTGTTTCCACAGCCCTGTCTTCTTTGTGTGGCACATCATTGAGAAAGGCTGCCCTCCTGCGTTCATTAGCGCAGGCTGAGCAAAGATGCTCTTTGTAGCTGGAATGGCTTCAAGCTGGCCTCTTAAAAATAAAAAATAAAAAAATTAACTACCAAGTCAGAGAGCGCAAAATTAGTCTGAAGGTTTACACAGAAGTAAGAAGCAAGGCGTGTGTGTGTGTGCTTTATGTGGCAAAGAGCACTGTTCCTAGATTTTCATATAAAAGTGGCCATGCTCACAGGTTGGCATCGATCCCGCAAAGCCATTTTAAAACAGCACTCATGCCTACAGCTGCTTTCTGCACTAAGTGGAGGCTGCTTACTAAAGGATCCCCGACTGTCAGAAGGAAACCCAAAGCAATTTGTGATAAAAGACTGCCTGTGATGAATGTAGAACGTATTATGGCATGCCCAACTGCAAAAGGGAACATACTAAACACCGCAAGCACACCTAACAAGAAAAGGTGATACAGAATCTAATTGCAGTTCAGGGCTGCCTTAACACTCTGGGTTTTTGCAGCTTTTTATTCCTAGACAAAGTAGCCACACGAGCAAACAAGTACGCATGTCTGCCTCCGGTACTTTTTTAGTGTCCTGGCAATGCTTGCCCAATTACTAGGCGTGGTTATGGCTACGCACCCATGGCTGAGGTTAACAGTTTAAGAAAGGACAAAACACTCCTGACGCAGATATGGCGGCTCAGTTCTAAATGGCCACGCCATGATTCTGGAAACCAAAAGATTTTAGACTTTGTGAGCCAGTGCTCCAGTGCCGCAAGCTGTTTTGAAAATCAAGGGGATCAGCAGTGTGGAATGAAGGAGTGTCAAAAAATCAACTGGGCACCTGCAAGGCGTCCCTGAAGTATCTCACGACAAGGTTAGAACTGCTGCTCAGGCAGTTAAAATTTTCACACTGTGATGTGTCTGTCCAGTCACAGATGTCTCAGCAGTCCATTCTCTCTTGTGAAAAAGGCAAATGTCTTGGGAGGAGTTCATAGCTCAAGGGTACAACATATAGGTGGTACCTGGAAGATCCCAGGTTTAATCCAGGTTAGAAACACCACAAGACTTCTGTCTTGAGTCCTTTGAAAACAACTGTCCGTCTGTGGACAAAGTGGTCTGATCCGGTGTGACTTTAGGCATCGCTGCATAATGGTTAGAGTGCAGTTCTAGTACTGGGGAGGCCTGTGTTCAAATTTCTGTTCTGCCATGCAACTCATTGGGTAACCATGGGTCATGAACTGTCTCACAATCTAACTGCCTGACAGTGTTCTTGTGAGGGTGCTTATCACTCTGAGCACCTTGGAGGAAAATTGGGGTACAAATTTAATAAACAAAATAGGGTGCAATTCTGCAGGAATGCTGAAAAAGCAAAATAAATGCAGCAGCAGGCACAGAATTCAGCTTCCTGAGAATCTCAAAACTTCGAGATGTTAAAAATAATTAAAAAGCAAGTTTCTAGCCTTTTATCTACAGAAGCCAGTGGTTCTATGCTGGGAACTAAATGAGCTCCAAGCTTCCCTTTGACGTTAAAATTAATGTTGTATGCAGAAAATGTTTTAATGTAGAAGATGATATTTTTGACATTTGGATTTAAGAAAAATAGATGTACCAGGCCAAAATGCTTTCAACAAGTAGATGCACACAGAAGCTTCCTGTTTTTCTCCCAATTTGCAGGCATGGCCTTGCTCAACCGCTCAGCTTACAAGCCCAATTTATTTTATTTTATTTTTGTTCTGACAAAGAGGACGAATTATGAGTTCTTCCGATTCTCAACCATGAAGGTATCAAAACAATTGTTGCGAAACATGTCCTTTCTCTACTTCTCTCATACTTCTTTCTGCCTTGCAGGATGAGAAATCATTTCTCATATCAAATAACTTCCCCTGCCCCCCCCCCGACTTTCCCCATTTCTATAGAGAACATCTGGCATTTTGGAGCCCTGCTCCTAAAGTTTTGCAACAGGGGCTCTGCTTGAAATACAATGTTCACATTCTGAAAGAAAAACATTGTGCAGGTGAAGACAGTTCCTAATTCCTTCTAAGGTAGGTGCAGACCTAAGGTAGCTACAAACAAACATTTATACCCTACCCATCTGGCTGGGTTGCTCTTAAGCTTAGCTGTGGTTAAGATATAAAGACTGCCTACAGCAGGCACAGGCAAACTCGGCCCTCCAGGTGTTTTGGGACTACAATTCCCATCACTGCTGACCACTGCTCCTGTTAGCTAGGGATCATGGGAGTTGTAGTCCCAAAACATCTAGAGGGCCGAGTTTGCCTGTGCCTGGCCTACAGGCTTTCCCCCCTCTTTCCCTTTTGATGCAGGAAGTATTATCTCTGGTTAATGCCTCATTCTCAAAGGTTTTAGAGGGCACATACAGCAAAGTCCCTGTGAATAACATATACCATACAGTGGATGCTCGGGCTGCGAACGTGATCCGTGCGGGATGCATGTTCGCAACCTGCAGCGGCGCGTCTGCGCACCCGCGGGTTGCAATTTGGCGCTTCTGTACATGCGCGACCGCCGAAAGCTGGAAGTAACCCATTCCGGTACTTCCGGGTTTTGGCAGTCTGTAACCCGAAAAAATGCAACCTGAAGCTTCTGCAACCCGAGGTATGACTGCATTTGTAATAATGAAGAGATGGAGTTAAGGGTCAGGTTCACACATAACACTAAGCCATGGTGTAATGTAAAACAAGGTTTATAAATCTACAGCAAACCATGGTTTACGAGTATAATTTGTTTGTGCTTAATAAGCCATGCTTAAGTGGCTGGGTCATCTTTGGCCTGTTAAATACAGTGTGGCTCAGTTAGCACCTTTCGCATTTGTAGGAATAGATAGGTGGTGTGCATGAGAGAGAGAGAATGAATGGAAAGAAGGGCGGCAGTAAGAGAGGAGAGAGTATCCCCACTCACTTTGACCCAGTGGTGAAGCTCATTGGAATACCCTGGTCTACTGGCCCCTCCCAACATAACTTACTTCACAAGGTTGTTGTGAGGATAAAATTAGGAGGGAGAAATCCCACACACCACCCCGAACTCCTTGGAAAAATGTGGATAAAAAAATGTAAATCAAAGAACAGGCTATTTATTATCCTACTTTTTTTTGCAGTAGCTTGTAGGATCCAGCTCCAATTAATGTGGATAACTGTTCTAAATGATTTACTGCAATGTGCTTTTATTGGGTACCAGCACACCCCTTTGCTTAACTCTACAAAAGAAGTTTAGACATTTTAAGCTACAAGCAAGCTATACATTGTCAGTGAACACTCTGCTGGTCTGATATCTGGGTTGCCTATCAGCGTTTCAGATTCCACACGTCTGCACAAGCTTAAATTTGTTTTTGAGAAAGGCTGTATGGAAATGTCTAGATATTTTAATAGGCTTAGTATGAAAATGTAGTCGTAGTGAGAATTCCTTCTAAACCGTTAGACGTTTCGGAGATCAGATTCTCCTCCCCTCCACCTGGTGGGATTTTAAAAGGAGAATATCTTGAAGGAGGTGCCCCCCCCCAATACACACAGGAGGTCGAAGGACAGGGAACATATCTGGGCATTGGATAACACAGGGCAGCCCCCAGATGGAGAAGTGTGAAGGAAAACACTCACGTTTGCAAGAGAAGCATGCAACCCAAGAGTGGCTGCCATGTACTATACCGGATACTAGGATTAACCAATTTACTCATTGGTTCAGTTATTATTGGTATATATTAATTTATACCCCACCTTTTCCCATGATAGGACTCAAGGCAGCTCACAGATAAAAACAATCACTGTGAAACACATTGGAAAAACAGCAGTTAAAAACAATTAAACACCAAGAGAATTAAAACTATATACAGTCGTACCTTGGTTGACGAATGCCTTGCGAGTCAAACGTGAGTGTTCCAGTTTGCGAACATTCTTTGGAACCCGAACGTCCGGAGCGGCTTCCGATTGGCTGCAGGAACTTCCTGCAGCCAATCGCAAGTCGCACCTTGGTTTCTGAACGTTTCGGAAGTCGAACAGCCTTCCGGAATGGATTCTGTTTGACTTCCGAGGTATGACTGTACAGTGGAACCTCAGTTCCCGAACGCCTCCATTGTCGTATGTTTTGGTTCTTGAACTCTGAAACCCAGAAGTAAATGCTTCCATTTTTGAACCTTTTTCAGAACCCGAATGTGACGCAGCTTCTGCTGAGTGCAATAAACTTTTGCAACCAATAGGAAGCCGCGCCTCGGTTTTCTAACGTTTCAGAAGCTGAACGGGCTTCCGGAACGGATTTCGTTCAGTAACCGAGGTACCACTGTACATACATATATAAAATCTGTTTAAAACATACAAATAATTACAATACGAAACAGCCCAGCACAAGCCCTTTCATTAAAAGCAGTTGGTTCCCAAAAGCCAGCTGGAACAAGAAGGTATTCACCTGCTGGAGGAGGGACAGCAAGGAGGGAGCCAGTCTAGCTTCTCTAGGGAGGGAGTTCCAGAGCCTGGGAGCAGCCACCGAGAAGGCCCTTTCCTGTGAGGGTGGTGGGACAGAGAGAAGGGCTTTCCCCTGAAGATCTCACAACCAGGGCAGGTTCATATGAAGGAATCTGTTGTGAACTGCCCTGGGATCGTAGGATGAAGGGCGGTATACAAAGTACAGTGGTACCTCGCGTTAAGAACTTAATTCGTTCTGGAGGTCCGTTCTTAACCTGAAACTGTTATTAACCTGAGGTACCACTTTAGCTAATGGGGCCTCCTGCTGCCGCCGCGCCGCCAGAGCATGATTTCTGTTCTCATCCTGAAGCAAAGTTCTTAACCCGAGGTACTATTTCTGGGTTAGCGGAGTCTGTAACCTGAAGCGTCTGTAACATGAAGCATCTGTAACCCGAGGTACCACTGTAAATACATTTTTAAAAAGGTCTCTCGGATAGCTTGGACCTAAGCCACGCAGGGCTTCCTAGGTCATAACCAGCACTTTCAATTGTGCGCGGAAACAGAGTAGTAGCCATTGGAGTTGTTGCAGCAAGGGAGTCATATGCTCCCCATAACCAGCCCCAGCCAACAATCTGGCTGCAGCTCCTTGAGCCAGTTGAAGTTTCTGAGCACCTTTCAAAGCCATCCCCACATAGAGCGTATGGCAGTAGTTCAACTGGGGTGCAACTAAGGCATGTGTCCCTGTGGTCAAATCAGAAATCTCAAGGAACAGGTGTAGCTGGTGCACTAGCTTCAACTGTGCAAATGCAATTCTGGCCACTGCAGAAACCTGGGCATCTATGGTCAGGGTTGAGTCGAGAAGCACACCCAAACTCGTTATCTATGCATCCCTTTATGTAAATGACCGGGAGTTGTTTCTACTCCTGGAAATATAGACTTTTCTATCATAAATAACCCAAAAATATGTACCAGATAGAGCCCCACTAGTTTCAGAGATAAGACTCTCTTTGGCAATAACCCACATCAAAGCACATCAACAACGTTCTGACCCGTAAAACGGTTTTTAAAATATAAAATTTCTCCAAGAGTGGCAGATCTCTAAAAAGAGTGTAACCAGAATATGCTGCAAATCACGACGACACAGTTTCCCACTGATATGGAGCAAAATTTACAATTTTGCACTTTACAGAGAATGTGACAAGATAGACCCTGATAAAGGAGGCAGACATTTTTGGCCAAATCACCGCAATAGTTTTGTGTTCCAAAAACATTCCATCATCCCTATGCCATATCTTGATGAAAGCATCGTGCCAATTTTTGCTGGATGATGCTAAAACGGTATGATTTATTCCAATTGCAACATTGGGAGGAAAAAGTTCGAGGACATTAGTGTTTTGGCAATGGTTGGTGGGAAAGGGCAAAGGAGGAGGCAAGTAATGGAGCAGGGATGCGGCAGGGCAGGGGTAGCAGAGCTGTACAAGGCAGATATGTATGTGAAAAATGAATATATATGGAGCCATCCCTCATTAATGGAAGCTCTAAGGAACACTTCAACAGGCATCTGCACATTTTCAAGCTTTTTTTCCATGAGTATAAAGTCTAGCATTTTGGGTTTTAAATAGATAAAGTCAGTTCCCAAGGTTGTTACACCCTACTGCAGCCCTTGCCAACAACCTGGGGCCCTACAGATTCTGTGTACTGAATTCTCATCAGCCCTAGACATCATCGCTGCACTGCTGGCTGGGACTAACGGGAGCTGTAATTGACCAAATCTGAAGGGCACCAGGTTGGCAAAAGATGCTGTATACGGTTGACTGTGAAATCTGTGTATAAGAAAAAGAGAATATCGTTTGGCAGACGAAGGAAGGGGATGCAGGCTTTCTATACAAAAACACGACTCAAAGGTTACAACATACCTTATGAGAAAGAAATTAAAATTCGAAACTGCTTTGGATCCCTTATAACCCATAGAATACAAAACCCAAATAATATTAAAACACAATGAAAAACAAATGTTTCTATTCAAAATCTGATACCAGATCAGCAGTAAGCTTCCCAAAGTTCATTGGTTGGCTTTTAATTCCTCTTGGGGGAAAAAATTCACCACTTACAGATGGTTTACATTTAGAAGACTATTTAATATACACATGCACCTCCGGCAAAGATGTTTGGCATCTCTCCCTGAACCAAATTGCCAACTGCATGGCATTTGTTTGTTCCAATGGCCTAGTTTCTTTCTTTGTTTCTTTTTTTAAGGCATTAAATTGTGTTAAAAGCTGAACCTATCAAACCACAGAGCCTTGGAGCTGGTTCACAAAATTTAAAAAGACAAGCATCAGGTGTGGCGCCCAAAGCCATCTACAGTTACTTTTGCACTTAGGTGGGGATTGTGATGTGTGAATTAGCCCATCCACAACTGTGGCTGCTGCAAATTTTTGCACAAATCAACCACAATTTTTGCACAAAAGAGCCAGCCCTAGGAATTGCTTCTACACAACCACATTTAAATGTTTTCTTCACCTCTCTGGTCATGTTTGTGCACAATACTAAAGCATGGCTTAGCTCACAAGACCATGCAAAACACTGGGTTCGCATGCTGCCCTCCGCTGCCTGCCCAAGAAGAAGCCTGCTGAGTTTAGTTTTGCTTTCAAAGAATCTCAGCTTAGTACAAATAGGGTCCCCTGCCTCTTACCACCCGAGCAACTTCTGCTTTACTTGAAGCTTGTGGCAAATTTACCAAAAGATGGAGAATAAAATCTCCTGACAATTACTGAAAATTATTTACCGATATTTAAAATGCTAGCTGATGTATAAAAATTACATTTGTCAGGGGCATTACTGAATGAAGTGTTAGCTGTAGGTATGATATTTTGCAGGAGTGTATTTTTAAAAACTCTTCCTATCCAATGAAAAACACTGCGTTTTTGTAGCTGAAACGGGCACCTTTCAAGTCTAGTCTAGAGATGTGGAAGATTGAGATGTTAGAATTTTGAACTATAACACTGACAACTGCAGATAGGAGATACCATTTTAAAAATACCTCCTCTCCCCTTTGCAAAACACACAAAATTTAACCCACCCTCTTCTCCCTGATGCTTTTTACATAGGGAAGCATTCAAAAAATGTGATTTCCCACCTGCAATATGAAGTGGTACAGTAGTTTCTTCCTCACTGTGCTGGTTGAACAATTTCAGACATTGATCACAACAGGACTCAGAACAGATACATGCTTCAAGTACCATAGGCCCCTAAGCAACCTTCTAGTGTGTGTGTGTGTGTGTGTGTATGTGAATCAAATTCATCTTACAACAAAGCTCTCAATAAAAATCATACCAACCGTAAGATAAATTGGGGGTTAATTACACCTAAGCCAGTGATGTTCATATTTGGATGATGTATATTTTTGAGAGCTTCCATGGTGTGGTGCTAGCAACCTCTTTTAAAGCAACTAAACCTGCAGTCCTACACACACTCACTGGGAGCAAGTCCAATTGCATTCAGTACGGCAAGGTAAACATGTGCAGGCATGCAATGTAAAATTAAGGCTCAGCCTTTAAAAACTTGGCATTTTGGAGAATCAAGTATGAAGAATCTGTCATTTATCAGGTTTTACAAAACTAAGTTACAGATCTAAGCCATCATGGAAACTAAACATACAAGAAATCAGGACACAGGAAATTTATTTAAAAAGGCAAGAAAAGTTATCCCAAAATGCTTAATCAAAACCAGTTTTGATAAAGCAGAGCTCTGCTGATATTCGTCATTTTACCAATGTTGATGAAAAGAAATGAATATCACATGGCTTCTGAGGCAGCATTTTAAAATCAAATGAGTTAGGGAAAGACATCTGGAAGGGATTTTAAGTTTCCATGGTAAACAAAGATTTGGAGGGGAAATTTAGTTTCCCACATCTTTTAGGAGATAAATATCTATTTCTGGAAATATGTAATATTAATGTTGGTCACAAAAAACACAGCATATTTTAAATATGTTAAGAACTGATATCTACTTGAATGTCACCACCAGTGCATGTGCTAAAATCTAACCAAATTTAGAAAACTCTCCAATTCCTCTGTGGTTAATGACTATACTGAACTTCTCAGACACTGGGTGTTGTTCACGGTGCAAAAATGAAAACACACACATCACAGGATACTGAAGAGTCAAATAGATGAGCAATTGACAAAGTTACCAAGACAAAACTATTATTCCCTCTTTATACATACGAATGATAGAAAATCATTCCTATCCACTTTTCTGAGTTCAAAGGTTCAGAAGAATAGGTCTGGGTGTATTCTTGCTTAGTCTAAGGAGAACCGCCATACAAAGTTGCCTTATATGGAGCCAAAAAACTGGTCCATCTAGTTCAGCACTGTCATTTCTGGCTAGCATTGGTTCTCCTCTAGAGTCCCAGCCCAGCTGCTAAAGATCCTTTTAAATGGACAGGTGCTGAACATGGGGTTTTCTGCATGCCTTGCTCAGTGGTAAAGCACAAGATTTGCAAGGCAAAGATCCCACATCCAATAACTGATGGCAGTCGGTGAAACAGAATAAGTGTTACCCAAGAATATGTTGTTGGACACCAACATGACTAACCGTCAAGGATGATGAGAGCTTAAGTATCTGGAGGGCAGCAACTTGGAGAAAGCTGGGCTGGATGATCTAACGGTGTGATCATGACAGGGGCAAGAAAGGCAGCATCATACGATCTGATGACCGATGGAGTCTCTTCTCATTCTATTCCAGATTACCGGTGTCCTTTGCTAATATTGGCATCAAACTGCTGGTTCTTACTTCATATTGTCATTTCCTTTATGCTGTCTTTTAACTAGATGTATTTTATTATTTTAGAGTCCCTGTAAACTATACTATTGTCAGGACTGGTCGTTGTCCTCTTCAGATCACCACACAAACGCTTCTTGTTCCTTTATAAAACTTTTTATTGTGTATTAACAAAACAATCTTATAAACGGTTCTTAACTATTATTCCTCAGAGTCACTTATTTCAGATACCTTCTGAGCTCTGCTTCTCCATGACCAGCCACCCTCAAAATGGTGAAGACGCCCTTCCCTTCGCTTTCCCGCTCTTTTTTCTAACCTCCTGGCTAGAGCTGGCCTGTATCTCCCCTCCTCCGAATCTGAGCTAGAACTTAACCCTTGCCTTTCCTGGGAACAGCCAGTCCCTCCCTGTTGTTCCTCTTGCTCCCTTCTATTAGATTCACTGCTCTCCCTCCCCCCTTGGGGAATGCTTTCTCCCTCTGAGAAACTGGAAACTTCTAACTCTTCCCTGACAACTATGGGGAGCTGTTCTGGCCAAAGGGGGGGGGGGTTTAAAGGTAAAGGGACCCCTGACCATTAGGTCCAGTCATGGACGACTCTGGGGTTGCGGCGCTCATCTCGCTTTATTGGCTGAGGGAGCCGGCGTACAGCTTCCGGGCCATGTGGCCAGCATGACTAAGCCGCTTCTGGCGCACCAGAGCAGCACACAGAAACACCGTTTACCTTCCCGCTGGAGCGGTACCTATTTATCTACTTGCACTTGATGTGCTTTCGAACTGCTAGGTGGGCAGAAGCTGGGACTGAACAATGGGAGCTCACCCGGTTGCGGGGATTCGAACTGCCGATCTTCTGATCGGCAAGCCCAAGGCTCTGTGGTTTAGACCACAGAGCCACCCGCATCCCTAAAGGGTGTGTGTGTACAGGAATTTAATAAATAAATGTATTTTCAAATGCAGCCTTCAGAAATAAGGATGTTGCCCATCACTGGCACAATGGCAAGCACGTTTCAAGAAATGCATCTTTTATATATGATAGCACTGGAGGACAAAATGAAAACAATTAAAAGTATGCTCACCCAGCACGTTCCCTGAAGGCACCTCGTGTAGTTCCTCAAGTCCTCTCCCCATCAATAGGTAGAGATCTTCTAAAGTGCAGCAACTCAAATGAGGCACTGAAGGCAGGTTATCAGCAGCAGAACATCCTACAGGAAGCTGTAGCCAAATTGAAATGTATGTAATTTAATTTTATAATGTACGTTCTTTAACTGCTGATTTGATTTATATCTTGATTAGCTAGGGCCGACTCGTCTTCCAACTCTGAATTTCAGCAATAATTCTTATGTGTATTTTATTATATGTACACCACTTGGAGGTTTTTACTATTAAGTGTATACAAATCCCACATAAACAAGGAAATAAACATGGGGAAGGAGAGAAAATAGAGCCACTCAGTAATGGATACTGTTCTAGAAAAAAAGTTCTCGACACATTTTTCTGAAAAAAACAAAAAGGCAACATTAAGAATAAACAAGAACACTTTCTTCCTTTACATTCTAAGCTGCAAGAGAAAGCTTGATTACAAGGTTCTCAGAAGTATAGAAAATGGAATACCACAAATCCCCCAATTATTATTATTTCCCCAAACAGGCAATGCCAAGCTAAATTATAGGAAACTTTCCTGCTAATGCCCAAGACAAAAGGAGAGTGTGGCTGGTAAGGTTCATGTTTGCTCCAAACAAGAGCCAAATGAGACAGAAGTTGGGATGCCATGCGTGCAAAAAACCTTAAGTGTGATCAGCAGCTGAAGGCACAGGGCCAGATCTGTTTCCATCCACCAACCCACCTCCCCAAGTGCCAAAAGTTGTCCATTTCTGGGTGGGGTAGGAGATTGAACTTTTCAAAAGCACACTTTGTGAGATAAGGAAAAGGGGCCTACCTTGTGCAACGACTCAGCTGGATCATATTTTGGTCCAAGAACGAAGAGCTTTTGTCCCCTTCTCACAACTCCACTGAACACCCTTGCAAAAGCCACAAAGGCGTCCTTATTTTCGGCTTCCCGTTTTGCAGCAGCCAGGGTCATCGTCTCCATTTGACTTGTAGGTGGTTGATCATCGCCTAAGGAAGGGTTGAGGTGCAAACATTCATTTTTCTATTTCTATTCTGCTTCATCTTGCACTCAAGACTGCTTACAGTAACATGCAGCCATTAATGCAACAAACCAAACTTATGCCAATATCCAATCAACTGGATAAAAATGGCACCATATTTGAATCCAAATGCCTTTCCTCTGTTCAATCATCTAGTGAGCAGGGGTCAGGAGTGATATGGATCTTCTCTACCCAGCCCAGTGCCACTACTGGGATGAAAACCCATGGGTGTTCTGTACTCTTCACCCCAAATCAGGCTGGGAAGGCTAGAGGCAAAGGTTTGGTGGACTGATCTCGCCCATAGGCTGATCTGCCACGCTTTATTTAGAATGACAAAAGCAAGAGCATTTCATCACCTATCATGAATCAAACACATCCACCGAATCTTCTTCCCTGGCATGTGTTTCATCTCACCTGTCTTTAGAACTTGGTCCACTGTATTTCCTCCATTCGTCTCTTGTGCCAACTCCTGCCCCTGATTTGCTGCTAACTTCTCAGCATGCCGTCGCCTTACAAGATCACGTCTTTGGGCTATTTCGTCTTGTGACAGAGGCCTATGTATCATTTGAAAGAACATTATTTTTTTTTTGGAAAAGCTTTTCTGGACAGCAGATGCCACCTTTGCAGTTTCTCAAGAACAGTTCAGAAAGTATCCTGACAGTCTTGTAAAACAATATAAATTGGAGCAATCAAGGAAGACAATTGCCTCGGCTTATGCTGGTGGCATTTCAACAAATTCATCACATCCTCAACTGGAGGAGTATGGCATCAACTGGAGGAGTATGGTGAGCTTCACCACCACCCAGTTGGGATTATATCTTATATCCTTAGCATAGTGACATCATCATGGAAGTTTTCCTGGCTGCTGTTGGGGTTTCTCTAGTGCAGCAGAAAAAAGGAAATAGCCTTTCCATTTGCCACACGTTAAAGGATGAGTAATTTTTAAAAATGCAAGTCAGATATTCTGTCCAGCTGCTGGCAGGAAATTTATGCAGTAGGAGGCTAAAAATCAACTACCTGGATATCATGCCAATGACGAGCTGTTATACAGCATCAGTCATTAGTTTAATTGCTTTATAATAACTTATTGGAATTCTGAATTTAAAAAAAAAGAAAGGGCATGCTTCAGTTTCAACTACGATTAGCCTGTGAAGAAAATAGCTTTTACTTATATAAGGGTAAAAATTAAAAGTGGCTCAGGGACACTTCCTTTTCAATTGTTTAGTAGCCACTGGACTATTCAAAGACTGACTCCGGTTTAAAATTGATTCCACGTGTGTTGGTTGGATCCATGTGTAGATTTATCTTCCCTGCAAACAAAAGCTGCACTTCAAAGCAGCCGCAATAAATGGTTCCCTTCCTCTTCAGAGACCCCACTTTACTTTGTTAATTTCATAAGTAGGTGCTATCCACAAATACTGCCCTGCAGTTCTGACAGGATGTGCTGCTGAACATTGTCCTTGCCCCATAATAGATGGAGCTGCTCAGGGTCAACTTAAACCACCACTGAAGTACAATTCACAGCCAAGGGACTCGGCTGCACTACAACGCACAGAGCCCTTTGATGCAAATTCATGTCGGTATTTATTCAGAAGATCGCACAGAGATCTTTGGGAGCTATAAAAAAAATTACATTCATTTGATGACACAATTTGGAAAGTTGTTACTTGATGCAGATCACTTTAAAAAACATCCTTCGGGGAATAGGAGATTGTAAAAACAAGCAAGTTAAGGGATGAAACGCACACACAAGCCTTTGAGTTGAAGACATGTAAATAAGCTGCTAGCTGAAAAACAAAAGGAAGCAAGAACATGCAGAAATGAATAGGAAAGCAACAATTTCGTGGCAAGTTCTGCTTGAAGAAGTGGGATTTAGGCAGATGAAGGAGAGAAAGGGGGGGGGAACCTGTTGTGAAATCTTCAGAATAATTCTATTTACTTGTTTTTAGGATTTGTACCCAGCTCTCCAGCCAAACCTCCTCGAGTGGCTTACGAGATTGCTTTTTGTGTCACAATAAAGCCAGCCATAAAACACCACAAAGAAAAGAGCAGAGAACTATAAAAACCATTTCCAGCAGCGCCTGTCAAGAAGCTCATCTATTTGTCTCTGCTAGAGCAAAGGACCGTTTTAGGAGCCGTCTCTTGACTTTCCCTTCTTCAAACCAGGCAGGAGTGATGGGCATTGAGTGCCAAAAGTGTAATAGAGGGGTGGGGGGAGGGACAGTCAGACAGACAGACACTACCACCATCCACGAAGACTATAGACCTATTGCACTCGGGACAGTACGAACTACCCCCTGCGATGCAGGAATCTCAACTAAAGCATCCACGACATGAGAGATTTTAAAGCACAGTTTGGAAGGCCATCTGCCATTGACTAGAGACCCTCGGGGTCCCTTCCAACTCTATGATTCTATGATTCTTAAGCACTCTCACTGTTGAGAGGTAGTGCGCCACTGTCTCCAAAGAGCAACAGTAATAGGAGAGGGCTTATTGCTTTCATGCCCTGCTTGTGAGCTTCCACAGGGCATATGGTCGGCTGCTGCAGGGAAGATGGAGTCTGGGCCAGATGGACCTTTAGTTGATCCAGCTGCCTGCTCTTAAAAAAAGCAGGTCCTAACAACAAAAAGCTTATGATCTTATTTTAGACAGTAAGGAAGACGGGGGGGGGGGGTGAGTGGAAGGGGAGGGAAATACAAAGGGCACCAGAGGACAGGTACGCAGAAATGCAATTCAGAGGTGGAAGGCTAAAGGGTTAAGCCAAAAGCTTCACTGAGGAGGCATTCAAAGAGGGTGCGGCAATGCCATGCTGAGAAGTTCCTGGTATAAAAGGGGGGAAAGAGAGCATCTGAATTGCCCAAGCTCTTTGGAGTTGCAGGAAGAAGTTATCTATGCAGTATAGACTACTGCCAGACAAAGCCAACTCAGAGCGCCTCTGCCTCCTGCATCCATGTCTTAGCAAGCAGATAACTTTTAAAGACGGCCAAGAACAATGACCCCCTGATCATTAAAAGACCATTTAGTGCCAACTATGAGCATGATCCTGCCAAAGGTAAGCACTTGGAATCCCACTAATTTCAACTGATGAGAGAATTAGACACATGCTTAATCACCCAATGAAATTAAGCAGATTGGAGGAGGGGACTTGGAGGTGTGTGGGGGGGAATCAAGCTGTTATTAAAATAAAACCAATTTAGGCAGCTGTAGCTGGTTTAAAAAATGTGACTTGATACACAGTGCAAAAAAAGGAAAAAGAATCACAGTATACATATAATCTAAGACTAAAAATACCATATGAAGCATACTTCTAAAAACTTTCTTTTTACTACCTGGATTGTTAACAGTTCACAGGATGTAACACTCCAGCTACTCTCTGTAAGAAACATCTGTGAAAAGCCCCCCACATTTAAGGATGTAAATCCCACTTAAGTCAAGGGTGGCTAATCTGTGGCCCTCTGGATGCCATAGGACTACAACTCCCATCACTCTGACCATGCTGGCTTGGGCTGATGGAAGCTGGAGTCGAACAATATCCGGAGGTCCACAGGCTACCAACCCCTGCTTCAAGATGCCAAGTGACACTTGTCATGGCTATCTACTAAAGTGATCTACCTAGTGAATCTTCCAGGTGCCAGGCACATTAGTTTGGGCCTGAAAGTGAAGGAAGGAATCTTCCAGAATGTATGATGTGAGTGAATATGGGATTCTTAGCTTAACACCAATGAAAGCTCACCAAGTCATAACTTGAGATATGCATACCAGCTACCTCTCTATATTCTCTGTCCACATAGAATCATAGAATTGTAAAATGCTGGAGAGGTCGCATTGCAATAGGCACATACCGCCACATTTGGTGGGAATGCCCCAAAGTCGAATCCTTCTGGATATTAGTGCTGCACGACATTCCCAAAATAACAAAACAGGTAACAGAAGCAACTCCATAACTCGCCCTATTAAATATCTTCCAGGACAACAACACACACTACAAGGAACTCATAAGTCACTTACTTTCGGCAGCTAGAAATATCATAACTAGACACTGGAAGGACCTATCAGGAATGAACACAGACCACAGGTACCAAAATGTATGGGAAACCGCCATACTAGAAAAGTTAATCAGCAAACTCAAACCAGCACGAGGACAAGCTACGGAGGATGCCTTCACCTCAGTGTGGTTCCCCTTTATTACATACACAGGACAATGACCTGTCCCCTTTAAGAACATACAAATCAATATAGCTAACCTGACCCAACAACCTAGCCCGCCTCCCTCACACAAATACACCACACCACAATCAACTAAACACAACCAACCAAGCTTGGGAACCCCTAACCTCTCGCAATATCAATAAAAATAATTAAATAAACAAATAAAAGACCTACCCATGTAATGCAGACACAACTCACCCACACTAAGAATAGACAACAGAATGAAAGAATAATATCCCCATCCCTCTCCCCTCTCCCCTTTGCCCCAACTGCAAGATGTCTATGGCAAAAATGTCTCTCACCAAACGTAAACCAACTGTGAAAAAGACTATGAACTGAAAGTGGAGACAATAGATGCATTTATCCATTTGCTTTTTAACATAAAAAACCCAATTAAAAAAAGAATAATAGAATTGTAGAATTGAAAGGGACCCTGAGGATCATCTAGTCCAACCCCCTGCAATGCAGGAATATGCATTCGTCCCATACGGGGATCAAAACTGCAAGCTTGGTGTTATCAGCATCACGCTCTAACCAACTGAGCTATCCAGGCTCACATACCAGTTGCAATCAAGTTTTGTGCCATATGCCTTCACTGTGGCATTTTAGAAGGGTGACAACAAGAAACAGGGTATTTACTCCAGTGGCTCCCAAGCCTTTGGAACAAAGCACTTTAATAATATGAGGAGTCCATCTCTGTCAATTATCTGTATCTGCTGCAAAGAACTTTTATTTCAGCAGGCGTTGGGTTGAAAATATTTGAACACACACAGAGAGACAGTACATTCAAACATACACATGAAATGATCCTGTGTCTCGACAACACTTCATCTTCCACAGAAAGAATTAAAACTACATAAACATAGAACTATCAAGGCATTTAAAATACTTTTTAGTGCTGCAATCCACCCCCACTGCTTGCTACCTCATGATCATGAACCCAGGAAGAAGCACCTGACTCAACCTAATTTCACTCTTATTCATAAACTCCTGCTGCCGATTTGCAGAAGTAGAAGCAAAATCTACGCCTGTTGCTATAAAAATACATTGAAGTCCACTTACAGACAGCTGAATACCACCATCTAGTGGTCTAAATAGCCAGTGCTGCGTCAAGCCAAAAATTATTGTGTCTCTTAAATTAGGGTGCAAAATAATAATAATACTCAAGCCCATAGGAGTTTCTAATACTGACTCTGACCACGGCACCCCATCTAACTGGATACAGTTCAGTCACTTTCAGAGCCCCAATGGCACAAGTAGCAATCTGGAGTGACGCTGATGGAACGGTCCAAGCTTATCTAACCAATGTTTACAGCAAGCCGTGTTTGGAAGATGAGGCATGCAGAGACATCAAGTTGTGGCCTTTTTACTGCAGGTACAAAGCCTCCCTCCCATCCCTCCTTCCTTTGCAGTTTTTCCACTGTCATCACTTATTTACCCAACTGAGTTCAAGAGGCTCCTCCTGTGCAGAAAGCAACAATTACACTGGAAAATCCTGCATTCACATACTATTTAATGATTGCACAAGGAAATTCTTTATTTACTTGCATGCAGGATGTTTTATTGCAATCATTGCTTTCTATCTAGGAGAGGTATGAAGGTGAAGGAGTAAAAGAGAGGAACAACTTCTGAAGTTTACATGGAAACAGAAAGTGGTCAAAAAGCTTACAAAAGCACCAGGAAGAATCCATAGCTTCTCCACATAAAACGAAAACAAAATTAAAATTAACTTGTATCATTTGAGCAAGATATAGAGATACCAATTTAAGTTTGTAATTCACTTTCATACAATGTCTGTATGTTGACCATAACTGTTAACTCTTTGACAAAGCATTTATTCTTTAAACCACAAATAAAACATTGAACAAGTCTGCATTTACCAATGCTTTCTTGAGAACAGCTGATTTAGTTTCAGATATGGGCAAATAATTTTACCAGGCGCAGATCAGAAGCAATCTAGACTTGTATACTGTGAATTAGCGTCTAATGCCATTGAGCAGGAGGAGTTCAAATGGCATCATTTTCTCACCTTGGCTTGTTCTGTGGCAATGTCTTAGCATCCACTGCAAACATTTTGGAAACAAAGACAATGACTGGGGCAGTTTCTTCACTGCTGCATTTCATAAACGCTAAGCAAACATAAAACGAGAGAGTTACATGTTTTCCCATGGTCTGATGAGAAAGTCTCTGGCTTTATATTTTATTTGTTAAATAAAAAATTAGTGAGTGAATCAAGGAGGGAAAATTGTATGAGATTTCAGCCTGTGCTTCTGAGCCAACTTGCAGCATGGATGCAGAAAGCTGAATTCTGCCCAGATTGAAAACCAAAACATCTTTTAGGACATTTAGTTTTTCAATTAGGAGACACCAGGGTTTATGGACTTTTTAAAAATGAGACTCATCTGAAAAGGACTTAAACCGCAATTTGCCAAAATTTACTTACCATCTTTCAGGTCTTGAGTTTCTTGCGGTAGAGAATCAAATGTTTTAGCTCCAACGCACAACAGTTTTTCCACTCTCTCAGCTGTGATATCAAGAGGACTAGGGAGTTTATTACAGACCATGGCTTAAAGCACAGTGCTAAGGATATACACGTTAAAAAGGGAGGATACAGACAGGAGGCTGTGCAGAAACTATAGGCTAGTAGCCAGTAAAATCAAAATACAGACCTTGGACAGGGGTTTGCCCAAAGCCAAGACTTGTCTGATGATGCAAATATGAACCGTATCTAAAGCGTTCGAGGGGATGGATCCTTGGAGGCACTAGGAAGCATAGGAAGTAGGAACAGAAGAGCAACTCAAGTCTCTCTGGCAGTGGTTGGATGCTTTTGACTGTAAGCTTAACTCCCTCCACACTGCAAGTTGACTATGAGATGACTAAAGCAGGCAGGAAGCTACTGGGGCTGATGGACAATACTAGGGGAAGGGCCGTAACTTATAGCTTCTGCTTTGCATACAGAAGGTTCCCAGTCACCCCCCAACATCTCCAGGTAGGGTGGGCAATGTCCCCTGTCTGAAACCCAGTCAACATAAGCAATTCTGAGCTAGCTTGACTCAGTATAAGAAACACAGGACGTTGCCTGTATTCAATTCTCCAAACCCCACCTCCCTCACACAAACTGGTGGACTAAACTCTAGTGCATGAAACAGTATAAGCTTTTAGTAAATGGTAAAAAAGCTATTTCCATAAGGATACAGAGAACGGCCTCTGATATTGGGAGCCACTGGCTGCAAATGGCATTAAGCTGAACCTTTGGATCTGTGTGGCGCATTTCACGGGCACCAATTTTCAATCCCAGGGAGGAGACGATTTTATCAATTTTCTCCTTGTCTCTACAAAGAAAGCATACACCCTGCAATTATAGCACTGCATCTGATCATCTTAAAAACAAAAAACACAAAGAAGGCCTTTGGGCAAACCAGCCTGTTTCTGTTGTCATGTGGCAGCTCACCTTCCTTCACTTAGAAATGACCCGATAATGCAGTTGAACAACAAGGGCATTTTGCATAAACAACAAATCCCCTGCCTGTTGTGAAAAGTGAAATTCTGAATTGGCATTCCCCACCTCTGCCATCAAGAAAATGAGACTCGGGGATGCTTTTTGTTTACCTGTTTGTAACTGCTTCATAGAGGCTCCATATGTTTTCCAGCACCAGATGCACAAACAAAGGCTTCTTTCCTTTCAACTGGAAGAAAGCGGTAAGACAAACTTAGGGTGCCCTTTATAACACAGAGGGGAGTTCAGTTCAGACAATTACAGGGGTAACACCCACATGTGGACCCACAGGTTGAGGATTCACTATAAGCTCTAACTAACAGACATTTGTCCTCTGGCTCAAAGCCACTCCCTTTGTTACTTTAACAACCCATATTTAGCAGGGGTTACCAGGTGGCCTGGGTATTCCAGCAATGGAATCTGTGTTGGATCCAGGAATTAGAAGAGGGACTCAACCATATAGCCTACCCCCCCGCCGCCAAAAAAAGACACCCCCCATAACAGTATCATGCTTGCAATATTCCAGATTATCAATAATTGTTTTTTGGATGTTGCTTCTCCATCCTATCATCTACCACAGTTCAGTTGCAACAAGAGCAATTTACCAATCTGCCCTTTCATCCCTGAACTGAAAAATACTCAAGTACAGCAGCATGCAAGGATTTGCACCCACGTCTCTGTCCAATCATTTGTCAGCTGTGATCATTCCAATCACCTATTGCAGTGGTAACTACACCCGCCACTGCCCTGAGTGCATGTGCAAGGCATTGCATCAAACCGTTCCAGCGAATGGGAGGCTTGTTCATCCAAGGAACACATTTTGCACCTTCCGCAAACAGATTATGTGATCAGTGAACTGGCTTGAATCTTAAAAAGGTAAAGGTAAAGGTACCCCTGACTGTTAGGTCCAGTTGCAGACAACTCTGGGGTTGCACGCTCATCTCGCTCTATAGGCAAGGGAGCCGGCGTTTGTCCGCAGACAGCTTCTGGGTCATGTGGCCAGCATGATTAAGCTGCTTCTGGCGAACCAGAGCAGCGCATGGAAACGTCGTTTACCTTCCCGCCCGAGCGGTACCTATTTATCTACTTGTACTTGACGTGCTTTCAAACTGCTAGGTGGGAAGGAGCTGAGATTGAACAATGAGAGCTCACCCTGTTGTGGGGATTCGAACCGCCGACCTTCTGATCGGTAAGCCCTAGGCTCTGTGGTTTAGACCACAGCACCACCCACGTCCCTACGGATTGAATCTTAGGTTTGCATAAATAAGATATAAGCATTGGTAACAGAATCTAAGGTCTAGTCTACAGATGCCGTAGAATGAAGTGGCAGAGATCCAAGGTTGTAAATGTACATTGGTGAGGTATATCAAGAATCATCATAGCAGCTGCAATATACTACATATTTGCTTGACCGGGGTGGTCAAGATTAAAAACAAAATTGTTCAGATCCCAGGAAAGTGGCAATACTGCATACTCAGTTGCTGGCAAGTAACTTTTCTGGTAGGGAAAAAAGAAAATTAAGAGCAAGTTATACGCCAGTGAACTCACCTGGTCAGTTTTCATGATCTTCTTAGCTTTTGTATTTAGAAAATAATCTCCCCACAGGGTTTTCAGCAGTACTGAAGCTTTGATTCCAATCTTCTGGCTATACAGCTTGGCAAAATGCTCGATGCTGGGTAATAAGCAAAAATAATTTGTTACCCAAATGTATCAAAACTAAAGCACTTTTCAAAAGAAGGCATCTGCTTCAGCCTACATAGCAATCATTTTACATATTTGACAAGCGTAGCTGTGTTCTGTCTGCAGACCAGATGCTCACATAGCATCCTTGCAGTGACAGTGAGAACAATTGGCATGTTTTGAGTCAGATGTCTCAGAACACTCTAGTGAAAGAACAAACACCAGCATGCATGCCTCAAGTTCCTGACCCCACTGTAGGTAGAGGAATTCATACATGAATGGTCATCACTTGATGACAGAAGTCATCATGACTTGCTTATATGAATGAGCCACCACATAAATTAGGGTTGCCATATTTCAAAAAATGAAATTCCGGACACAATAGTTGTTGAGTTTTTTTGAGCAAAGTTGTTGAGCTTTGCAAAATCTTGGAAGAAAAGGTGATTTGTTTTTTTTTGGAGCAATTTATAATGAAATTCACCAAAATTGACACTTCCGACATGGGTTGCCATATGTTCAGATTTCCCCAGACATTCAAACAATTTCCACCCAGGCGCTGTTTACAAGGACCGAATACCAGCTATGCCCAGAAAATTCCAGACGTATGGCAACCCTAACATAAATAATACCGCACCAGATGACAAATCAGACTGAACACTTTTTGTGACCTTTTATCTCAACATATAAATAAGATCAAAACAAGAAAGCGGCAATTCTATACCCAGTAAAGAAGGATTGAGCTCTGTTGAACTCAATGGGGTCTGCTTCTTAACAGACATAGACAGGTATTGATACAGTTGAACCCTAAAATAAGGCAAACACACAGATGAAGGCAATTTCAACAGTGGAATCCACTACTGCATAATGTTATTCCACTGGGACATCAGAAAAGCCCCACCCCTTGCAGATTTTAAACAGGCTTTAAAGGTCTACCGCTTTACTATACTTTTAACTAACTAACCTAAGTGTGTAGTATTTTGGCCATATTTTGATCATTTTATAGTGTGTTCCTTTTAGCTACCAGTTGTTGGGTACTGTTTTAGAAATTTTATGTTGTTTTATAAGATTTTAAATTGCATTCTACTGTATGTTTGACATGTAGCTTGGGAAGAATGTTTTCTTGAAAAGCAGTGCAACAATTATGTTTTTTAAAAAGAGTATCAACACAATAGTATGCCATCAGCTATGTTTTGTCAAAACTCTTATTCTAGAAAGCTACAAATAAACTCCAGCTATTTGTAAATGAGTTCCTAATTTGCCTTCCATTTCCAAATCAAAATTAAATGAGTAATTTTACCATCAGCATTTATGCCAACCTCTTAACCATATCAACTCTGAACAAAGCATCAGCATTCAATTTTGATGCCATTTCTGTTCGGACTATTAAGTTGATCACTAAGTTTTTCTTTTATTTTTCCAGATTTGTATAGGGTTTACTCTGTACCTATTTCTTCTCCCAAAGATAGCCCACAAGAAGAAGAAGAGGAGTTTGGATTTGATATCCCGCTTTATCACTACCCGAAGGAGTCTCAAAGCGGCTAACATTCTCCTTTCCCTTCTTCCCCCACAACAAACACTCTGTGAGGTGAGTGGGGCTGAGAGACTTTAGAGAAGTGTGACTAGCCCAAGGTCACCCAGCAGCTGCATGTGGAGGAGCGGAGACGCGAACCCGGTTCCCCAGATTACGAGTCCACTGCTCTTAACCACTACACCACGCTGGCAGCAGAGGTTTAGGACAAGAGTTTTCTTCTCCTAGATGGGCTACCTTCCCAGGTTCACGAGCCCTACCTGCCCCTCGCTTCCTTCTACAGCACATGCAGAAACCACCTTCTTGACCCTCGGACCCACTATTGGTCTCATCCATTCAATCAACCCTGCTGTTTCCTATACAATGGTACCTCTGGATGCGAATGGGATCCGTTCCAGAGCCCCGTTCGCATCCTGAAGCGAACGCAACCCGTGTCTGAGCGGGTCGCGATTTGCCGCTTCCGCGCATGATGTCATTTTGAGCGTCTGCGCATGTGGCGAAACCCGGAAGTAACACACTCCTTTACTTCCGGGTCGCCGCAGAGCGTAACCTGGAAATGCTCAACCTGAAGCACATTTAACTCGAGGTATGACTGTACACCTGCAAGACAAAAGCTTCTTTCATCCTCTCTTCCCCAGCGTGAAAAAGCAAGAGAACTTGGGACAAGATTTCAATTCTGGTCATCTACATCCCACTTCTGTGCATATAAGGAGGAGCTGATTAACATTTAATGTTACAACTGCCTTGGCTGTAGCTATCCTGGTGCTACAAAGTCATTTCCTGAAGCACAAACGTGTGAAGTGAAGATGGGAGCCTGACAGGCTACAGCTCAAACTGTGTTTTCAAGTCATGATGTGCCCGCCCTTCCCGCTTTACATGTCTGCTACAGGAAATGCTTCTGCAGCCCAAGCAGCTGCAAACACAATTGCCGGGTAAGCTAGGAAGCAGCTTGAAGATGCAGACAAATGGTAGGCAGTAAAGCCAGGGTTGCTGGCCTCACAGAGCCTGTGCAGAGTGCAAAATTAGACCCGTCAACCAGAGATGTATCATGGTGGGAATGATAATAAAATCTGTCAAATTGCCTGTGCTTACTTCCCTGAAAAATATAGCCAAGTAAGAAGTTTGCATTTCGTCATGGAAATAATCAGTTCTGCACTGGTCTGAGCGGGACGGAAGGCCCAAATTTTCGTTCCTAGGTTTCTCGAGTCCCAATATTTTCTCTTAAGTGTGACAATATTTGGGAGTGCTTCAGAACATACCTCAGAGAGGCCCCCCACTCAGTGCTTTTTGACAAAAACATGATCAGCAAAAAAATGTTAACACTGATCGGTGTTTTATTTTTAAATCTTTGAGATGGTATTTTGGTTTCCTGTTAATTGTGTTGTTTTGACTGTGTACTTTATATTTGACTTTCTTCAGAAATGTTTGATTCTGCAATGTTGTATTGAGGTTTAATATGCTGTAAACCGCTCTAAGATTTTTCTTTAAAATATAAAGCGGTATAGAAATATAACAACAACAATAATAATAATAATAATAATAATCACATTTAACATTAAAATGCCTTGGACGGATGGGTCCTAAGCCCATTTTTGTGTTGCCCCACCAGCATGCAATTGACTATTAGGAGGATGAACAAGCATTTCAATGGTGGTGAATAGCAGATGATTTTTTTGTGGTTTTATTCTTTTTTTGGTCTAAGGTTTACAGCTATTTGTAATTTTAAGCACCCAAGGTAGAAACAAGCAGCTCCACTGAAATACACATAAGTGTTCACCAGTATGCTTCTGGCCACAACTCAAAATGCAGGTTTTAACTTTTAAGAACTCTTGAAGCAGTCTAGACAGAAGGCATCTGAATGCTTCCTCTTATGAATTCTGATCTGTTAGAAAGACCACACTGAAGTAGTTCTTGCAACGGAAGCAGACTGGGAATCTTCAGTGCAGCAACACTCTCTAGATGGAACCATCCACTCACCTGTGGATTTATTTATTTTTACTACTGTCTATTAAATGATTAAGCTCTGAAAACTACCCCCCCCCAATTTAGTCTGTGCTGCAGTAAAGTGTATACAAAGACAAAACTGAAAACTTCATCCACCCTAATGAAAATATATGATCAAATTACTAATAAGCATCTATAAACTCACCCAAATCCCCAGCCGTCAATTGCACTAGCAAATACCACGTTCCCCTGATCGGGTGAAAAGTAAAGATTGGAATCATCAGAAAATTCCAAGCCTGCACTCCAGTCATAAACTTGGTCACCATGTGAAGAATCAGAAGTCAACTGAGTTTCCATTTCTTTCTCCGCCCTTTCTTCAAGAACTTTCGATGTGAAGAGTGTTGCAGTGATTGCATTCACCTAGAGAGACATTCCAGTTAATTTTCATAATAACCTTCCTGCCCCTAAAGAGGATTTAAAGGCAGCTTACAAGCAGAATTCCTAAAACAAATGTTTATGGCCACCAAAATACCAGAAATTCAAAAATTATTAAAAACCATTTCAGACAGCAGTTACACTATCAAAATTAAAACAAACAAAAAAATTCATGGGTGGGGTATAAATAAATAAATATAAAATAATAATAATAATAATAATTATTTCAGGCAATCATCCCAGAGGTTCTCTGAAACCTGAGCTGCTTTTGCCATTTTGCGAAAATCATGAATAAGCTGGTCCTCTGAGCAGTCTCAGAGCTATATATTCCTTCAGAAGATCCTATTCCTCATACTTGGGTGTTTTAGCAGGGTACTCAAGAGCAGAGCCTCATCTGATGGTCCAGAGCACATGAGAAATAGCAGATAGGAAAAGATAATCCATAAGAGCCAAGCTGCACATTACAGTTAAGGTATTTTTAACCAACAAGGAAGAGCGTTGTCTCTTTCTTTAGCAAAGGAGTGAATTTCAGTGGAAAGTGGTACAAGGAGTAAAATTTTAATTCTCACACCATGGGTCCAATCTAGATAGAGAAAGCAAACTGAGATATGACCCTTAAGGAACCAGATGTAGCTAGCTCTAAGGACACTAGTTAAAAGCTACTTACATAACACCTAAGGTATTCTCGTTCCAGACTATTTCGGCTGATTAATTTGACCAGAATGCTAACAATAAGCCAGTGGAGCTGCTTCAAACTTGGTGGAATATGTTGTCTGTGACAGACACCATTTAATAACTATGCAGCTGCATTCTTGAACTTCTGAAGTTTTTGAAAATACTGTCCTTCAGAGGATATTGCAGTAATCCAGCCTTCCCCCATCCTGGTGCCCTCTAGATGCTTTGGCTGGTGCTGCTGACAGCTGTAGTCCATCTGAAGTTTGGGGAAGGCTGATGTAGTCCAAATAGGTGCACACAATGCCTATAGTTTACTTGCTGTCCTTTTCCTTCTACAACTATTGCTGATTACAAATAATCAAGCTACTTAGAACTCTCATACCTGTTCCAAGATATTCTTAAGGTGAGAATATGCTTCCTGAGGGGTAAACTTGAGCTCCATTATGAGACGGTCTATTTTATTAATCACCAGAACTGGACGAATATTTTCTAGCCAAGCCTGCCGCAAAACTGCATGAGTCTAGTGCAAAGGAAAACAAGTATATTGACACCGTGCCATAAAACAGCTGACGAAAATATGAGCTACTGTATAACTCTGACCTGGTAACTGACCCTTGGTTAGGAATCTGGGTTGTATGAACCTTTCTTTCAAGCCTGCATTCTTCATGTAAACTCCTGGCTTCCTCCCCCATACTGCTTCAGCATTATGCACAAGGATCACCAACAGTGGTTAAAATTAAACCAAGTTTGGTTCATTTTGCAAATCCTGACTGAAGTAAAGAGTCTGACCATTTTCCTCTTGGAAGATACCCTGATACAGACATCCGTATGTCAATTTCAACGAGTACACTAATACTACATGGCCAACAAAAATATATTCTTGGGTTCACCTACCTCTCCTTTGCCACATATTCTGAACTCCATCTTGCACACAACACTGCATTTTAAATTACGAATGCATTCTAAATATTAGCTGATGATTCCATGTACTAGTCGAAAGGTGGTACAGTGGTACCTCTAGATGCAAACAGGATCCGTTCCGGAGCCCCGTTCGCATCTAGAAGCAAACGTAACTAGTGATGGCACGTCTGTGCGTGCGCGCGTTGCTTTTCACCGCTTCTGCGCATGCGCGTGACGTCATTTAGAGCATCTGTGCATGCGCAAGCGGCAAAACCCGGAAGTAACGTGCTCCGTTACTTCCGGGTTGCCGCAGAGCACAACTCAAACGTGCTCATCCCAAAGCGCATTCAACCCGAGGTATGACTGTATGTCCAAATTAATTTATTTCCCCCTCTATCTGAAGTAGGTTTTCCTCCTTACCTGCGAACAGACTCCTTCCACAGCATCTACCACAATGATGCAGCCATCACAGAGTCTGACAGCTGTGGACACTTCTGAAGAGAAGTCCACATGGCCAGGGGAGTCGATTAGGTTGATCAGATACTCCTGACCATCTAGAACCAAAGGAACCAAAGTGCTTTAAAAGCAAGCATTTTAAAAGTGTGTTTGCCCACTTAAAACATTTAGGATCAGTTCCGATGTAACATGAAACCATGGTTTAGTACTAAGATGAGCAGGTGTGAACCTCGAGCTAAAGCACTATTCTCTCTCCCCTTCTTCAGGAACTGGGGAGGAAAATTAAAGCTTCCATTTGTGATTTGGAACAAACCTCAGCTCCCAATCACATTTGAATATAGGAACAATGCTCTGTTCCAACTGGAGTACATTCAATAACCATCATCATCATGGTTTGAATAAAGCTTAGTTTCCTGCATTAGGATGTAATAGGAAAGTGGAGTTTGCTCCAAACTGCAAAAATAGAAACATTATGTTTTCTTCTCTTCCACATCCAAGGGGAAAAACACACAAACCTGAGGCTCAGGTCTCCTCAAGCTCATAACACTAAACCATGGTTTAACACTGCACCTGAACTGAGCCTTACAGCAGGTAGCTTAATAAAAAAAATCAGTATTTTAGATTCCATCCAAATCTTTACACTTTATTTCAGCACTACATTTCAACAACACAATACTTATCAGTTTAAATGAACATACAGAATGTGCTAACTATATTACCTTTTCCAAAATGTAATGAAATTGCGCTTGATTTCATTGTAATTCCTCGAATCTGCTCATCTTCTCGGCTATCCAAGTATCTCAGCTATATGAATTGTAAAAAAATAAACAAATACTCTGTATTCGCATTTTTCAGAGACTTTTCTTAAATGTGAGAAAATGTGGATAGAGAAAAAATTCTGGATAATATACTGGAAATGTTTAAGTTGTACCTTGCCTGCCAATCTGCTAGAGATTATTCCGTTGCTAGAAATAAGGCAGTCAGCTAAAGTTGTCTTGCCTGGGGGAGGAAAGGATAATGAAAAGTAGTACACCAAACAAAAATGAAAAACAAGCCCTTATATTTAAGATTAAACATTAAATCCATCCTCCCATGACCACGTCTCCTCCCTTTAACCAATCTATTAGGGCTTTTCTTACACACCCATGTAGCAAGTTGTCAGAGATGAGTATTTAATACACAACTACGTTACAGAGCAACAAGCAGTTCTTCCATAATTATTTCAGACTGCTGGTGCATTTGTCAAGGGATTTGTGTGATATGCTGTTCATAACGTAGGTGTCTCTTACCATGGTCCACATGGGCTAGTATACAAATATTCCTAATGAAGTCAGTCTTTTTCTGAAGTCCAATCGTCTTATTCAAACTTGCAAGAACCATGGTTGGATGTTTTGCTGCAAGGCAAAGAAATTCATATTGGAAAGATCAAATTTGTCAGAAAGCTACAAGGTTATATGAAAGCTTTAAATTGGACTAAATTCAGATGGCCAGGCAATAAGAACAAAGAGATTTGTACTAGATGGAATTTTGGCTTTTCTCTTCTCTACCCTCCCGCTGTCCCCAATAAACCATTATCTGAGGAGGACGCACATGCAAAAACTATGGTTCTAATAGAAGATCAACATGAATGCTTCTGTACTTTCCAACAGCAATCGAAGTTACCGTAATAGTTACAGGGCATCCAAGTTAAGTATTCCCTAATGAGCCAAACACACCCCAGCCTGTCAAGTACATGGGGAACTAGTGGCCTGCACTGTTGTCAAAAACTTCTGTTACTGCCCCTGAAGAAATCACAGCACTGAAAACTCACCAAGCTACAGTTTTTAACAGTGCCCATGAGTAATGATAATGCACGGTCTTCCTCAACCTCCACCCACATCAAACAAAAAGTTTCATCCTGAGCCAGGTCACGGCTGCTAATTTTCATATTTCACTTGCTGTGAAATTAATAGTTAAAAGCACAAGCTACGCTCAGGAGCTGCTCTTTGGACCTCACACCTTGGTGGCTCTCTGAGATTACAACAGCAACTAAGTCCTAAGCAGCAAAGTCAGATGCAAATGAAGGTAATAATTACAGAAACAACCACTCCCGGCATAAAGCTGTTGTTGAAAGCAAACCAGCCTGGCATTTGTAAGCGTGAATCAATATGAATATGGCAACAACTTTCTCCCGATTCCATCCACCAACCACCCAGCTCTCCCAGGAGCTCCAGGAAGGCGCACGTTGCCCTTTCATGTACACAATGACCCTCCTTTGCTTCTCACCACAACAACCCTGTGAGGTAGGCAGGTCCAGATTTAGGTTTGATGAGGCCTTAAGCTACTGAAGGTAATGGGGCCCTTTATACAGTGGTACCTCGGGTTAAGTACTTAATTCGTTCCGGAGGTCCGTTCTTAACCTGAAGCACCACTTTAGCTAATGGGGCCCCCTGTTGCCGCCGCGCTGCACGATTTCTGTTCTCATCCTGAAGCAGAGTTCTTAACCTGAAGCACTATTTCTGGGTTTGCGGAGTCTGTAACCTGAAGCGAATGTAACCTGAAGTGTATGTAACCCGAGGTACCACTGTATGTGATATTTTAGGGAGCAGGCTAGCAGGCGGGGCCCATTACTTACATCACAGGAGCCTACACAACACAAAACACTGTTGCTGTACGTAGGTTTTATTTTATTTGTTTTTTATCTTATATTTTGGAAATGTACATTCATGTTTTTTCCCCCTTTAAATTTTTTGAAGGCCCCCAAGAGAGTGGGGCCCTAATTATAGCTTGTTTAGCTTATACAGTGGTACCTCGGGTTACATACGCTTCAGGTTACAGACTCCGCTAACCCAGAAATAGTGCTTAAGTTTAAGAACTTTGCTTCAGGTTGAGAACAGAAATCGTGCTCCGGCGGCGTAGCAGCAGCAGGAGGCCCCATTAGCTAAAGTGGTGCTTCAGGTTAAGAACAGTTTCAGGTTAAGTACGGACCTCTGGAACGAATTAAGTACTTCACCCGAGGTACCACTGTACGTTAATCCGGCACTGGAGGAAGACTAGCTGGAGGGATAGCGGGCTGGTCCTGTGAGTTTGGCCACTGGACCTTTCCCAGTGGCAATTCTGCTTCTCCGCCTTCTTTCCCCCCCTCATTTACTCTTGGAAGGTATCAAGAATGCTTCCTGAAGATGGAAATTTGGATTAAGGATCTCGAAAGTCCACCTATCCCCCCCGCATTGCCGTGCCGCCGGGGTATGACTCGCGCTGCCTTCCCTAGCCCTCTTTTAGGAACTGGGGGACTCACCTCACGAAGCTCCCGCCGGCCACTGACAAGAAGAGAGCGTGAACCGGTTACAACCGGAAGTCCGCCTCTTCCTTTCTGCGCGTGCGCAGGCGCGGCGGACCGAGGGGGCGGAGCAAAGGCGGGAGGAGGCGCGGAGAAGGAAGGAGGGAGAACTGAGCCCAGGCTCCGCCCAAGGCGCGCGCGGGAGGGCGGGCGGGCGCACGCGCACGGACGCCGAGCGGGTTGCTAGGCGACAGGGCGCTTCCCTAGTTACCCGGCTGAGGAGGAGGAGGAGGAGGAAGAAGAGGTAGAAGAGCGAAGGAGCCGCCGAGAACGGGAGGATGAAGGCTCCTCAGTGCCTGTGCCAGATTTGCACCTGCGGGTAAGCCAGTTTCCAGATGGGGGGCCCGAGGGCTGGCGGGGCAGCATGACGTCATACCCACGGAGTTAACCCCCCCCATAAAAGGGTCACAGACCCTCCGCTCTTGCGACTCGGCTCCCTCGCGGTCCCTTCACACGTGACGCGTGCCCTACACGGGTGTGCGCGAGAAACCGAGCGAGGCGCGTCTATTTTCACTTAGCGTGCCCCTGGGCTAAGGGGAGAAATGGGGTTCAAATTAATCCACACACACACACTGACACATCCCCAACCACAGCCCTGAACTTCCCCGGGAGACCTTGGGCCTGTCATTATATCTCCGTGTGACCTACCTCACAGGGTTGTTGTGAGTGTAAAAAGTGGACCGGGATTGGGGACACAGATAATAATGAGCTCCTGCGGCGATAAAGATGGAATAACTATTTGTCAAGCTTTGCAGGCAGGCAGAGTCCCAGATCCAGCCCCCTGCCTCTCTAGGCAGGGCTGGGAAAGGCACCTGCCTAAAATCCAGGTCTGCTGTCAGTCAATGTATATACAACATTGAATTAGTTGGGCTGTTGGTCAGAGTCAGTACAAGCCAGCCTTCTGTGTTCCCAATAATGATCCTAACAATGAACTTTTTATATGTCCTGTCCTTCCTCCCAAGTTGCTCTGAGTGGTTTCGATGGGGGTGGGAGGGGAGTTACCTTACCTTACGGGACTTACATGAGGAGAAAATGGGAGTAAGGTTGAGAACGTGAGTAGCCCAGGCTGTGTCCAGATTATCACGGTTTTCAGGTGGGTTTCAATCACACACCAGCAATTTGGGGGTGCACTATTAATGCTGATTTGGAGCTCTTGCAAAACAAACAAACTTCGTTGAAAGGTTGGATTTTTGCAATAAAGAAAGTGATGGGGGGGGAGAGATGCACTGTAAAGTGTGAGAGAACACTTGATGCAATGTTGTTCAATCTCCCCACAAACAAATCAGGGTGAACGCTCAATAAGCAGGGTATGTGGAAGTGCCCCCAGGGAGCTTCATTGGGAAATTGTAGCCTGAAGAATTGATAGTGGGCTGCAACACCCATGAACCCAGCCAGCATAGATAATGTTCATGGATGATGGGAGTTGTAATCCTCACCTTCTGCAGGGTACCACATTGGCTTCCTTGCCAATAGTCCTAACATCTGAAAGCAGTGTAGTTTTCAGATGTGGTGCACTAAGGAGCCAGTGTGGTGTAGTAGTTAAGAGCGATAGACTCGTAATCTGGGGAACCGGGTTCGCTTCCCCGCTCCTCCACATGCAGCTGCTGGGTGACCTTGGGCCAGTCACACTTCTCTGAAGTCTCTCAGCCTCACTCACCTCACAGAGTGTTTGTTGTGGGGGAGGAAGGGAAAGGAGAATGTTAGCCGCTTTGAGACTCCTTCAAGTAGTGATAAAGCAGGATATCAAATCCAAACTCTTCTTCTTCTTCTTCTTCAAAGCCCAACTCAGACATGAAGCATGCCTGCAGCTAGTTGCTTTAATTTTGCAGCTTAATCTGTCCTACAGGGTTGTTGTGGGGATAAAAGAGTGAGGAGGTGACCTTGTCTGCCACTCTCAGCTCCTTAGAGAAAGGGCAAGTTAAAAGAAACAGCAACATTGAAGATCCACTAAGAGGGACTCCACAGGACAGCTCCATGTATTACAATAGCTATTGGAAACACTTCTGTTTCTTCACGTCAAACTTTACTCAGCGTGTGGGCATAACCCACATAAGCTCATACATCTTTAAGCACCAATGCTCTTGTGTATGTATCTGAGGAAACTGGCACTCATAATGTATGTATGCCCTTAGGTAGCAATCATATTTTTCACTGGCATTGGAGTGTTTCCCACCACAAGCACATGAAGTGTGAGCACCTGATGAGAGGTCTCAAAATACATCAGGGAACCATGTCCTCGGCCAGGGTGCAACTGGCACTGGCAACGGAGAATAATAGCAGATGGGGTGATTTACTGTCCCTCTCAAGGATCTGGCAGTACCTGTTCCATATGGTTCAGCAAATTCCAAATGATGTGTCAGGACATGCTTGAATGCTATGAGAAAACAGCATGTGTGCCATGTGGCTTTGATGAGTACCGTATACAACAGTAATAATCCCTGGAATAGGCATCTGTGTTTTTTCTACCATTTTGGCCAGGGCTCCTCCCACTGCTGGAATGGTAGATCTCTTGCATCTAGTGTAATTGGTTGACATAGACACTTCTGAGCAGATGGAGTAAAATTACTCACCCTTAGAGGAGGCTGCCTGTTGCATCTCTTTCTGAGTCATCACTCACTCTAGGCTTGCTTCCTTTTGCTCAGGAGGTAGGTCTAGAAATAACAGCAGCCAGCTTTAATGAGCTAACCTAGACATGACATTAAATGTATTTCTGCATTTAACAGGTACATTTGTTAAAATACAAATAGCACATGCTGTTTTGGGGGCTGGTTATTATAGGCATGTGGGTGGGGGAAATTTGCCCTTTCCTCCCCTTCTGTATTTCTGATAAAATTCCTTTCTCTGAAAGTGCTCTTTGCATTGCGAGAAAATCCCTCATGGACGCCAATTCTATTTGCATTTTTTAAAAGTAAATATGCTGGAAGCCACCCAGAGTGGCTGGTGCAACCCAATCAGATGGGCGGGGTACAAATAATAAAATTATTATTCTTATACTTAAATTTTAAATGCAAATTTGCAATTTAACATCACATCTAGCTATTCAGTTGTACTCTTACATGTTCCAAATGTGAGCCTTCTGGTGCATATGAATGAAGCGTGCCTTGCATTTTACACACACAAAGTACGTATATCTTAGCCCACTAGTGTTCCATGGAACTCAAAACTCCATTTATACATTTCTCAGCCAAGAGGCATATCTGGATTAGGGCCATTTTTGGAAATACAAAGATGTGTAGTATATTGCGAACAACCTCAGAAATGTGGCTGTTACTGGGGAAGTGATTGAATCCTGCGCTTAAATGGAACATATGCTATGAATTCCTCAAGTGGTTACAAACTTCTCTGTTGTACTGGCATCTATACCACTTCAACTGGCTCCAAGAAAAAAAATATTTTTAAGCCCCCTCTTGAGCCACCTCAGGTACAATCTACACAGTTTTATGAACAATATTTGTGTTTTCATTTTGAGGTAAGTTGATCCTTCCAGTGGATAGTGGCTTAGGACTTAGCTAGGAGGCAGCAGGAGACAAGTCTCTTGAAACTTTCTTCTTGAGCCCAGAGGGCTTGTGTTTCTCTTGACACTAGCCTTCAAGCCACATGGCTAGCTGTTTTTGAAACAGATGAACACTTTTGAAAGCAGTTTGGGCATCAGCTGCTCAAAGAGAGGGAGGGAAGCTTTTACAGTTTCGAAGTGCGAGCCTAAGCAGCCCTTTGGATCCTGGCCAATCTAAACTTTGGATGACATGACACTGGAGGAGGCAAAGGAGCTTCAAGCCAAACAAAGCTGTTTCCAAGTTCTGCAATGAAACACCACAGAACAAAGGCCCTGTGAAACAAGCCTACAAACAAATGGTTTACAAAATGTACATTGCCAACAATTTTGTGGTCAATAAACTCTCAAGCAGATATTGATGTAGGCAGCGAACTGAATTTGCTTTGCTTTTGCAACAGCACTTCAGGTTTCAATGGGAGGACTTGTCGCTTGGATCTTGTTACCTGGGGAGTTAAGCCATACACACATTAGGGTTACCAAGAGGAAAAGAAACAACAGGAAAATATATAGGTGGCTTGTTCTTTTGCTTCTACACAGAGACTCTACTTCTGCCCTAATCCCCAAACATTATAATTATTTAGCACAGTTGGGGACATTGACATTCACAGGATAATGTGTCAGCGCTAAGAGGACTGTATTCTTTCATATGATAAACACTAGCATTTACTTGGAAACTGATGAAGGTGTAAGGCATCTAGATTTTCTTTTCTCCGTTGCAAATTACTTCTTCGCCGTCTGTTGATGCTTTCTTTGTATAATGGTGATTTAGTTCAGCAGTTCACCACAAACCAAAAGCATACATGTGTGTGGCACATATATACCCTGTGCTCCTATCATTTTATTGCCTAAGCATATCCACATTATAGACTTAGGCTACAAACCCATGCACATTGGCTTGGAAGCAAGCCTCATTGAACTCAGTGGGGCTTATTTCTAAGTAAACTTGTATAGAATTGTACTGTTGAACTAGCTTAACATCCTTCCCTCTTTCCTGAGAACATTTGGAATTAAAGTTTTGTGTTGAGTCTACGAATCCGTAATAAAGACTTAATACACTTTCCCAACTTCAATTCCCATAATTTTTTGTAGGAAAGATATGGCATGGAACATCAAATAAAACATAGTATACAAGTTTGTGATGTATGCCTTTTCAGTTTTCACAAATTAAGGGACACGGTACTCCGTTAATCATGCAGACAATCACGACAGTCTGTTATTCTAGTACAGTACATGACCAGATATTAAAATGTAATCTAGGATATAATTACACAACTTTTTTTTTTTAAAGCTTTTTGTGAGCAGTAAAGGCAGCCAGTTTGTTTGCAGGGTGCAAGGCATGGCCAAAGTTTGCAGAAGGAAATTTCAGAGGCAGGTTGTTTTTTAAAACCACAAAAATGTTCCTGTAACTGCATTTGTGCAAAATAAGTGTTGGATCCCTTACAGCTCTCTTAGGAATATAAATATGTGCTGCCTGGTTTGAAATGATACATTCTGAACCTGAACCAGGTATCAATTACAGCTGAGCATAGGATGTTTCCATAATAAGATGTAAACACTTAATTTATTTTGTATGTGTGTTTTTTTAAAAAAAAATCCCTTATGAGTTGCAGAACTAGTGCTTAAAAGAATATCTCTTCCTTATATGCACAGCCAAGAACTAGAGTGCCTTCACAATACAAATGTCAATTAGACATGCTTTTTTCCCTTCAGAAACACTGAACTATCCAAGCAATAGCTAGACTCACTCACAGTCAATATCCAAGAGCCATGTTTGTTCATTAAATGGGAACACAGAATATATAACTCCTTCATTTGTCTCCTTTTAGTATTTGCTAGCTTCTATTAGTCATACGCCTATCACAGTCACATTGCTCTACATTTTGCCCCTTTCCCACTGATCAGGAAAAAAGATAACGCCCCTGCAGAGAGATGTCTATAAGTGGGGTCTCCTTAGGAACATAAGAATTGCTTGCTGGACCAGCAAAGGTGTCCGATACCCAACAGATTCTAGATAGATGCTCCTAGGGGTTTCCCCTGTCCCAGCTCTCAGCCCCAGCATTTGCTGTTTTCTTTCGGTATTTGGCAATCCCATTAACTATCATGGATTTTCCCTTTACGCCTTGGCCTCAGTCATTTTGGAGGCCGGAGCAGGGATGCCGGCCCTCGCCTCTGTCCTTCTTGCGGACAGCCTCAATGGAGGCTGAACAGGAGGGTTCAGCCTTGTCACCTAGAATCAGTCACCACCTTCGCAGATGGGAGCAGATCCGTGCACCCGATGGAGGGCATGCTTGCAATCTTGACGTTCCCATACAGCATGAGTGAGCATGCATCATTTTAAAAAGCTGGTGGAAGGGGTGGGGGGAATTGTAGGGACATCTGTGTCACGATCTTGTCCTGCTCCTAAATCCTGAATCGTGATTCCTGAGCATGTCAAGCCTGTACCATTACTTGCCTGACTAAAGCTATCTTCCTTATAAGTAAGAGCCTTTGCATGTACAGTGGTACTCGGGTTAAGTACTTAATTCGTTCTGGAGGTCCATTCTTAACCTGAAACTGTTCTTAACCTGAAGCACCACTTTAGCTAATGGGGCCTCCCGCTGCTGCCGCGCCGCCAGAGCACGATTTCTGTTCTCATCCTGAAGCAAAGTTCTTAACCCGAGGTTCTATTTCTGGGTGAGCAGAGTCTGTAACCTGAAGCGTCTGTAACCTGAAGCGTATGTAACCCGAGGTACCACTGTACTAGACAGAAGTCAGGACATGCAAAAACAAACAAACAAAATAACTTACGCATAGGAAGTTAGCATGTCAAGAAGACCTGTTGATTTCTTTTTCAGGGAGAAAAAAACCCCATTCCACATACACTTTTGCAGCTAGATGATCTGAGCAGCGTTTTAGGAAAGCTTGATGATTTTCTAAATTGGCCTAGACTTTGGGGTAGGAGTTTGAGCCATTCACAATGAGGGCTTGCTGGTGTGTTTAGGCGCTGATTATTGGATAAATGTCTGAGGAAGACCTTTGGGACTGGAGGAGCAAGGCAAATTAAATCCTTTGACCTATGCTGGTGGCGTATGTAAGAATTGCTACTAGTAGTAGCAGTAGTAACCATCGACATTGTGGCAGAAAGGTCACAGTGCCTCACACGAATGGTTTAAAAAAGAGATGATAATAAATTCAGCAGAGATATTCAGAGAGTGTGATGGAACAAAAGACCAGCTAGTCCAAGGCTTTGCTCTCGGGACCAACTACCCACCAGCCTTTCAATAGTACTACTCTGCAACCCAAACATATACCATACCTCAGTTAGGGAACATTAGCAGGAAGGTGGCAGCAGAGAGAATGGCTCAAGTGAACTACCCAAGTCACACTTTAAGAGTAAAATAAAACACAGTGTCAAGAGTCTATATAAATAATTCCCCTGTGTAAAGAATGGAGGATCTATCACAGCTATATGGGAACCTCTGTCCCTCCAAACATTGCTGAATTAATCATCCTATGCTTCCTGGGGTTCATGTAGCTCAGCAACATGAAGGGCCAGAAATTCCCCACACCTGGTCTATCCTTACTTAATATAATTCATTAACACAACCTTGCAAATTAGCTCCCAAAAGTTAATCTAATGCTAATCTGCAGGAAATTGTTACTAGTTCACTTGCACCCCAAACAACAGTTTGAAAAATCAGTTTTGTTTCACAGTACAAATGCTGTTTACCTTGTCACTTCAGTGAGATTTTCATGCATCACAAGCAACCAAATGAATGGTTTCAGCCTTGTTTCATTAGTGCCAAAAAAGAGCAATTTTATTTTACACACCTTAAATACTATTCACACATGGCAGTAAGATGTGTTTTTTTGTGGGAAGTCTTATCCTTTTATACTGGTGTCCTAATTTACAGATGATGATTGCATTAAGATGAAGCATGGCGAGTTATGTTATCACTTTCAAATGGCTCCAAAACGTTAAGACAGTTGGTGGGAAATGGGATTTTAGAAGTTCAATCTTAAAGTGAGATTTAGACTTAAAAAAGAAACTGCTTTCAGAAGAAGGTTTGCCAGAGAGTGTAAAAGTGAAAGAGAAAGACAGCAAGAGGAGGAGGAGGAGAGAGAGAGAGAGAGAGAGAAAGAAAGAAAGAGGACAGGAGTGGAAGTAGAGAAATGATGCCTGCTTGACTTCCTTCTGATGTCACAATCCATCGGCTCTCTAACAATAAAGCAAACCATGACAACTGCAGAAGGACAAGCGAGGAGAAAAGGAGGTGAGACCATTTTGATTGCTGAATATTTCAACTCATAGGTACATAGCAAACTTTTGAAAATGTCTCCTTGAACGTGATTGTAGGCAAACAAGGGGACAGGTGAGCTGTCGAGATCCAAAGGCCACAAAATGCATTCCTGTATCTGAAAGGCCACTTGGCCTATTGGGCCAGAAGCCTCTGGGCTTCATCCGATGTTTGTGTCAGGGTTGCGAAGTGACTGCTCCATGAAGGCAAAGAGAAATGGCCTAAAGAACTGGCTTTGTGCTGCCTTCTCAAAGCTATTAATCACAGGCTTCAGAAGCCGCCTTCTTTCCCACTGCCTAGCGGCAGAGAGACAGCCTTATAAATAAAGCCCAGAACCTGGTTTTATCTGGTTTTGCCATTGCATACTCTAATGTCGGGACGCGGGTAGCGCTGTGGTCTAAACCACAGAGCCTAGGACTTGCTGATCAGAAGGTCGGCGGTTCGAATCCCCCGACGGGGTGAGCTCCTATTGCTCAGTCCCAGCTCCTGCCAACCTAGCAGTTTGAAAGCACATCAGAGTGCAAGTAGATAAATAGGTACCGCTCTGGCAGGAAGGTAAACAGCGTTTCTGTGCACTTTCTGGTTCGCCAGAAGCGGCTTAGTCATGCTGGCAACATGACCTGGAAGCTGTCTGTGGACAAATGCTGGCTCCCTTGGCCTATAGAGCGAGATGAGCGTGCAACCCCAGTCATCTGCGACTGGGCCTAATGGTCAGGGGTACTTTTACCTTTACCTTTACTCTAATGTCATAACCTGCCCTGGGTCCCTTAGGGGGAAGAGTAAGAAATATTACAAATAAATAAATAAACCAGGGTGGCCTGCTTTACAGGGGACAGTCCTCTAGCTCTCATCCATTCAAAGAGCTGCCTGGCCCAAAGATAAAGAGCCCTCAGAAGGGAGAGCAGGGTTGAAGTTGCAAATAGTTTCTATGCATATAAATTAGCACATGCATTTTTTAAAAAAATTAGTTTTCCAATATACCCCCAATATTAGCCAAATTATATGAATAACAATTAATTCCCAAATTATACAATTATCAGTATGCCAATCAACTTCTAATTAATACACTTTAGTTAAAGTGGCTCCCCGCATGGTGGTTTGGGTTCATTTCCAATCTTATATCACTGCGTTCCATGAACTTAATTCATGTCGGTTACATTTCAGTTATAATAATAATCCCTTACTCAACTGCTACATAATGAATTCCATTTGTGATGTTATGATATATAAATTTATAAAGCTTTGAGTGAGGAACTCAAACTATTAACTTTATTCTGCCCTGCATGTGAAAACTGTTATGTCCATGGAGATTCCTTCTGTCCATGTATGATGATGTCTCTTTCACTTACCAGCTGTTGTTTTCTCCCATCGTGGCTTGGGGCGGAACTGAATCTCAAAGATTCTCTGAGATCTTATCTCTCCATCCCTTGCTTCGATGTCTCAGAACACGCAACAGTGTGCTAGAAACCATTCTGTCTCACTAGTAAAACATGTCGCAGATCCTCACCATTTCCCCTTCAGCCTAGGAAAAGGTGGGCTGCCTTCATTATGGCAGGCAGGACCAGAAGCGATACAACACAGGTGGCTACCCTAATGGTACAAAGTAGTATTGAGACCGGGGAGACCCACATTTAAATCCCCACTTGGCCTCAAGCTCACTCTCTGCTAGGATAAAAAAGGGGGGGGGGACCTTGTACACTGCCCTGAGTTCCTTGGTGGGATATGTGGGGTAAAAAAAGGTGATTAACAAGTAAAGTAGCTCCAACCTCCCGCCAAGAGACCAGGAAATAGCTCAGGGGAAGACTTCATTGATCCTTGTCCCCACCCCCACCCCCACCCCGCTCTAGTTGGTTCTAGCTGCTGGCCAAGGAACTGATTGAAAGGGATGTCAACTTTCACGTCAAACTGTCAAACTGTCAAACTGTACAGTACTCCTGATAATAGTGCTAATATTTCAAGGTTTAATGGAAAGGAATACTGTTTGTAATCTATCCAGCAGTTTTTCAAGAGAAGAAATACCAAGGACTCGACCTGCTCTGATGAGTCATTTATATTCCCCCCTACAGAAGAGTAAATAGTTGCTGACAGGTTAATCTTATTCCTGTCATTTCTCTTTTTAGAAGCTCTGTTGAATTTCCATGGGAGAGGTTTGGGTAGCCATAAATTGTGCTAAATCCTCCTAGGAGTTTTTCTGCTTGTCAGTATTAGGGAACTGAGGTCATTGGAGAAGCAGAAACCCGTCCAAAATACTACCATCCTAATAGATGCATTATTTTCATAAACAGCAGCATTTAAGGTGGCAAGTAAAAGCTTTAGTGAGGAATATATTTTGTTATCAGAGAAACTGTCATGGAACTCAAGTCCTTGTGGGCATTGTGGCTTTTTATAATAAATCTTTATTTGGCTGGTGGGAAATGTTTTGGAGGAATCTTGGGGCCTGAGAAAAACCCACCAGCAACCTCTCTCTCTTTTTTTGTATCTGTTAGTATGTTTTCACTGCAGTCTATAAGACTACCTTAAATTATACCACCTGAAGGCAAGGTAGGTCATTGGCGTTTTTTAGAGTCAATGAGGTCAAATTCTGGACCTCCAAATTCCAGACCTCCAAATTTTGGAGGAAGATGTGAGAACGGGACTCTACATGTGTACATCTATATTGTTGCTGTTGGCCATCCTACTTTCAGCTGAAAAAGGCTCCCAGTGCAGTCTATAAATATAAATGATAAGACAGTCCCTGCTGTCAGGTCCACACTCTTAGAGACATGACACAAAAGGAAAGGGGACAGGGAGGAAGAAGAGGAAAAAGCAAGCCCAGTCATTAGGATTTAGGGCAGGACTGAGTAAAGGGGAGGATGCTTGAAAGTGCCCTACTGTGTAGGCACCATATACGTGGATCAGGAAACCTGGCTGCCCTGGGAAAACAGCTGTCCATGTGTAGAGGCCCCATTCTCATCTTCCTCCGAACATGCAAGGAGCAAGGCCGGTGAGCAGCAGCCATCTTCCAATGTGTTCAGTATAGGTGTGTTGGGGAAGATGACTACACAGCTGCCCGTGGTCCGTAGCTCAGCTCTGAGCTCAACAACAGAACACAAAGCCTGTCCACAAATCACCTAACAGAAATAAGTAGCAGCAGTAAAGATGGGAATGGCTGCAGTTCAGTTGCTCTCGAGTGAGCCTCAGGGACAAACAGTAGGGCATGGGAAGATAATTCTTGGGAGTCTGCTAGGGCAGGATCATGTTGGTAACACAAAGTGTTACATTCTGGTCCCGCATGAAGAGATGTCACCAGCAGCAAATATCAACGATGCAACCCGCTTTGGTGGAAGCAGCCAAACCTTCATTGAGGAACACAGGAATGTCAAATAAACCTCAATAAAGTCCACAGTCAGCTAAACCAGGTTTGCTCCACTGAGAGACTGGAAGCTATTTTTATCCGGTAATTGGCACATGCCTTGCTCTTCTGGGCCTTTGGTTGTGCTTGTTATTCTTGTAAAAACTTTTCTTTTTTACAAACTTCAGTTTAGTTACAATTCGCTTTCAGTTAACATTTCTATTTTCTTATACATGAGATGCTGTTTGGCACCGATGACAAAGAAACCCCTGTACTTTATTTGCTTCCCCCTACACACACCTATGAGGATCGCATCCAAGAATATGATGCTAAAAGAGACGTTGGTAGAGTGGGGCGCATTAAATATACTTCCAGGAGATCCACAAGTGCTGTCCCCCATTAGCACCCACAGTCGTAAACCCCCAGGAATACCAGTAGAAAAAGTGAAGAAGGAGAGAGAGAAGGTTGGTGGGATGGAGAGAGAGGTGGGTTTGCAGCAGGAGTGTAGTCTCAAAGTGGAGCTAAGAGTGACGTCGCTTAGACAACATCCCACTTTAGTGGGGCCATAGCTCAGGGCAGGGCATATGCAGCGCACCAAATATTCTAGGTTCAAATCCATTAAAAAGAAATAAAAATCTCAGGGCTGGAAAGGGCCTCTGCCTGATATCTTGGAGAGCTGCTCAAAGTTAGACCAACCAAATACTCTCTATCTTTACATTGGTTGCTTCCAGACAAGGGGCTCTTGAGTCCTATTCCCTCATTATGCTTCTGTTGTAAGCTACAAGTGTGACTTTTTGCACTATATGATTGCACTTCTTTACATGCACATCCCACTATGTCTCATCCACACCTGTGGGCGGGGCATAGTCCCTGTGGGCGGGGCCTTTTGAGGCTTGGCACACATGCGCTCTGATTCTGGTGCTGGGCACCTTTTTATGAACTTGTTTATTATTTTTAATTGATCTTTTAAGTAGTGTTTGAATGCATTCTCTGCAGTATTTTTATAGCGCTATAACACCCTAATAATGCATTTTTTTAATGACGAGGGAAAAGCTTGCCTTAGTAATGTGGTTAGTGGCAGTGATCAGAAAGGTATCCTTTAATGATTTATTGGGGGTGGGAGCCGAACACCCTAACAGACTGGTGTTGCAGCACCATCCCTCTTCTTCATGAATATCTAGTTGGGAAAGCATTTTGGCATTATAGGGTTAAAATAAACAGGGTCATGGAATGGCAACAGTTGCAAAGGTTATCATTAGCATGCACTTTTCTGATACGCCACAGCCCATTGCCCACATTAAAATGCTGCCCTTTTAAAAACACTCTTCCATTCTTCAGGGGGGAAAAGTTGGGCTTTGTGAGGTCTGAGAGTTAAGAAGAGGAAGAACCGCAAGGAAAAATTCAGTGTGACAGTGACTGGATGACAGTATTGTGAGGATGCCCTGTAAAAAGTTCTGCACTAAATGTGAGACAGGCAATGTGTGCAGAACAGCAGGGCACTTCTTGCTTAAAAGAGCTTCAGGGAGTAGTCTCAACTCCGGCAGCTTGAATTGGTTGACCATTATTTCCTTCATTTATCTTTGCTGTTGTTATTAAATCCCAGGCGCCATCGTTGCCCTCATAATCCCACCAGGATTTATGACCGTGTAGGGGAGTCGACCCTCATAACGGAATACGTGGACAAATATCCTCTCTATGGCAATATCCCTCCTGCCCAGAGCCTCAAGCCCAAGCATGAGTATCACACGCACGGAGGGAAAATGGAAGGCATCACAACTTTCAAGTAAATATTTTTCAGTGCTGGATAGACTTTGGGGCTACCAAGGCATCACAGGGAGAAGACAGAGGGAGGGATTAGTCAGATTTTGCTCAGGGGAAGCATTTGATCAAAAACTGAGTGGTAAAGAAATTGACCAATTATTATTAGGGCTGTAGCTTGATTTAAGAAATCACAGCTGACAATCTCTAGTTTTCATAGGTCCCTGAAATAGAAATAATATACATTTTTTATTCAAAATAATTCAAATTATTCAAATTCAAATAATTCAAATAATCATGGCCACCATTTTAATTGCTCCAAATGTTGTAGCCCTAAACAGGCCACAATAGCTTTCAAATTGTTTGGGTTTTTTTAAATACTGTAAGCTCAGTATTTTTAGTTATATTCATAGCTGTTGGCTATTTAAACCCAGTGCTTTATGCTCCCCCCCCTCCAGGTCTGACTACCTTCCATACGATGTTGCAAATCGGCCTGTCCGGGTTCCAGCGGAGTGCAAACCAGTAACTGGAGAGATGGACATGGGAACCACTTACAGAAGAGATTATAATGCTCACAAAATAAACCCCGTGATAATAGTAAAGCCTGTAGAGAGGAAATACAAGAGAGAAGGCAAAGTGAATACCATACCTACTTACCAAGGTAATAACACACAGCACTTTTCACAAAGTGAAGCGACGGGCAGAGTGGTGGCATGCCATATGGCCATGCTGGAGAGGTGATGGTGGACTTGGCTGCTGTGATGCTGTTCAGGTGAAATGAGGGAGTCTGTTGGCAGTGGACTCTTGTTAAGTCTAATAAAATGCACACTGTCGGCATCATCCATGGGCTTTGGAGGCAAAAGCTTAATATCCTGCTTTGGCTAAGGCAAAAAGAGAGTCCTAAACTAGTTTACTCATTGAGTTCAGTGGCGCTAACTATCCATCGCTTAGGATTGGCTAGCCTTAAACCATTCCCTTTGCTTTGGGAGATGCTGTTGTACCTATCCGTGTATCTTGGTGACACTAGACTCTAACCCAGCCCCACTGGGATCAGCTGCACTAAGGAGTTCCCCGTTGAGAATTGCAGCCAAGCTGATTGCTGCTATTACAGCCAGCGAGCCCCACTTTGTCCAGTCCAAACCACACCTACAAACTGACTTCAAAGGACCCTGTTTACCTGTCAAAGTTGGCCCACAAAGGATGGAGAATTAAGGTGCTGGCTAATGTACCAGATCTAGTCCCTCACACCTGCAGTAGAGATCTCTAATAGAGAATTCTCAGCACCTTCACCAAATTATAATCCTCAGAATTTATTGAGGGAAGCCATACCCTGATTTAAAACTGATATAGGTAGCATGGGTATTCCTTTACTTACCAGTTTCTGGCCCAGAGTGGTTGAAGGCAATCAAATACATGCCTACAGGTGCCCTAAGTATGTTGGCAGGGTGACACACCACTCAAACAGACTGCAACCAATCTATGCTGAGGCCAAGGCTATCAAAAATTAACAACCATAGCAAAATTTGTTAGCTTAATGCTGTTTTTGTCTTAAAGCTGACTATAGGGTCTGGGAAGTTCAAAGAAGGGAGACCAACAAAGTGGAGAACGCCTACCAACTTCCCACTGAAAAGTTTGGGAACAGCACCACATTTCAAGATTCCTTTTTCCCAAGGGAAATCTCCCTCCGAAAAAGCTTTAAGCCCACTGTTGTGACCAAGCTTTCAGATCAGCCTTTTACCAGTGTTACAAGTCATCGCAGCGATTATGTTCCTCATCAGCTGGAGCCACAACTGAAGGTGTCAAAAGAAGAATACAAGCCCAATAGCCAACCCTTTGTAGACACCACAACACACCGCTGTGATTTTAGAGGGCTTGTTGGCGAACTTCCAAAAAGCTTCAAGCCTGAACCCTCTAAAGTGGAGGTGAAGGCTCTTTTTGATGGAACCACAGAATTCCGCGATCGTTTTCAACCATGGGCCATTTCCTTACCTGAAGTTCACAAAGCAAAAGAGTATGTTCCACCCACAGGCAACATGGAGTTGACCACCACGAGCCACCTTGCTTATATTCCACACGACATCAATCCAGCTGTCCTCATGAGACCAGTAGAAAGGAGCAGGAGAAATAATGCCCCCTTTCAAGGGAATACAACAATGAGAGATGCCTTTCAGGCTTGGGATACCCATCGGCCAGAAATTGTCAAGAAGTCCCAGGATATTCCAAAGGCCTCTGGGAAGTTTGATGGCATGACAACCTTCAGAGCTCACTATAGACCACACAACATAGTCCTGACTCAGAGTTGCAAACCTTCAAAGATGGCCCTATCTAGTTCAGCACCTTTTACAGATGAAACCTTGTACCGTACAGAATATACGCCAAAGAAACAAGAGGTCTGCCCAGCAACCTATCCATCCCCTCCAGGATATGTCTTTGTCAACACTGATTCTCATGGTCACAAATTCTTCCGCAGAGTTTCACCAGACGTCAGTAAGATTGCTCATGCAAATGGTAATCATCTTCCAAAAGAAATAGCAGTTGTATCCTAACTCCTAATTCTAATAGTTTGCACTAAAGTGTTCCGAAAATTATCATGCAGTGGTCAGAGTATTACATTAGCTCTAACCATTCTAAATAAGCCTACTGATTATAAGATTTTTTTGGAGTGATCTGAGAACTAATTTTTACAAGTTTATATAAGTAAAATTTGTGTCAATATTTCTGTGGAATCTCTTTTCTTCAACTGTATTACAAGACAACTGTTCATTTTAACAAGATGGGTGATTTTCTGGCAATATTTTGATGATGCATTTTAATATGATTACCTGAATAGGACTGTGCACTGTTCTTACGTACAGCAAACAAAATTGTCCTGGCTCGCTTCCTTAAAATATGTTCAAAGGGGTTGCAGCTAACAAGCAGAATGTGAAAGTTCCAAGTTGAATTCTTGGTGTTTCTTTTTGAAGGATCTTAACAGTGCAGGACTGAGATATCGCTCTTCCCCAGACCTTGGAGAACCCCTACCAGCTTCAGACAAAATGATTTGGCTAGCCAGGTCAACAGTCTGGTTCTGTATAAGCCAGATGCTAAAGATTACAGTTTGCTGCTGCACCAAGTAGCATCACAAAACACATTTTGCACTAGTTCAACATGTTTATTGTAATAGAATCATAGAATTGGAAAGGACCCTGAGAATCATTTAGTCCAATCCCCAGCAATGCAGGAATATGCAGCTGTCCCATACCAGGACAGCTTAGTTGGATGCTGTTTGGGCTACCTCCATATGTGTGTGTATGTGCGTGTGTTTTTAAATTATGGAGGCTTGCTAGGATCATAAGAACTTCCACTTTGGATTTTCAAGATATTTCAGCATGTATTACCAGGCCCTACAAAACCACATTGGTAGAATTTAGTATTAAGATGTTTAGCCACATGTGAACATTTTTTTTGCTGCACACCTCAACAAAGGATGGTCTGGGACTGTTGGCATCATGTATTGTAAGCCAATATATAAAACCAATCCAGCTCAAACTATGTCTCATTGGATAACATAGGGCTTCAATATATTTATTTTACCATATTTGTATAGGCAGCTCCCCATTTGTGCGGTATTTTGCATTCCGAGGTACTGCGCACACTGGCGGGACAGGAAAGCCCGCCCTGCCAGCCTTCCAGTGTCAAAAACGGCATGTGAATCAGTGGCCATTCGCATCCCAAACACACACAAATGGGGAGTTGCCTGTATACTACTTTTCAGCTGTAATGGTCCTCAAAGTGGCTCACAATACAAGAATCAGATTTACAGGCAGATGGCACTGCCCTCACAAGAACAGATCTGGAATACTAGGTGCTGCCAATTTTTATGAAACGATGGCACCATGTGGTTCCTGGCTCTGTGCTCCTGGAACGCAGAGGGTGGCAAAGCAGGGTTGGGGTAGACATTGGGGTGGTGATATTCATCTAAGTCCTCTTTATTACATCAGGTACTCTTACTGCTGCATTGAGCAGATGGCATTAATAGCTACCAGCCCTTGTTGTTAACTTGTTTTGTGGTATCAGTGGGAGGTGCAGTAGAATTCTAGGGATGTTTGTATTCAGTAACAAGTCCCACTGTGCTCAGTGGGGCTTATTTCCAAGTAAAAGTGTGTAAGATAATAGTCGTAACAATGAGTAACTTCAATTGGATTTGGGTCTGGGTTGGGAAGCTTTTTCCAGATTATTTGAATCTATTTCACCTTAATATACATGTATGCTTCGGCATATGTATATTACTAAATTTATGACAAGATTGCATTTCAGAGTATGATTTCAGTTTTGATAGGCCTGTAATTCAAGTTGTAAGATTGGTGCCAATACTTTGAGCTATTGCTCCAGTGAATGCTTCACATTGTTTTCATTCTCACTGATTGTTTCTTACCTGCGTGTTGCCTTGTACTCATTATTTTAGGGAAACCATTTTATGATTGAAGTGTCATGTAATCCCACGTACTGTATCCCCAAACTACCAATTCAGAGATCGAGATCAAGAACTGAATGGTGTCAAAAGAACACAATAAATCATCCAAAAAAGGAGAGGAAAAACTCCGAACCGCTGGGAATGTTTGTTTTGTATCACTCCCATATGGTATTCTTGGTATTCTCACAGATCAAACTGAGACCTAGAGCCTGATACTTCTTCATCCTATGTAAATTTAATGCTCTAGAATTGGGGGGGAAATCAAATTAAAAACAAAAGCTTTCTACTGCGTTTCTTGAAGTATGTTTAAGACTGTCAGTAGGCTAGGAGTGGAGCTTTTCAGATCTTATGATACTGTATATATATTTTTTCCTTTTGCCATCTGAAATGGACACATGAGCCTCTAGTCTGGAGACACGCTCTTAACTATTGTCATCTCATTCTCTGATGGAGGTGAAAGAGCCAGAACATTTTTCTCTCTTCAGTCCTGTTCTTTCCAGGTCCTCTTTTCATATGGCTAGTTCACACAAGTATGTTATTTACTTGATAACCATAACATCAAGTGGATATTTACACATGTAAGTGGGCTGAATCCAGCGGTGTGGCTTTTCCAGAAAATTTTGAATTTGAAAACTGGGATAATTGGCATCAGGAAAAAAAAATCTGATGACCTTGAGAGTGATTTAATTTAGCATGACAAAACTTTGAACCTGACAAGCTTGCTCAATGTTTATTTGCTGTTGCTATTCATGAATGATTACTAACATACAAAACACAAAAATTCCTGCAGAAAAATTAAGCACTACAAAAATATCTGGAAAAGATTCCATTTTGCTGAGTTTTCCACCCGACACCAGTGACTGTTGCGAATCTAGAGACTCTGATATTCCTTCTATATTTCCTCACTTTCCTTCAAACACTTGCCAAGGGTGCCAGCTTAACACATTCAGCTTCCTGGGTGTGAGCATGAGAGAACCAGTTCAGCAGTTAGAATAGAGGCAGGAAACAGACCAGAAATGTGGATTTATGCAGCTGAACTGCATAAATGCAGTTCAGCTGCATAAGGGGGGCTTTTGAGGGGGCTTCCTATGTTGCTGCCTTGGGTCGGATTTGATGTTGCTTTGAAATCAATGTCTGGTTTGGGTACTTGCCTGCTCTGCCCACCCTGTCAAGGACATAAGAAGAGCCTGCTAGATCAGCCCAATGGCCCATTTCGTTCAACCATCCTGTTCTCACAGTGGCCAACCAGGTGCCCAGAGGAAGCCTGCAAGCAGGACCTACTGTAAGCACCAGAGCTCTCTCTCCCCGTTATTTCCAGCAACTGATATTCGGAGCCAATACTGCTTCTGCCTGTGGAGGCTGAGTATAGCCATCATGACCAGTAACCATTGTCCTCCACTGATTTGTCTAATCTTCTGAAGCCATCCAAGCATAGCTGTCAACCGTCCCTTATTTGGCGGCAAAGTCCCTTATCCCAGCGCCGTGTATCGCTGCTGTCCCTTATTGATGATGTCCCTTAAATTTCCCGGGTTTCAAAGGAAGCAGCTCCTCTCCTTCCCTCCCTGCTGGCCAGGGAGGAGGGAGGCTCCAACTGTGTTGCTTGGCTGCCCGGCCTGCTCCGGCCTCCTCTCACCAGCCTCGGCCCCCAGGAGCCCCCCTCCCCACCGGGACTGAGGAGCCTTGAGAGGAGAGCGAGGGCAACCTTAGAGAAAGTAGTTCAGAGAGAGGAGGAGGAGGCAGGTGTTCCAAGGGCTAACCATAGAGGGGGAAAGCGGAGGAAGGACCGCAAGCACTTCTCCCATAGATTTGTAGTGGTAGACTAGCATAGATGGTCTGATCTGCGGGTTTACTTCGGGCGCTATTCCCCCCCCCTTCCTCCTGCCCCGCCTGATGGAACTGAGAGCTGCAGATGGAGCACGAGAGAAAAGATACAGAAGTGCAGCAGCATCTTCGTAGCTTGGACTTCATTTTGCGCGAAAAGTGGTTGCTGCTTGTAGTTATTTAATTGCAGTGTTTCATCAGCTGGTGTCTTGAGCAGCAACCTCTGGAAACGAAGGGCTAAAAACTGGCGCTGCTCTCCCAAATTATCTGGTCCCTTTTAACTTTGTATTTCAGCTGGCTGACTAAAATCCCTTATTTTGGCTGCTGATCCCTTATCTTCAAGGCTGCTGGTCCCTTATTTTCAAATCTGTAAGTTGGCAGCTATGCATCCAAGTTGGGAGCACATTCCATAGTTTTAACAATGCACTGTGTAAAGAACCTGAAAAATGCCACTAACAAACTGTTTCCATATAGTAAAAGCAACTGGGATAGCCAAAAGGAGTGTTTATTTTTGTGAATACCAAAGTTAAGCCAGTGAACAAATAATATTAGACATCTTTGGTTAATGTAGCAGCAGTGGAATTGGCTACAGAGGACCATATCCATCTGCTGCAACCATCACCCACAGCTATGCTTCCCTAGGACATGCATTTATAACCAAAGTACTAGCAAAACAGGGATGCTAGCAGTTCATTCTTTACAAATATTAAATACAAAATAAAAACATTTGGTAAGTTTCAGTAAACAAGAAAAAAAAAGTTCCAAAATCTTTATTACACACTGTACAAAAAATATTGCACTTTTAGATCAGGTAATAAATATATACAAAAGTATATTACATGTTTTAATTTAAAAATGGTATAAACAAACAAGACCCATGGCTGATTTAAAAAGCTTGGGCAGCCAAAGTTAATCATTTTAAAGTTAAGTGCAGGCTCTCTGCACTCCTGCTGACACCAGTGTGTCAAAAGGGACAGTTTATACGGGGAGAATCAAGTGGTAAAACTAACACAGCCATCCTTAAAAACTTGCACTTCTCTGAATTTTGCAGCGCAGGTCTCCAGCTTAATAACGTGTACAAAAAATACACACCACACTGGGGTAAAGAATCCATAAAAATGCACACATTACTGAAATTAACAGAAAAAGTATCAGTTGGGAGAAATCTGCACTAAAACACTGATGAATTTTCATGAGGGTGGTTTTTTAAACAAATGCAGAAATGTGGAAAACTGAACTTGGAAAAATAAGAGAAACCGAAACAGAGAGGTTTACCCATTTCTTACAAGTTCTTCTCTCAGAGCCACCATGTTTGTGCAGTTCTGCTAAAAAAAGTTTGGCCTACCATGTTGCGGAAACCAGGCTACTATCTGCAGGGGTTTTCCCTGTCCTCCTCCCCAGCATTTTGAACATTCAAATATGCAATTCTCCCACCTGGAAAAACTTTACCTCTTGATTCTACTGACTGCTAATTGGCCCCAAGGTGTTTAGCCTCCATATCATTACATTGAGTGGGTATATATCGCTTTTCTTGCTGTCAGCAAAGGCCACGGTTACCCACGTGAAAGGTTTTCTGTACAGCAGCATTAGTTTAATTAGCAGTGAGGCAAAACCAAAACCAAGGTGCATTCATTTTTCCTCTAACATCCTCTGGACAGAAACAAAATCTCTGCTGTTTCTTTTCTGGCCCATCAGCAGAGGGCCCAGTTCAACCAAATTTGCCTTTGGGCATTTATGCAAGAGCACAGGAGTTGCAAATAAAAAGCAGCCAGTTAAAACTGAAAACAGCAATAACATTTTCTTTTTCTACTAGAGGCTTAACAGTATCAAAAGACCCCTGATGGAGGCTATCCTCTATCTTGCATTCTGCTTAGTGACCAGTCAGATACCTCCTGGCAAACATTCAAGCTGGGCACAAAGGCACTAGGCTATCTGTGCTGTTCATTTCTCTGTGTCACGTATTCAATGGTACACTGCCTCTTGAGCATGGAGGTTCTACAGTGTTTTCCATGCACCAGAGGTTCCATGGCAAATTTTTGAAGTGTGGGGAGCTCATCACAACAGCCTCCTCACCTAACCTCTCAAAGGAGGGTCTCAAAATGCAGACAGCTGTCTTCATTATATGCAACTCCCAAAGAGCAGCATAATACCAAATTGATTTGGGTCAGCTGACAATCATAGAACAGTGAGCAAGCAAAGGGTGTGGGATGGTGGTGGTGGTAGACGTTAGCGTGTTGTAATTTGATGGGGGATACCTAGGTTTACATCCCCAATCGGCCATGTGGCAGGACTGCAAAGAAGTAAGCTACACTGAATTCAGCAGTACTTAATATTGAATGCACTGGTTTCACTTGCAAAAGATGCTGGCGCTTATCAAGAGATCTATAGTCAGCCAAAATGCAACCTTTAACTTACCATTAGAAATACCAAAAAAGCAAATAAAGTTTCACCATTTAAACTGCTAGGGTGAAGAAGGAACCTTGTCAAAGGAAAGGAAAGAAGTACCCAGCCTTTGATTTTCACCCCCCTCTCTGCCAATCTGTCACAATCCTGAAAGCCACATTATTCATTTGCCAGAGCAAGGAAGCTCCATCAGCTGTACTGGCAGGTGATGTCAGTCCTGGAGAAGCACTCTCCTCATCCCCTTTCCTGGTCCATTATGCATCTCCTCTGCCATGACTTTGTCAAATCACTTTGTGCTGTGAATTTGCCTTATCACCGCACATAAGCCAGTGGACCGCAAATTCCATGGGTGAATTCTGCGTTGTGTGATGCAGTGCTTCTTTCCTGTCCTAAAATAATGTCAATCAATTTCGGTGGGACACACTGAATTCTAATATTATGGGAGAAAGACATGTGAACCTTCTGTTTACCCACTTCGCATAATTTTATAAACATTTGGGGGGTGGGTAGGCAATGTGGTACCCCCCCCAGTTGCTGGACTCCAGTTCCCATCAGCAGCGACCAATGTGTCCAATGATGGGAGTTGCAATGCAACATCAGGATGCCACCAAGTTACCTAGCTCTCTTCTGCCATGTCCCTCTTACAGTGCTGCTCAATAAATATATTGTCTACTCAGAAGTCATTCCTATGGAGTTGAATGGGGCTTACTCTCAGTTAAGTGGGGTTAGGATTGCAGCCTTAGCTGTTGTCCCCCAACCTTTTCTAAATTAAGGGCCTTTAAGCCTTCATAAGAAAAATATTTTGACCTCTTGATCATTTGTGCTTCCCCACCCCATGGTACTTTCCCCAGCTCCAGATTTTCCTTTTTGAGACGGGCCGGCCAGAATGGTATACATTATTTCGAATGTGGCTGCATTTATTTATATTTCCATATTGTTTGTATTTTTTCGAGAATCAAAAACTGGCTTCTTGGCAGGCTTTGCACACATAATTTGCGCGGAAGAATAGAGCTACTTGAGGTTGTAGTTTTGCGAATTTACTAGCATGCGATCACTAAATGTATGATAGTCAGGATGAATGGAAACAAATTGAAACTGATACTTAACATATGTCTGTCTCAATGAAGAACAGCTCTTTCTGTTTTGTTTGGTTCCCCCCCCCTCTTTCTTTCTTTCCAATGACTGGAAAAGTATATAGAAGGTTTCTTCAAGGGCAATCCAGCCTGACAGGCACCCTTGGCCCAGAGAACCACTCTCATTTCTCATCTGACCAAGCAGAAGGGGAAACTTCTCAGACCCCAAATGCAAATTCCAAGCTCCCATGTAGAAACCCTCTTGCATCCAGTTTTCACATTCAATGAATCATGCCCTGGCTTTGATCACATTCCCGCAAGGCTGAAGCAGACGTTTGGGGAACCTGCCCCCCTGCCCCAAATGACGCCTCGTCGATTAGAAAACAATCCCATAGCAGGTCTGAAAACCATCATGTCAGGTACATTGCCTTTTACTGCAGGCGCTTAAATGAAGGAAGGAAAGCAAAATGGGGATACGTTCGACAGCTAATCTCAATAAAACAAGACCTGTGACAATGTCCTTTTCTCAAACGCTAAGGAAATGCAGCCTCTGGGGGGAAATATTACAGCTACAGATGGCTGAATCCATATACTTTGAGAATTGTACTGATGTGGATCAAACCAGAAAGGCAACAAGCAGTTATGAGTTGTTGCTGCATTTCAGTATTTTTGGAATAGTTGTCAACAATTGCTAAACTCGAATTGTCTTCATGAGGCAGGGAGCATTACTTGATAGCCAATGAATCACTTGCAACCCCATTAAAACTGATGTTTCCTACACCATTAAAGCTTAAGTTGCAACAGAGCTATTGCCTGGTGGGTAGGAGTCGAGGAGAGAAAATAGAAAACCCTGCTTGGACTATCCATAGCACGTTCTATTCATCCATTTCCCCTTCCCCACCACGTGTTCTTGGTTGATTGTCTATACTGTCCAGAGCAGGCTGGATTGAAACAACATTCTCTTCGTGCGATATCTTCACTGCGACATCATGAACTTCCCACAGAAGGGTAATGCTCTTCACATGACTGACAACACCTTTGTTTGTAGATGTCTATCATGCATAATTTTAGCTGCTTTACAAATGTACAGTAGTGAGTTGTATCCTTGCATTCGCCTTCTGAAAAATACATTGAAATGCAACAAGAATGAAAAAGGGCAGTTACAGCATCTCATCTCGGGCAAATGCGAACGGGAGACCTAGATAATGTTCACATCCTTTCTCCTTCCCTCTCAGGTCTTGCACAACAACACTATGGGCAGGATACTCTGCTGGCTGCTCTGAACGAGTTGCATTCAACGGCCAGGGGTCCAGTCCGTTGCACTAACTTGAGCCTATCTTGGGAGTTGTTTTGCATTTTAGTTCTTCAGAATAAAACCCTTTGCTGAACTGGGGCAGGCCAATGTCGCACCATTGTATTGTATGGGTGGGGTTTGGTTGACGGCTTATCATGTTCATTACGGAACTAAGAGTTCAGCGCCACTGTCTACATGCAATTGCCACAAGTGACCGGAGAGTTCAAAAATGGAAATAAACGTTTACATACTGTCACAAGAAGTGACATTGCAGTGTTTCCAGGTCACTGGTCTCTTCCTCCAGGCGCACGACGGATCTCCTACGGGCCTCTTATTTCTCCTGTGTATGCAGCTGACTTGCCGTGATTGGAATCCGCTTCCACAATCTACAGTGCACGGTCGCCAAGGGCCCGCCCTCCAATACACGTCACATTTGTCTGTAGAGCAGTTTCTTCTCATCAATGGCCTGCAGAAAGGTGGGGTAGGTGGGAGAAAAGCCCCCAATAAAATGTTGTTTGAGACTGAATCCGATGGTCGATGTTATTTAGGACGGAACGTCACTACAAGCGTACTAGAAGCCTACAGGCAAAATAATCCTCTGCATAGTTCCAGGTCAATATGTGAAATTCAGTCTCACAACCACCACTCTGGTTCTGAGCTGTCAATGGTAGAATTCCCCTTTCAGTTGGGGCAGTCCTATCATGAGCCATGCTGAGCAAAAGTGACTCAGGTGGCAGATTGTGGTGGCAGTGGCCTGTTCCCCTCACAGCACTACAAATCACATAGTTCCCTGGGAAGAGGGATTATGTGTTAAACCGGTCTGGGAATTGCAGCTCTTTGAGGCAAATGGGGTCTCCTAACAACTCCAGGCAGGAACTTCTCTTAAGAGCCTTTTAGGCTGAAGGGTAGGGTAAAAATGCGCAAATAGATAATCCATAGCCTGGAGTTTTGTTTTATTTCTGCCACAACCCCACTACAAACAATAAATCCTACTGTGTCATTGGGCAAACTTTGACATTTATCCCAATCCCCATCTTTCTCCATGTAAAATACAGAGGGTATTGGGGTCAAGCAGATTTTCATAGGAGAGCAATAGCATCTACTCAGCTGGTGTGGCAAGAGGGGCACGATTCCTGGCTTTTGACTTGCCCTAGGGATGCACGTGGCGCTGTGGTCTAACTCTAAACCACAGAGCCTAGGACTTGCTGATGCCTCCTGCCATCAAATGCCTCGGTAAACAGGAATGCTCTTAAATTTCTAAATTTACATTTAAGTGTGTCAGATGTTCTGTCTCCGCTTTTACAATTTCCCTGCAAGTTTGCTTACCTCTGCAGTAACATTGGCAGCCAAATCACAGGAGAACATCCACAGTCCTTCTGATGTTGACCAGGTCTACTTTGGACGGCCAGTGAAGAACTACAAAGAGCCTGGCTAGAATCAGCTCTGCCAGGCTGGAAAAATCTTGACTGTACCCTGCGGTTCTGGAGATAGCCACACTCTGAGAGATGTTGGGCAAGAGCCCTATGTCATCCCGGTAGATGCCAGGAGGATGGAGACCCAAGAGAGCAGCTATACTTGCCTTTGCGCATGTCAGAATGCGGCGGGGATGGGGGGGCGGACTCTTTTCAGTCTATTGGTCACATTCACTTCTGGTCAGCCTTCTGAAGACCATTTTCCAGTGGTGGGCAGAACCAGAGGTGAAAGTAGGCAAAACAAGGAACTCATTTCTACATTCCCTCTATTCCACATCCAGGCAGGAGAGAGCTATAATCAGAGTTCAATGACATATCCCAGCCTGGCAAAAACACTCAAGGAAGGTGTGAAGCAAGGGCAGTGAGGGATGTGGTCTAGGGAGAATCCCAGGGTCAGAAAGAGAGGCCTGGGGGCTGCATTTGGCCTTCCAGTCTCAGATTTCTGTTTAATTACTGATGTTTTGAGAGTTAATTTTATTGTGTACAGTGGGACCTTGGGTTGCGAAGGGCTTAGTTGTTGGACAAATTGGCTCCTGAACACCGCAAACCCAGAAGTAAGTGTTCCGGTTTGTGAACATTTTTTTCGGAAGCTGAACATCCGACGTGGATTCTGACTGAGTGCAGGAAGCTCCTGCAGCCAATTGGAAGCAGCACCTTCGTTTTCAAATGGTTTCAGGAGTCGAACGGACTCCCAGAATGGATTAAGTTTGAGAATCAAGGTAAAGGTAAAGGGACCCCTGACCATTAGGTCCAGTCGTGGCTGACTCTGGGGTTGTGGCGCTCATCTCGCTTTACTGGCCGAGGGAGCCGGCATACAGCTTCCAGGTCATGTGGCCAGCATGACTAAGCCGCTTCTGGCGAACCAGAGCAGCACATGGAAATGCCGTTTACCTTCCCGCCGGAGCGGTACCTGTTTATCTACCTGCACTTTGATGTGTTTTCGAACTGCTAGGTTGACAGGAGCAGGGACCGAGCAACAGGAGCTCATCCCATCACGGGGATTCGAACCGCCGACCTTCTGATCAGCAAGTCCTAGGCTCTGTGGTTTAACCCACAGCGCCACCCGCATCCCTGACTGTACTAATATATCCTAATAGATTATTGAATATTACTTTATTGATATAAGGTGTTCCATTATAAAGTTATGTTTTATTATGGCTTTATTACAACTTTTTGTATTGCATCAGATTATTGTAAGGTGTGTGTTCTTTGTTGTATATTTTGTTGCTGCATAGTAATATAGAAAGGTGGTATACAAATTAAAAGTGAAATGAAATGAAATTTCCAGCTTCTGTCATTACTTCAGCTTTTGGAGGACAGCCTGCTGCTAACAGAAGAAGAAAAGGCTCCAATTCTGATTTAGGAGTGGTAGTTATGGCAAGCAGCCATAACCTAACTAAACATCAAAGGGGCTGCGCAAGGGTGGCAAGATGAGGCAGCCACTGACCCAGAACTTCCCAGCAGCATCTGTTAAAAATAATGTGTGACGCAACATCTGCTGGAAGTGTTAAAAGTGGTAAAGGGCTATTCCTATCAGATGGCAACTGTACCTGCTCGTTTCATCGCACAGTGAGTTCGATACCACGGATCCGTTCCAATGCTGACACTGAACAAGGCGATGCTGCAAGCCTACTCCGCGACCTGTGCATTGGCCTGTGCACTGAAAAGGAAGGGGATAAACAACACCAGTCAGAGACACGGGGATCTGCACCTTCCGGTACAAGATGCAAATAGTTAAACCTTGTGTGGCAGGTACCCATTGGGGCTGGTAAGGTGGAAGACAGGGAGCCCAGCAGCAGGGGCAGCCAGAGGCTAAGAGTCAATGACAGGTGAAGCTGACTAGTTGTAGTTTTATCCCCATCCCCAAACAGCCTCGGTCCAGTATACCTGAAGGAGCGTCTCCACCCCCATCGTTCTGCCCGGACACTGAGGTCCAATGCCGAGGGCCTTCTGGCAGGTCCCTCGCTGCGAGAAGCCAAGTTACAGGGAACCAGGCAGAGGGCCTTCTCGGTAGTGGCACCCGCCCTGTGGAAAGCCCTCCCACCAGATGTCAGAGAAAAACAACTACCAGACTTTTAGGAGACATCTGAAGGCAGCCCTGTTTAGGGAAGCTTTTAATGTTTACTAGACTATTGTATTTTAATATTCTGTTGGAAGCTGCCCAGAGTGGCTGGGGAAACCCAGCCAGATGGGCGGGGTATAAATAATAAATTATTATTATTATTATTATTGTCTTCCCCAGCTGAATTCTACAAGGGCAACACTAAGGAGGAGAAAAGCAGACAGCCAAGACCATCCCCTCTCCCCCGGACTTGATGGAGGACAGGCATAGGCAAACTCGGCCCTCCAGATGCTTTGGGACTACAATTCCCATCATCCCTGACCACTGGTCCTGCTAGCTAGGGATGGTGGGAGTTGTAGTCCCAAAACATCTGGAGGGCTGAGTTTGCCTATGCCTGATGTAGGACATAGATAAGAAAACACATCAGGCCATTGGGCCTT